CATTAAATTTTTTCGTTTCTTTATCCCATATTGGTTTCGATTTGCATGATGATATTGGACATTTTATTTCGACTATTTTAGTTACCATGCCGTCACTGACTACTATTCCATCTACTGAGACTCCTAACCAGGCCTGTTTGGGAGACACAAATAATCCAATTTGAAATTTTCGCGAGCTTTTCCTCATTTTGAATTCCATAATTTAAACTTTTCGGATGCAGAAAATCCTGTAGTAAAGATTCAGCTGAAGTGCGAGTTATTGATTGTATCTTATGAGCTTTTGCGCTGGCCGTTATGCGTACACGTCTTGCTTCAAACCATTTTACCGTCTCCCATTGTTGTGTGGTTTGTAAACACAATGTGAAAACTTCTTTACTGTCTAATAGTATCCGGTCTCTGTAAAACTGTGCTATCTCAGATGACAGAGCCAACTTGTCTTTTCCTATGGTGATATACTGACCAGCACTCTTTAAAAGACAAGCAATCACCTTTTTCGTACACTCTGATATTAGTTCTACCTGTCGTTCTTCGAGACATATATTCATGACCACCGTACAGACTTGTTCTTCCTCACTAATATGATCGACTTTTAACCTTTTTTTAATTGGGCATTCGATATCGTCAAAGTCTTCCAAAGTCAAGTGCAGTGGCTGAGGAGGATTTTTAAGCACTTTTTGAGGAAAAAGATCATTTACCGTAGCTCCTCGAGAATATTTTTCTTTTGCTAAATGATTCATTGATGAAATCCCCACTCCTGCTGAACACTCGTTTTAGACACACTCCGGTCATTCTTTATTTGGTGGATAAATGCCGCAATATGTTTGCATTCGCCAGTTTCTTTGGCAATGCAAGTACATTGAGCATGTACCACCTCCCTTTTACTATTCAGCTAAAAAAATTAAAGAATCAAGTAAAAAAGCCACTTTTAAAGTTTGACAATTTTTTTTCTGTAATCTGTAAAATATATGGTGTTTCAGTGACGGACGTTTGCCGAATGCATTTAGCAATTAACTTATTGTTAATATTGCCACCAACGTATTCTTCAATATGTTTAATATGACAAAAAGCAATTTTTTTTCCTTTTTCTAGCGTACCTGCAGTGAAAATTAATTGAATGGGAGATATTTTCAAACCCGGTCTGCAATATTACCGATGCCATATTTTCAGGTTATGCTGTCAATAAAAAAACTATTATTATTTGTTTGTTACACGTTTTAATTACAGAAAAAAAAATGTTAATATATAATTTTCACGTACCTTTCGTTTAAATCACTTTATACTACTTATCCATCTCAAAATTTATTGTTAATTGTTTTATTTATAAATTAACACGTAAAGACAATGATAAAATTGGAGTGCTGTAATTCCTTCTTTTCCGTGGGCGGCGCTACTAGGCATCATACACATAGCGAATACCGTAGTGTAATAATGTATGGTATAGGTTTGTAATGTATAAAAAATTTAAAAATGTTTTAAAATTTTAAAGCAAAATAATAAGTTTTAAATAATTTCCTTATTTTGATGTTCGAGTTAGATATTGCAGAGGCACTGGCATCTTTGCTCCGAAAACCGCCCCGAGTTATAAAACAAGTTGCAAAATGGCGAGATAAATTGTAATTTATTAACTTTCGCGCCATTTACATAAACATTGAAGACTTTCGTCACAATAAAAATGGAATAAACCGAACCAATTAAATTTAAAATATTTACGAATGCGAAATTTGTGACGTAACGTAATACGGAACAACAAACGCTTCTTTGTTTGACTATCAAAGCGATTGAAGTTAATAACGAGGCAAGAAACTGATTATAATCGAATATGAAATTGACCTAATAACGTGTATTTCTCGCTATTATCGTTATTGAAAAATATATTATTTTTCCGCGAGGGCCTTTTAATACTACGCCAGCAGATATACATCTGGTTTAATAAAGAAAAATTTCCCACAGTAATGGAGGTTTTACCAGCGGAACACACTTGTATTTGGCCGACCAATAAAACCTGATTCCGAATAAAACGCGATTTACGAAAAACAAGAAAGGCAAGGTTGAATGTAACTCTTTCATTTCAATGTTTTCATTAGTCAACCTTTCTACCGAAATAGTAAGTAATAAATATACCACTACCGACGTTAATAACTACCGTGTCTGCAGCCTATGCAGGAACCAGCAGAGCGTTAGCACAATTAGCACTAAAAACTTATAGAATCAAATCGACTCAATCTGCAGATGCCCCGGCGTTTTCTATTAAACCTTACAGAGAAAGTAGGATTAAGAATTTTATGATAAATCATTTATGTATTCTAAGAACGATTTCCTTGCTCGTCTGCAGAGGCAATTACTGCGGTTTTATGGACAGAAAAAATGTGAAGATACGGTTTGCGCTATCGGCTTACACGGTATGCCTGCAGAAGTAGAGAAAGTGCAAATTCAATTAATATTAACCGTTTTCTTGTACGTAATTAAACGTATGTCCCCTAAATTGTATTTTTTGTTTGTTTTGATTACCAGAAGCGCAAGTGAACAGCGCAACAGAAAAAAAATAATTAAAGAGGCGATTTCATGACAGTGGCTTTTAATGGCATCGACTTCAAAAAGTACGGAAAAAGGCAGGTTTAGATAAAAACTTTTTTTCAGATAATTCTAAATAAAAACGCAAAACCCAAGAAAATATGTGGGGTGTGCCGATTAACAGTTCAAAAAGAGGCATTTAAACCGACGTATTTCGATAATATAAAACAAATTAGCGATAGAAAGAAAAAATAATCTAAAAACAGAAAAATTAGATGAAATAATCACCAGTGAGAATATCTTTTAACTAAACAAGAGGTTTTATTTTGAAAACTTTAATGAATTTTATTTAAAAAGACCGATTTACCCAACTACACCATAATGGATCATATTAGAAATTTAAAAAAGCAGAACAACAATAAATAAAATAATTTAACTATATAATAAAATAAGATAATATAGAAGTTATAAGAAAATTGGAAAGAAAATTAATTTTGAAAAAATTTAGTAGTAGATATTGTATCTAACAAGAAAATCCATTTTGACTCAAACATTCAAATAATTCTTACACTAGTAATTGTTATGAGATCGAATTGTTTTCAACGTTTGATAGACCTAGAAATGTGTATGTAACTAGGATAAAATTTATTGGGCAAGAATTTAATGTAAGAGGAAGGTCAGGTTAATTTGCTGCAATAAAAGAAATAAATAATATTAATAAAAAAAACTTTCATTTTCCACATACAAAGGTAATTGTTTTCAAAACTGAATTTTTTTTTGCATTCAATGGTTGTTTTCATCTAATACTAAGTATGTAAGTAATAAATAAGTAAGTCCTTTAGTGCTAACAAGCTTTACAGAGAAATAAGGCTCTGCACAAATCCAGAGCTAGCCCCTCAGACTACCTGAAAGCAACCAGATTCTGTGGTATACAAATATTAAACTTCTAAAATATACGTTTAAGCTCATACACTTAATCTACTAATTATGAATTTAAAATCCTGTAAAATTGACTATCACCTTTTTTTTTAATTTATTTAAATTATTCTCTCTGCTGAGATCGTCCGGAAGTCTGCGGAAAACTGTTATGGCTGTGTATTCCAGCCTCCATTAAAGAAAGTAATTTAATATTTTGGTATTAGTATACTGTCTCTATCTCCAATTACCACGAACATGAACAGGAACTGTTAAGACGCTCAAACTCTTAAAATCCAGTCTGCCTAAATTTCCCCTTCTTCATAATAACTATAAAACATAAAATTTTATTATGTTAAAAGTCGCGTCGATATGAACCTGAATGAAACGTACGTTCTCGCTTTTTTCAGTTTGCTTTTAGGTTATTGGCTTTAGTAAATATTTATTAACTTTTACTTACGCCTGCAGCATTATCATGTTGTGAAACTGTGTCACATGCAGGTTCTGCGCGAAGAATAACAATATCGGCACCGACTGGAGGATTATTGTGTAGAAATCGTCTCATTTTAAGCTAGTTTTAAAGGAATGCGCAAAATGTACAGTTGGTAACTTATCGACAATACATTTGAAATGGACATATGAACAACAATATCTATGAAAGATGTTCTTCTAGTCAAAAGAAGGGATGGTAATTTAGGGTACACAATCGTGATCATTAGTAGAAATTTGAGAGGGAAGTGGTAATTACAAGTAACTAGTTGAATTATAGTAATAATCACTGAAATAATAGTTGTAATGTTATGTTAATTAAGGAAATAATGAAAATAATTTATATTCAAAGCATGGCTGATTCTAAAAATATGTCGAGAAATACTTTGTACTTAGGTCCTCTAGAAATCAAAAAATAATCTCTACTATGAAGAACGATATATTCGAAAATTGATAATGAAATATCCGTGGGTATATTACTTCTACGCATCATGAGTCAGCTACGTTTAAGAGAAGTTTCACCTACTCAATGTATCGCCTATCTAATAACATCCCCCATTCAGTACAAAATTTTTAAATGAAGTCAGCTTAGAAAGATGATTAAAGAAATATTGTCCGATGCTTTAATAAGTTTCGTCACATCTTGAACTATCCTTGCTTCGACTGATTCCAGTATTTTGCCGTCCCAATTATATATTACCACACCTCCGGTCATGCCGTTTGTACTTGTTTACATGTATAATTTAAGTAAATCTTAATAAAGTCAGTTGTTATTTAGTAGTTTACGAATTAAATAAATTAAAATTTCCTAGTGGTGTGGACATTGATCTTCTTTAAAGTTGCTTCCAGCCTCTCTGTTGTTTGCACATTATATTGTTGGTTAATTGGCGAAAAAAGTGAGGCGGCTAAAGTAATTCAGTAATCAGTAATCAGTGGTAATTTAGAGGTAATTGTTTTTGATAGAAGTGTTGGTGCATCTGTGTACACTAACATAGAAGCCCCCCACTTATTACGACACAGTCGTCGGTCATTTGAAGAGCCGATCAATAAATGACGAATAACGATATGATATAAGTAGCGCTTACCTTGCTTCCTCGACTTAAGCTAGATGGAGGTCCCGTAACTACGTAGATCGGTTGTGGAGAATGAGTGCGACTGTGCTTCCCTAGCCAGGAACTCACGATAGCGTGGCTTCGATGCATGTTGATATTATCCTGGTAATACTCCTCTTCCTTTTTGAAGCAAGGACATAGTTCTCTGGAACTTTTGTACGCTGACAGGATAGCGCATATGCACTCCAGACTGGATGCCGCTATCAAGCAAACGTTGAACAAGAGATGAGCATTCGTCGCCCAGTCAGCTGTCGGCATTGCGTGCGATATCTACGAAGTTAAATTGAATTTGGATTAAAATGACATGCATGCATTTAGAAGGGGTGCGGATAGCGTTTGTAAATTTTCGGATTAAAATTGACCTTAGCGTGTTGTATCGAAATATATTTCCGACAAACTAACCAAGTTTAAAATGGAAATAAAGTATATTTAAATTAAAATTAGTGAACTTTGGGCTCAGTGCAACACTTAAAAAGTATATACGCATTTATTGCTACATTTGTCCTTTTTTGTTAGATATATCAGATGAATTCTTTGAATGTATTTCATTGTATATTCAATATTAATACAACAATGTACGACAAACAAAAACAAAAAGAATGTTTTTAACGACAAAAGTTCACGTTAAGGATTTAAGATTATTGTATTAACTTCTTCTATAAAATAATTTTCCAAGTGTATTTTTTTTATTTTAATACAGCACTTGGACTTGAAATTTTCAAGTATCCAAATGATTTTAATTTGTACCTTTTATAGCAGGGCAGTGCATCAAGTTTAAAAAACCTGTACGTGTCAAACTCAAAATGAATTAATTTATCAAATTATCAAAATACGCGTTTTCGCTTCTATTTTAATTACTTAATTTTGCTTATATATTACTTTTAGGGACGATAACATTTCTTATCATCACATCACAATTTTTTTAAACGTAATTACTTAATTTTATAGAATTATAATAGAGTTAAAGTAACAATTATAAACAAAATCGTAAAGATTGAAGGACTCATTCCAGAACACGGTTCACATCCCGGCTGCAGCCGGTAAAGTATGTCATTCAAATTTGTAGGGAAGCTGTTTTAATTGCATTACAAGACTGAAATTAAAAAATCGCCTCTCGAAAGAAATGAATATTCTACTACTACGCGGATTAGCAAATTACCGCCTTCATTTATTTCTCATTTGTTCATAATTTTTTATACGTCGGTTGCGAACAACGTTACTTTATAGACAACAAATAATGTTTTAACTTTTAGATGAGAACATTGTGAAATATTTCGGGTATGTCAAGGACTACAACACCAACTATTGTCTGATTGATACCCGGCAGTTATTGCATTCAAGTTGAATTACGTGCCTCAAGTATTAGTCAAATATGTTGTAAACGTTGTTATGAAGAATTGTACCATACCAAATATCTTTCTAATCTCACTGTTTCTATTTGATGACAGTGTTAAATTACAGCCAATAAATATTCTTTACAATTACTTAATGGTTTCAAAATTCTTTAAGGCAGTTGGAACCCATTTTTTGTTATGAATGCAGGAAGAGACTATTTTTATTCTAATACATATTAAACATGGAAGGTGACAAAATAGGATTACGAAAATTAATATTTTATTCAAAATTTTCTATTTGATAAAACAAGTTGAGAGGAACTGTCCTTGCCAATTAAGCATCGAATAAATGTTTTTTTAGTGCCGAATTACCGAGGATCGTGTCTTTATAATTACGTTATTATGTTCGCGTAATGTGGCTTATTTCGCGAAAAAAGGTTAAATCTATATCCGAACGAAACCAATAATAATAAAGATTGCTCCAATACTATAGGGAACCACGCCAGAACCGGTAATTTTCAGTTGGCCAAACACTTTTTGCCACGCCAAAGGTTTGGAAAAATTGAGAAATAAATTAATCGACTGGAAATTACCGTACTAAAACCGTTCTCGTGTTATGTTGGAATAAAGCTGGTGACCAAAAAATTTGACATTTTGCGGAATGAAAAATGCAAATCTTCCGGCATAGGGTTAATTCAAAAACTATTTCAAAACTTTTTTACTGTTTAATGATTCAAAAAATAATTTCTTCTCTAACGGAAATAAATTTGATAATTTTTAATAGATTTGGGCTGCACATTTTCAAATTGAAATCGTTAATAAGAAAATAAAGCTCAGTGCTATAACTGCATAAGCCAAGGCAACTAAAAGTCATGAAAATTAAATTTAGATATCAAAAAACTGCAGTATTCAATTTTATATATTTTCATAATTTATCAGTAATGTAAGTTAAGTAAAATTATATAAGAAACAAATGAAGAAGTATCTAATTTTTTGAATATATGCCAATAAATTTAAACATCTCCCGAAAGCCGTTGCGTCTTTTAAATATCATAAAAGCCAAGGCAACGTTTTTCATAATTTTCAGGGATGCACAATATACAGAACTGGATGCAACAGAAAAATTCATAGGTGAGAGTAGTTGATAGAGATAGACGATTCTTTTCGAATAATACTTATAGCTTACATGCTGTCAAATATCGAAATAAAGAAACTTACCAGTTTCAATTTTAAATAATCTACTAAAAGAACGATTTAGAGCTATTTTTAGTCTAATGCTTAAAGCACATTTTCACGTCATATCGAAGTATATCATTTTACGGATCGTTTAAAGTTTAATGTGTATGCGTGTACGTGTCTATGGATGGATGTATAATTTATTTGCTTGGGTATTTGTGTCAGCTATGTTTATTGTAGAAAAGTAAAATATTGTTAAACTAAATGGAAGAATTTGCTGACATACCTGAAAATTATTCAAAGGTTCCCGGTAATCGCTTCTAATATCTCTAGCCAATCCCGTACCAGCTATCACTACAATTAATTGAGCAACGGCCAGGCTTATTAAACTCAGAGCGAGGAAAACGGTACGAGCCACTTTCTGAGCAGTGTCTTTGAGAGGGCAGACGTTTTTCGCCGACGCTAAGACTCCAGCAATTCCAGTAGCCATCGCTAGGAGCCCTCCCCAAATTCCGCCTCCAAGCTGAAACAAATAAAAAGAATCGCTATACTACCGATGGGCACTATATTTTTAGTGATCAATTGTTAGTGTTTTTCTTCATGTCGGAACATGCTTGTATACAAATAATCGAAGCCCACAGCTCCTTAAATTATTTTGCTGTAGCAATTATTTTGTTATGGTAAAAGTGATTTACGTGTAACGTTTTCAGCTGAATCGGTTGACCTATCACGAAAAATATCTTTGGCATATTCAGTGCCAATAAGCAGTGCGCCGAAATGTGTTTTATTTTTCCTCTATTACTACTTTTGTTTTACGAATTGTTCCCCGTTTCAAACCTGCACTAAATGCTCATTTCGGATGGTAATTTAACACGATGGTAAATCTGCCGAATATCATATTATCGGAATGAGAACAAGGTTACTAAGTTTGCGCCAAGCCCACAACCAACAGCAATTAATGTAAAGGTTTCTAGTACATTATTTATCGGAGGCTTGGAATTTGGCATAGCTAAAAGAGGCATGTAAAAACATGCGCTAGTAAAGGAAAAACTACAAATGCGTTTTGGAAAATTAAAAACAACTTTCCAAAGACTTTTATGGTCCATCACTGATTCAAAATAATATTTATATAGTGATTTAGTGCCTAATTTTGTATCTGTTTTGAATTTAACAATAAACTACAAATATAATTATGAACATTAATTTTCTTCCATTAAAGAAACATTTCTAAAACATATCCATCAAGTAAGTAATATTCCTAATATAAATAAATCAATAATAATATAATAAATTAATGTGGTTTGTTTATGTTATGGTTATGCAAGGATGATAAAATACTAAAGTTTCATTCCAGAAGCTAATATAAACATAACTAATATTAAGAGCGTGGTTCTCAGTGAAAGGATAAAAGACCGTTATTTGGAAGCCGGTATCTTTAAAATATCGATATCGATATACGGTCCCGAAATCAGACGTCAATATTTTGACCACGTATTCTGTGACTCAAAATAAGAATAAAATTTCGTAGAAACTAGGCTCCAAAACGTCTTTAGTTTTCAACATACAGGGTGTTAAATAAAATTTGGTACAGCTACTAAACTTTTAAGGCTCTATTTAACGAACTAAACCTTAGTATTGATTTCAGGGGTGGGTAACAGAGGGGAGGCGTGGGAAAAATTTGCCCCAAATTTTTTATTTCTCGAATTTTCGTAATTTAATTACAAATGATTTTCCTGGGCAATCCTAATTTACAAGCATGACTTTTTAACACTGACAATAGTGAAGTTAAAGTAATGGATTTTTTTTTAATCACATGCACTACTGATTAATACGCGAATCTGAAACGGATGGTCACAACAATTTGTTGTAACTTTTTTGTAATTTACAGCTACGAAGTTAATTTCGTGGTTGGCAACTGTAAATTAAAATTTGAAGTTAGTGTCCATTAATTTTTGCCATCTCGTTAGTTACACCGAATACAACGAAAATTTAAAACGAGAAATGATGATGTCATTTAAAATTAACATGCGCCTTTACAAATGTACAAAACATTGAAATTTGGCAAAAAATCGTTATTACACCTGAAATTAGGTCAATAATATGTAGCAGTCGCTAAAAATTATTGTTTGACAGTTTGATCAATTCTTTCTAGGTTCGCATATTTTTTTGAAGTTTGAAATCGTTTATATCATCACCATGCTAGAATTCCTCTTCAGGTAATAATAACGTAATAATTTTAACAGTTTAAACAGAGTATTCTCGAAGACGGATATGTTATGGAAGAGACTTATTTGTTTCAGTAATAAATCTGTATAGGTTTATATGATTTCAAGAATCTAAAATGTAAGAGGAAGCATTGCAAAAAACGCTCAATATGATGTTATCTGTAGAATAGTGTGTAAATTCAATTTGATTTTGTAGCTTATTTAGATAATATTTGTAAGAGAATAATTAAAAATATTTTTTTTAGTTTTATCTATGGTACCTTACCTGACTCAAGCTGGCCTTATGTGCGATGACAAAAATGCCGAAAATCATCATGAGAAACCCCAATATGAACTGGAATGTACCCAAGAACAGTATTATTTGGTCTGGATTGCACTTCTTCTTCGACGTTACCGACTTGATCGATCCTGTAAGGGATTGATGCGGCGTTTTGCATATCAAGCGATCAGTCGACAGTTTAGTGGAAATCGTCATGTTGGTTTCCAACGTTTTGATCCTTTCCGACTCGTTCTCCAATTTGTCCTCAGACTCGCGATCCTGCGGCTGCGCTTCCACTTGGTTTTTCATTTTCGAAATTTGCTCGTCTATATTCATTTTTCAAATTTCGTTGAACGTACTTTATATTAAACGAAAGAAAGTGTTTATCGTAAACGGAAAAAAAATAATCGTGAAATTTTACGATGTAAACATTATAATATAAAGTTACGAAACGCGCGAGGGTTCGGTTACATTTCGAGGCGGCGATAAACCAAACACGAAGCGGAATTCTTCAAACTCACGTTCTCGGAATAATATCAATATCCACGACCACTGCACTCGCCGGTACCGTTCAATTACTAAGAATAAATAAACTTTTGCTTCAAAGCGCTAGTCGCTTGTTCTTGCAGACGTCCAAGAGGTGAAAGCTAATGCCTGCCCAGGTTGGGGACAATCGCCTTTAAGATATTCGATCGGCAGAATTTAATTATCGATTTTAATTTATGCTTCATATTTTGACACTTCTCAATCCGGACAAAAATTTGAATTTCTAATGGCCTTTGAGCCATTACCTCTTTGTTATTCTCCTTCTCCTATTGTGGCGTGTTTTTCTTCCAAGTATTTTTTCAGTTTTCTTTTAGTTTCTTCTTTCAATTACATTTAATGAGAATTAGATTTCAAGTAAATATCGGCAATCGCAGTAAGAGTAATAAGAATAAAATTAAGATCGTTTGAAACATTTTATTTAGACGATAAAAAATAAGGCAGTTTTAGAAACAAGAAGCTTAAAGTTTAATATTTTGTACAATTGCCATTTGCTTTAATAATGGCATTAAGTCCTTTTGGAAGACTTAAAACAAGCTTTCTTGTAACTTCTGGCGATATGTTTTCCCACTCTTCTCTTATCTTATTTTTGAGGTCTTTTTTACTTGTAATTTAATGTTTTTTCACTCGTCGTTTTAATTCTTCCCACTGGTGCTCTATGGGGTTAACATCCTTAGATTGTGTTGGCAGACATTATGGATTATCCAGTAACGCACAAGCGTAGCAATGTGTTTGGAATCGTTATCCTTTTGGAATAAATAACGCCCCAAAAGGTTAAGTTTTTCAACACTTTGGTTTAAATTATTCATTAGGATGTTGAAATAGCCAAGTGGGTCCATAATTCAGTCAGTAAAAGCTAAATTGCCTGTCCCATTAGCTGACATGCACCCACACAATAAAACATTACCTCTACCATGCTTTAGCATAGGACAGACATTTTCAATTTTCAGCGCTGTATTTTTTTTCCTCCAAACTTTACCCCGACCATCTGACACAAAAAGATTAATTTTTGTTTCTCCACTAAAGATAACGTTTTCCCAAAACCACGGAGTTTTTGTGAATGTGTTCTCGGGCAAATTCCAAACGTTTTTTTTAGTTTTTTTCCGAAATTAATGGTTTCCTTCTGGCAAGGCGGCCGTTATTACCTGCTCGATGCAAGCAGTTTCTAATGGTTTGAGGGCTAACGAGAACTCTCCCCTGCAAGTTTCGGAGCGGTTGTTTTAGAATTAATTCTAATTTTTTTCACAACAGAAGACTCTTCTCGTACAGTTAACTTCCTTGGGCGACCAGAGCGTGGCCGCACTTTATAAGATCCTGTGGATTTGTATTGATTTTTTACATACTGTACAGTTGAAAGTGATTTTTTAATTATTTTACTAATATCTCTAAAAGATGTTTTCTCTTTCCATAAATCTACCATGATTTTTCGAAGCGCAATTGGAATTTCGCAATTTTTAGCGCTCATTTTGCTTTTACTTAAAAGTGGCGTCAAAAATAAACAGATATAACTCGCTTGTTTAGGCGAAATTTGATACAAGCTGACTTGATAAAATATTGATAATTAACAGTTCTACCTGCAGTTCTAAATTTTGATTTATTAAAGTGTATGGAGACCTATTTTACATAGTTTCTTGCTTCCAAAACTGTCTTATTTCTAATTTTCCAAATAAAGTGTCTCAAATGATTTTTACTTTATTATTATTACTCTTAATGAGATTGTCGATATTTAAATTAAATATATTTCTCTTACACCAAATTGATACTGAGGAAATACTGACAAACTCAATGAAATAAAAAATAACTCGATAATTATTGAATATATGAATTGAAAGCCTGAAAAATAAAATTGATGAACTTTCTTCCAATCTTCAAAACGATATTTTAGTGCTTGTGGAAACATGGCTGCACTCTTGTAGGAAACCAATGTATAAATTACGAAATATTAGAAAGCAGTTCAGATGGCTTAGTGAATTAGTGAATTGACTGGGTGCTTGTCTTGGAGACAATAATACGAATAGTTTATAGACTGCCTTCTCTTCCTATTCAGGATTTTTGAAAGAATTAGAGCCTCTATTTAGAAAATATCCAACAAATCATATGATTGTAGGTGATTTCAATGTTAATTTACTCTGAAATGGTTCCTATTCAACCAAAGAATATAAAGAGTTAGCTCTATTTAATGGATATACAATTGTTAACCAGGTTAATGTCCACAATGTAACCAAAGTGTCCGAAAATTCTTCAACACCAATATATGCATTTAGAAACAGGTGCACAGTTAAAGTGAAAGATAATCTGTCGTGTCAGAAAAAACTATCTGTTAAAATAAAGTTTAAAATATCAGATCACAACGAACAAACTTACATTGAAAAATCAGTACTAGATATTAATAAAATTATAAAAAAAAATTGAAAGTCAATTAAGCTGCGAAATAAAATCATTTAAAAAATTAATTGATGTAATCAGTTAGGCGAAACATGAACATGAATCAAAATCAAATCAAAAAAGTTAAGTGTCACCAGAATAACAACTGGGTTACACCAGATCTAATACAAATAGCAAAACAAAGAGATAATGCATATAATAAACACTGTAAAAAACAATCCAGATAATAACGATTTAAAAATAAAGTTGAACAATTTAAAAAATAACATAAATAATCGAATAAAAAAATTATTATCAATTCATTTATTAGGGTTAAATTAACAAAACAATGAATAAAAAAGTTAGAAACAGACAGTAAGAAAATATCAAGCAATAAAAAATTAGGTATTGAAGAAATGGAGGACAAGAAAAATTCTCTAAACACGGTATTAACGTTTAACGAGATGTCATGTAAAAATAATATATTTTTGGAGCCAACTAGTGAAACCGAGATTGCTAATGTTATAAAAAACCATAAGGAAAATGCCGCACCAGAACACGATGGCGTAAGATATCAGGATCATGTCATCCTATCTATTAATAAATAATATATTGGCTACCGGAGAATTTCCAAAGGAACTAAAAATTGTTAAAGTATGCCCAATATATAAATCGAAGTCAAGGACGTCGAGGAGAAACTGCAGGCCAATATCATGCATAGGTACTTTTTCAACAATAATCGAAATTCTTTTGAAGGATAGAGTGACGTGTTTTCTAGAAAGGTACGTTACTCTTGACCCGTTTCAGTACCGATTTACATCTAATAGTGGTACACTAAATACCATATACCACTATGGACTGGAATATAGTTAACCAACCGGAGACAATACGTAACTCTGGAGGACTGTAGTATCAGAGTTAATAATCGTGGGGTAACTCAGGGTTCGGTTCTTGGGTCCCTCTTGTATAAGTTGTATGTGGGATTTGGTTAGCAAATATAGCAAACAATGACTTAAAAGGATACTACAATTGGTTATTAAATAACAAATTAAAAATAAACATTGAGAAAACTAAATACATTTTACGAAAAAATAATAGAAAATAACTTTAACGTTAAAATTAATGATTTAATTTTGGAAAGAGATGATAAAATAAAATATTTAGGGTTTCTGCATGACGAGCAGCTTAGTTGGTATGCTCACATTAGTTATATAAAGAACGAAATGGTTCCCTTAGTTGCAGCATGATATAGATGGAACTATTTTTTATGTAAATTGCTGACTTTTTAATGCGTGTTCTTGTCGGCTTACAGTATCTTATTGCAGTCTAGGGTATATGTAAAAAACACATTTAAATAAAATAAAAATAATACAAAATAAAATCCTCAAATCTCTATTTAATTTGTAATATATAATGCACACTGACACGCTGTATTAATCACTTGAAATTAATCCGATAGCAATTATATCAAAATTTGGACAATCTAAACTTATCTTTAAAATAATATAGAACAAAACTAAAAACAACACCAAAACAACCCATATCAGTGAAATACACTCGCAGAACTTAAGAAATCACACTGACATTCAGTTACGGAATGACAGAACAAATAAAGAACTGCAAAATCCAATAAGCGCGGCTTATAGAATTTTTGTCAAAAAGTAAAAAAAAAATGCAATGAAATAATACATTTCTTGCAAGACTCGAACCTATTATATTAGATTATTATTACATAATTCAGTATCAATGCTTAATGCGTTGTTTAAAAAGTTACCTTAATTCATGTCTAGATAGTATAATAGTGTATTACAATATAATTATATGTATATGTAGTGTCTGACTGAATAAAGGATTATTTAAAAAACGGAATAATTATTCATTTATGAACATCTAATAATCGGAGGTTAAAATTATTTTGAGTGTGAATGAGTCACAGTTAATATTGTTGATACTAGTATATTAATATGTTCAGTATTATTGTTGGCCTACAATTTTAATAGAAAGAGAAGCTTTATATAATAATCGTAAAGATGGGAGAGCAAAAATTATAACATAATATAACATTAACCAATTGATCTTGACTGATATCGCACATAATCTAAGTAGTCAAATTTAAGTTTATAATTAACTGAGCAATTCAAAAAGTATTAAAATTAGGAAATAACAATGTTATAAACATAGAGAGTTATAGAAAAAAAAATCTAATTACGCTGCTGCAGTTGCTTCAAAACAGTGCTGTAATAATGTTTTTATCTGAAATAGAATTTTTGTATGAATAAATACCTTACAGGCAATTTTGAACATGCTCCAAAATTGAAAAACGCCCTGCAACTCTGTCGGGTGCGATTAAATCAAAAAGGGGATTTCAGCATTAAGTCGTAAGTCGATTTTGTACCATCTAGTTTAGGTTTCAAAAAACTCCAATCACGATCAACCTTAATTTGATTTCTAATAAGTATGTATATCTTATGTTATTTTTTCAAAATTGTGTCCAGAATAATATACTATTTATTTTAATTTTTTCAATCTCCTAACCTTATGTACCGCTTATAATACACCCAAATATTTTTAAAAGGGAAATTAAGTGAAACCAAATAAATGAGAAAATAAAGAGGATAAGAATTCTCCTTTTATAGGTAATTCAAATTTTCCCGAGTGGCAATAATTTTCGACGTGGTAATTTTGGCATTAAACAAACTTATATTTGAGTGCGTGATCATTCAAATCTGTAATTCAGTCCTATTCCAGAGCCCGGACTTGCTGCAAGCAGTCTGGGCACTGCAATATGATCTCAACTCGCTCTACGTCGGCTCCGTTGCTACAAATGTTTTTTTATTGGTGTAACTGTTTTAACCAATATTTTTACGATTGTACATCTGATAAAAACCATTAATCCATCTTCGGTGTAGAAAAATTGGTGAGTAACCTTATTTAAATTATCAAACGTATGGACTTTATATACTATCGTTATAATTTTGCTGAAATACTGGCTAATACGTACAGGAATAATGCATAAAATTTATTCAGGGTCCGAACAAATAAAAAGGTGGAACTAACTTCTTGTTTATTTATAAAAGTAAAATATTAGAATCGGGACAATCGGTATCGGATATCGATCGATCGGTACTCCCGGAAAGCTGGCACATTGCCGTCCGTCTGGTCGTTTTGCCGTTTCTCCGTCGTACCTTTTTCATCGGTTCCCGAAATAAAGGTCCCACTATTTGCTTTATGGGATTCACCACAAATTAAGTTAATTAAGTCAAAATATTTTATTGAGGTCTTTATCATAAAGCGTGTTACTTTTGGTTAATTAGTTAGGTTAGTCAACCGGACAATATGTTTCAAGGATATTATTTTAATGGGTCTCTACTAATGGTCATCAGATAACATTTTTATTAATCCCACCTTTTCCAGGACACTCTGTAGAGCTGTATGGGGGTGAGGATTATAAGGAAGTAACACAATAAAAAAATAGAATTATAATTGTCCAAAAATAAAAGCTATTTAGTTCACTGCAAATATATACATGCTATATTATAAGCAGGTATCTAGATCTAGTATTCATTGGCATATCCGTTTTATAACTCAACGTTGAAAGAGTATTAACGCTGACTTTGCCGAATTCCGCAAGTTCTATTTAATATTTCTAGTTTTTCTTCCGACGAAAATTGTTATAAATGTAAAGTTTTTGTTTATTTGCAAGAAACAGACTTGTGAGTAGGTATTGCGTCGCTGGGGCGAGGCAGATAGGTACATTTTAACTACATATTGCATATGGTGAACATATAATTCCATATATCTCCCATTATACCTCCACATACCTCTCATGTACCTCCATATACCTCTTCTATACCTTTTATCAGACATATGGATTAGTTTATTTCAAATGGTCTTTAAAATTTCAAATGACTGTAGCTGAGTTAGAATAGCTTTCTGAGTGTATGTTCATTTAAGATTTTTAACTTGTAATTACCCCAGAAACACACTCTCAAGCTATGGCAGTCATGTCGTGGGACACCCTGTGTATAGAGAGTCTACGACCTCCGTTTCCCATTCTCCAGACGTCTCCGTGGTTCCAGTCACCAGCTTGAAGGTTTCTTTCGGATATAGCTTTTTGTACTCCTTTCATTCTGTCTATCTGTTGGCGTCCACCGAGGCTGTTTTTGTTGAAATTTTTCAGCAAAAACACATTTTTTTCTGTTATTACTTAATTTCGGCGTCAAAAAATAAAAACTACTAATTATTTTTAACGTTCAGAAACTTTAATACAAAATTACCACTGCACCGTTTTAAAGGAATAAATTACATACATACATAACAACTGGAGAAATAAATCGCGAGTCCTGCTTAAGGACTGACAAGTAGCCATCGCTTGTTTTCTAATTCAGTAATGACCACTGCACCTACATTTGGTTAGTTTTGGCAAAGACATGTTTTGAAAAAAAGAAGCGAAATTAAAAAAATACGCATTACAGAAAATATTTTAAATCAAATAAATACTTACATGGAATAGGTATAAGCCACGAATTTAAGTTTACTGTAATATTTATTCCTTAAATCACTAACAATAAATTTTCGCGCTTGCTATGATTTATTGCAAACACAAATTGTAAGTATTATTTATTTCTGGGTGAATAATATGATACTGCTACCCGTAACTTCGTGAATCTAATTCGTGTTTGTTTGGCCACCCTTTCTCTAGATGGCAGCACTAGATCTTGTTTTGGATGAAAATAGCGAATAGGTGGCCACTGTTTCTGTATGGCCAGTGTTCCAGACTCCCTTACTACTCACATCCATATATTTTTTGGTGTTCATCCTGCACCAGTTTGACTTATATGGTCACTTATATTAATATTTTTTTTTTACATTTTTAGATGCAGAGACTTCTGTTACGATGCATTCTTCCCGGTCGTGTTATTGTTGTACGGCGGTATCAGCTGATGTCGTGAAGAAGGGGGAAGGCCAGGGTCATGGCCCTGCGGAGACGCCAGAACGGGAGGGTGTTCTTCTCCCGGTAGCGGCAACGACCCGGGGTACGGAGACTGCCCACCGATCGCGAAAAATAAGACAACAACGATATGAAACCTACTCGACACCCTAAACATTATGAAATTCTAATTTTAGTGGTGAAGAAGAAGGAATGATCGTCGTATAAATATCCGCGGAAAAGTGTTTTAATTAGAAGCTCGATTTTTCGGCGAATATTTTTTCGGCGTGCTGCTTTCGTTCTTGTTCTTGTGGTTATTTTCCAGTGTTTTCACGGCTCAGTGTTCCGTTTTACAGAATTCGATGATCGTTGCAATGCAATTTTCAATTTCTTACGCTGACTTAAAAGTTTCCGTTTTGCTAATCATATAATTTTGAAAATTTTGTAAATTAAAATTTACACCTGTGGTAAACACAAGAAACAAATCTTCTCAATAAAAAATGTAGAAAATCCGGAGTAGAGCGATTGCATCATGTTCATACACGTAATACTTTGACCAATTAGTTTTCATTCCTGTCTTTCATTTCTGCTTATAAAACACAAACCAAGAAGTCACCATAGTGAACCCAGAATAATAGTCAGTAGCAGTAATAACGGTAGTTAGTTAGTAATTATCTTTGAAGAATTGAAGAAACGAAATTTCTCATTCATTGCGTATTCGTATGATATATTAGTAATTATTTTTCTGTAGTTATTTCCAGTGACTTTTTTCCAGCAAAATTTTTGTCAAAATTAGTTTTAGACGAAAAAATATAAAATTTCAGCATTATACTGCATTTTTATTTTTAAGAAAATTGTAATGGCATCAAAAATCATGTTGATAACCCGAAGATGGCAAACATGAGAGAAAACGAAAATAATTTTCTGAAAATAAGCTATGTAACGATAGCAGTTATTTTACTTCATTAGATGGTCAAGCAATCCAGTAAAAAGCAAGTCACAACATCTTTATCCTACCCTAAAATATCAATAAGGCAAAAATATGGTAAAATTTTGGCCCTAATTTGCCAAACAAAATGATAATTTATTGATTAGGATGATAAATGATATTTAAAATCCACACAAAATTTCGTTATGTATCTTTAATACTTTTTCGTAAGCTAGTGCCTAGAAAAATCGCGTCAGAAAAAGCTATATTTATTAAAACTTAATTTGCTTTTTTTTGTAAATAATGGTTGATTAATTATATACTTTAAATTAGCGATGGCAGGGGTCTAAATAAAACTTACACATTTTCATACAGCTTTATTACGAAAACACATTTCGCTGACACATGCAATTGATAAAAGAATGCAATTCGTTTTTCCTATCGTAGCTTACGACTAGAGGCCCTATCCAGTCCCTGTTTAGTGGAGAAATTACCTTAACTAAGTCAGTTTACTAGACCTAACAACGAGTCTTACAATATGCCTTAGTTTGCGTAACTTTGCTCCATTTTTATACTTACCTATAAATTAAACTTAATTAACTAGGGCGTCTTAACCAAATACAATTATCGACTACGACAACGTAACTTCAAAAAACGATCCGCTTCCTTTTATCACGAGCATAACAAAATGGCTATTCGAAGGGCAATGGAAATTCCGAAACATTTACTGCTGACCCAAGTTCAGCGTTCAAAATCGACGGCAGCGTAACTCTAATGATTCTCGGGTAATTTCGTTACTTCAATTAATGGGGGATTTTACAATTTTTAGTTTATTTTTCTTTGGAGCATGTAATGCCGCCCGCCAGTTGAGCACAAGATTCTAAGATAGGAGACCTACGCCAAACCCTGGATGCTCAAGTGGGAGGAAGCGCCTACACTACGAACAACATTTTTGCTTTTTTATTGAGAAAAAAGCCACTTGGATCGCTCCAACGGGAGAACCATCCTGTCACGACAGCGCGGTGATTTAGTACTCTAAACCTGTACCAACAGTGACCGAAATAGGGGGTGGTGTTTTGCGTGTACGTTGTTGTATCCTAAAAAAACGCTATTATTTCAACTGAAATTATTAGCACATACACGGAAGGTGAGTAACTTCTAAGTAATATTAAATATTCTAGAAAAGAACAAAGGAAAGTTACCCAAATTTGGTATACGACCCATATATAATACATACAATATTTTGAGGATCTTTTGCTAACATCAAATCGAAGTGCCTCTCTCCTTCGGTATTTGAAGACAAAACTATTTTGAAAATTAAATTTAACATAATTAAAAAAATATATATCTGGATACGCTTGCGAGTGTAATAAATGTAAACGTATTGGTCGTGGTAGACTAGTAGACTATTATTACGCAACGTTAGGTGTTCCGCAGGGTTCCAATCTTGTGAAATTGCTTTTTCTTTCGTTTATTAATGATTTGGTTGCTTTAGTTTATGATTCAGAAATACTTTTATATGCTGATGATCTAAAACTTAATGTTAATTAAAAATTACATTGACTGTCTAAAACTTCAGCAAGCCTTACAAGGAATATAGTTCTGGACTATAAAAAACTGATACTGATAAATAGTTTGTGCTTAATTTTAGTAAAAACATAAAAATAAGTGGAATTTTAAAGTTACAATTGCTTACCTTGGGACTTAATTTATGCGAACCTAATGTTGGGTTATCATCATCCGGTGCGAAATGAGCCTGAAAGGAAAATTGAAATTCTAAAATATGAGATTTGTCAAGTGATTGTAAGACGTAAAACTACGTTTTCCTTACCATAAAATATATGAACATGAACATATAAAATGATTTTTGGTGTTTCTTTTTAATTTCCTAGCATAATATTGAAAATAATGATTTTAATTGGAAAAAAACGGAATTTGGGAAAATTTAGTAAAAGCAACTAAATAATGCCACTACTTGTTTCGAAAAATAATTTGTTATTAAATCTAAATAATACCTCCTACCATGATATTACAATACAATTAGACAAAGCAGTTGAGATTAATAGATTTAACATATTGAAAATAAATTACTAATAAGCACATTCCATCCCATCCTAGCAAAATTGATATCAAATCCGTCCTAGTAATTAATAATAATATTAGAAACTAGAAATAAAATAATTAATATAATAAATTGAGATATAAAAAATTGTTCTACTAATAATAAATAAAACATACTAGCTAGCCGCATCTGCTTTCTAGTAAGTAGCTATTATTGATTTATAACAAAATTGTTACTTTTCTAACCTGCTTTTGAAAGCATTTATTAGTGGGAAGAAAACAGTATTTCGGTTCACTGGGTGTCAAATTTGTGACAAATTTTCTTCTACAAACTTATTTTGTTAAAAAAAAAATTTGAATTTATCTCAAACGGTACAAGGACCAAAAAGTTTCAAAATTAAATAGAGAGCTAAATAACTGTTTATTAAAATGCAGAGTTTTGGAAGTGTACTCTAGGTGTACCAAAATGCAATCCAACACAAAACATTTCAAAGCTTTCTTTCTTATTTTAAGCTGACATACTCAGTTCTAAATTGAGACCGTGTATTATTCTTCACAAGCTGCAAGTTTGGCCGCGTTTTCAAGTGGCGCCCAATACCCCGTGTTCCCATATTGTAAACACTATTAGCTTTTAGAGGCCCGCAAAAGGATAAAATTAGGCTTGGGTCATTCAGTTATTAAAAAGTTTTGAATGTGACAGTACAACTCTTCGCCTTGCATGTAATTTTTAGATATTAAATGTATTAAAAAACAAGTAGTATTTATTTCATAAAGGCTACATCAGAAGTGGCGGGCTCTCGAGCGAACTTGTTGAATTGTTGGTGTATTTGTGATAGACCAACATTATATCAGTTTCATTTTGACCATTTGGCTAGAATTAACAAGCTTCACGTGAACTTTTCAGACAGTGACAAAGTGTCTTTAATAATTGGAGCGATTAATGACAATAATATTCGATTATCAGTGGAAGCTTCGGGTATTAAAGATCCTAACTTACTAGCGGCCTATCTTAAAAATAAATACCATCATGCAGAAAAAAAAATGTAATTGTTGTTTTCCTCATATCAAGATTAGTGTTGTATTTAAAGCGTTTTATGAACAAAAATAATTCGTACATTTGATCTATGGTAACGTCCTTATTACAATTTTATTCGTTTTATAGCAGTTAAAATGTTCGGCGATTTGGAACATAGATGTAGATTTAATTACCAACGAGTCTATACACCGATTACTTGAAAATTTAGTATTTGGAATGCTAGCGGAGGCAGTTATAGGCATCCAGAATTCTTTGGCTTTCCGCTTTAGATGCTCCATCATTTTGCCACTGCAAATTTGTTTCTCTCTCTCATTTTATGCAATTAACAAGCAAAGTGCAAAAGCACCAACCGCTGATTTCTGTATTTATTAATTTTAATAAAAGCATGTCATTTAATTTAGTATTACGGTAATGCTGAATAAATATGTGAAACTAACCAAATGGTAAAGTATTTTTATTGTTTGTGAAATATGTAGTCAATCCTGTAACATGTATTTTATATAGTGTTAACGGTTTTTATTTTCAAGAAAATAGCTCAGCTAATGAAAACTAATTGTTCTTCTAAAATTTTAATACTGAATCTTTATTCATTAAAATGTATGAGGCCAGGATAAACAAATAATTTCGTCGTTATCGCGCAACCTATGCTCTAATATTTTTGCATTCGTAATCTAATCAATTGTCATAATTAAACATTGGCTTCGCCATTTAATTTGGGGATTACATTTAGAAACAGGTATAAAATAAACCAAACGTCATTCTAAATACAAATATTAATTCGCTATTACTTACCTTTTAATAAAGTCGGGCGTCGCTGCATCCTCGCACCGCCTGGGCCATGGCACGATTCTTAACACACATTTTGGTGCGAAGTTTGAAAGGACTGCGAGTATGTTTGAGCGGGCATCGATTTTATAGCACCGAAAATGTACCGAGTTATAATCAGACACATCGATAACAATTTTACACGTCTTGATAAATTAAATTGCTCTAACGAAACTACGTAAATCCCACAAAATGGATTCCACCGTTGCCAATTCTCCGAATACAAAAGCAAAACTTTTTTTGTCTCACATTTTTGTTTAATGTTAATATGCTGATGTCAGTGTTTTTTCACGGGTCCACAAGCTTCTCGATAACAATTTAAAGTTTTATATTGCACACGAGAATTTCTATTTATTTGAAAACTTTCTCGTTTCTCCAGTAAAAGTTTTCCGATTTGATTTGGGGTGCTGCCATGTTTTATACCGTCTCGCGAAACTTCGCGAGACTACAGAGTGTAGAGCATCTTTACGAAGTACAGAACAATTTTATTGCTTTACAGTTATAGCCCCATATTCTAAATGGTGGCAGAAAACAGCCGTGTTTCAGATATTATTAGATATAGTTTTCATCCTATTGACACCATCCTTTTAAAGGTAACCGCGTTTTGATAACTTTCATTTATTACTTTTTTTTTAATCAACTCATTTTTTGCCATTTCGTGTAATTTAATTGTCGCTGGAACACGCCACGGCTTCCAGAAACTCTGACGGAAGAGAATTTGTAAAGTGTTTTTTGGCTTTCATAAGACACTAAAAAACAAACCCGGGATAGGTTAGACTTTTTTCTTTATATCAAGGCTGCAATATGTTTTTTTTAAGAATGGACTTGTTTTGTTGTTACCCGAATATACAATTTTTAATATTTTAAGCAACTTTTTCAGAATTTGAGTTTTAAAGGAAAGTGATAGCACTGCATTTTGGCATCTTGTGTGTTTGGTAACCGCGTCTTGATAACTTTCATTTATGACTTTTTTTTTAATCAACTCATTTTTTGACATTTCGTTTCGCGTAATGTAATTGTCACTTGAAAACGTCACGGCTTCCAGAAACTCTGACGCGAGCGAATTTATAAAGTGTTTTTTAGCTTTCATAAGACACTGAAAACAACCCTAGATAGGTTAGCCTTTTTTCGATTTTTCATTTTTTAATATTTTAAGTAACTTTCTCAGAATTTGAGTTTTAAAATACATTTTTAATGCTGTTAAACTGTGAAAAATATCATTAAAAAAACACTGTAAAGAAGTTCGAATCTTAAACAAAAGTAATGGCTTGTTTGGTTAGTTTAGTTTTGTAAAATTGTTGTTGAAAATCATAAATTTGAATTCGCGATCACTTAACGATTCGATAACAAGGTCGAGCTTCAATACGCTCTCGGTAATCCCCGTTACTTAAAACATTTTCCAAGTGAATAATTTAAACGTACGCCAGGCGGATTTTTCGCAAAACACGTGATTCACGTTATCACGTTGATAAACTTCAGAATACATTCAGCTATAAAAAATGAACCGTTTGGAAAGTGTTGTTAGCGCGGCGATATCAGTTATTTGACTGGTTGGGTTAAAATATTTTGCGATTTTGCAAAACTGCTCTCTTTTTCCAAGAAAATAATGGAGTTACACGACTTGCTTTTATTACTCGTTTCGGAAAATTACATAAATATGGTAATACATTTTTATGAAATCTAAAGTTATTCATTTATGTACTTTAATCAAATTTGAGTACGTTCTCGGTCAATATCACAGCTGAGGAAGAATCGAAGGACTAGAAACTACGTAAAATTTACTGACGTTTCTAAATACTAAGCACTCTCATACTCTCATTCGTGAGGAATTCTCACGGGCATATTTTCAGTAAGCAAAACCAAACAGACTTCATAAGACATTTCAAGGCTAGCTTGGCAAAAGACCAGGGAAATTATACATATCTTAATACTGATATACGAGGTGGCCCATTTATTATGGGATGATACCTTATCTCAGGATCTGTGAAGAGTAACAATAAAACATAAAGACAATAGTTGTTTAGACTCACTTATACTTTTAAAAATATTATTAAAATATTTTTTATAATTATCCTGCACGATATATTTTATATATAATATCCTAAGTCTAAATGTATCTATGCATTTCTCCGACTGAAAACCTTTGTTTTGGGGTCCCTGTAGAAGGGGATCAGCTTTAGTGGTATGTATTGATACTTTAAAGCAAATGTAGTCAAAACTAGGTTCAATGAAAAAATCCTTAATTCATCAGTTTAAGATTTACTATTTCAACGGTTATTAATTGGCCAAGAAGATAACTGCGAAACATGGCAGATAAAAACAATCGAGCACTAAAGAAATACCAACTACTGTTTTTGCAGTTCGACAATTTTGTATAAATCATAAATCATGTAAAAATGGAACCAATGTTATAACAAAAATTTAGCCCTTTGCAAAAAAATATCCAAATGGACAAAACCTACAAGTGAATTACAATATAAATAATTAACAAAAAAATTTAGATCATTACATTTTGTAAGAAATCTTATTTTTATATATGGACAAGGTAAACACATTTATGATAGGTAACATAAAACTGTGAAATATTGGTTTCGAAGTCAAAATCGTGACGTTTCTGTAATGTTCCATAGTTTTTTACCATGTTTTGTCGTCACAGTGTAATACAAATTACTTTTTACGATTTTTTCATTTTAATTTTTAATGTAACTTTTTGATCACCTTATATTTATTTATTTTTAAAATATAAATACAGACTAAAGTAGATCCCTTCTGTCAGCAAATGATCCCCGAAAATATAAAATCGGTAAATCGGTAGAGGCAAATGTCACTTTTTGACATAAAACTGAAAATATGTCAGCTGGTATACTTATGTATAGCTTTATATGACATACACATTTCTGCCATTTCTTGTAAGTTTCAAAAATTATTTAATATATATGCTGTTCTATTCAAAATATCAAAGTTGTTATTTGTGAACGAAAATACAAACACTCCGTATATAATATTTTAAAAGTGTAAATGAATCCAAACAACTTTGGTATGTGAAACTTTGGTTTTTTGAAATTTTTAACAGACATCATTCCATAAGAAAATGGCCATTCTGCATAAATATGCAGGAACTAATCATAAGTAACACAAGATTGCATTCAAAGAGTACCAAACAAAAAAAAATTTAAAAAGTATTCCAATCCCTCAAAACGATCCCGAAATACACGCCGCTAACTCCAACGGACCAAGCGGTGTCAAGACTAGTTACCTCCTCAAGTCTGTTTTACAAACGACTCCTGTTTAGTTGGTTCTGTGATTCGACTCCATTTAGGGCACTGCTTGGTTTCATAGAATACGTTTTAAGCAGGTCGTTGAGTTCGTCGATGTTTTGGCAGTGAATAAAAGCTTTGGGGCCCACACCTTGAAAGGTATTTACGACGTCCCGCTTTAAATTAACAAATATGATTGGTTGATTTCTATTGTTAAAGTCTCTCATCAGCATCTTCATCCCCTTAAAAAAAATGGAACCAGTAGGTGATCGGTTGCAATGCGAGCGTGAATGGTATTACTTTGGCAGCAGTAAAGTCAGCTCCTTGAATATGTCTGGCATCGATCACGAGAGGCGTAGAGTTGGATCCCGATTCAGTTCCAGCTTTGGAAATGATCGAACGCACATTCTCCACCGAAGGAAAATACAAGCTCCTATCCGGAGTTATCAAAACGTACTCGCAGCCGAAGGCATTCTGTAAATTGTTTCGAAATTTATAACGTATCATTGTTATTCAACATTTTTACCACAATTTTCTCAACGTATACTGTCGGCCTGGCCACGGCGTATAATAAAAACGACAAATTAATTGCAACCCCAACGCTGATGCCTATTTCGAGTCTGGTTAGTAAGCAAACGAAAAATGTCGCTGCCGCTGGTATTAGGTCAATTTCTGAAATAAAATTTTCTGAGCTAGCAACGAGCCGAGCTAGCTTTTACATACTATTCGTTTTCCATATAGGTTTGAACGTATGCAATTCCACCATACAAGATACTGCTACTATAATGACAGCCGCCAAGGCACTTTTCGGAATGTAATAAAACCAAGGGGTCAAAAATCGCAGAGACAAAATAACCACGATTCCCGTGTAGACTCCTCCGAAAGTAGTTTTAACCCCACTGGCGTGGTTTACTGCTCCCCTGGAAAGAGCACCTGATACTGGCATGGAACTCACAAAGGAAGAAGCCACATTGCAAATTCCTAGCGCCAGCATTTCCTGGGTACTGTCTATTGCTTTTCCATCACCTGAAAAACATTATTTACGCTCTTTGTGACTGAAACTGAAACAAATTGAACAATTGAGGTTTTTCTAACCTCAAGGTAATCCAAATTGGATTAGATTTGAGTCCCATTTGGTAGAATGTGGTAAAAGTAAACTTGAGCTATCACCAAACTAATTGTTTTATATTAGAAGTTGTTAAAAGGTTTCAGGAGCATCATTTGCTTTAAAACGATATCTTACAAAACTAAGAACTATGTTTCCCCTTTAGTAATATTATAAAAGCTCTGTTATTTTAATAGTATGTTATGCAGCAATATTTTGGTCATGAATTTTAATTGGCCCCAGGGGAGCGAGTCTTTAACGTGTTGCATACATGATCATGAGTTTTTGGATACATCCTTGCAAAACAGCCAGAATATATTCACTGGGTGGAACTCATAATCTAAATTCTACGGAAAACATCCGAATGCTCTCTGATCTATGGGCAAAGTACAGTGTATAATTCGATTTTTAGAGTTAAGAAGTAGAGAAAAAAAAATAGAGAATAATCAGTTCAACCTAACTGTATGTATTTGTATGTTTATTTCTTTTTACCACCACTGTGTTTCGATTTCCATATTACATAACGTGTATAATAGTATATTATCCAACAAGTGCGGTAAACGCCATTTGACTCACGAGTTTATTTGATACGAGCGGAGCGACAAAAGTCAAAATTCAATCCCGTGCGGTCGACTCGGATCCGTGGGAAACGAAACTGACGTGGTAAAGTGACGCTTCCCGCACGCAAGATCGGTGTGTAATTAGCCATTTTACAGACGGCAGTAAAAAAAATTATTGTCAGGTTTAGTTATTGTGATAGCACTTTTCTTAATCTAGTATTTAAAAAAAATGTTGGATTGGAATGTTTTTCTCCTGATTAATACACTTAATGCCAGGGAAAACATAAAATTGTATGACCAAAGTGCAGCTAGTTTTGTTTGATATTATACTCATCCTTGAATAATTTTGTAATCAATATCGCTATTCATCGTTTAGTGTTGCTTCCTGGGTCATTTAATATATTTAATAGCTGCAGTAAAGTGTGTCTCAAAGCATTTGCTTCTGACGGACTCTCCCCCAATAAATAATTAAAACCTTAATAATTTATTTATAGGTAAAGAATCAGGAGACAGGCCCAAATTTCCACAACCATTTTGGTGCAAATCGAAAAAAAAAAACAAATCACTTACAGTAAACCTTAGCAATAGCATAATTCTGCAGAATAGATAACAGAGGAACGATTATAATGCCCGATCCAATAGTCGACGCCATATCTACAAAGTCGTACGTCACATTTCCGACTGTGGTGCTAAATGGCGGCAAACTAACGTCCGGTAAACCTGGCTTTACAAATCCTAAAAAAATTGAATGAAGTCTTACTAACCCGGTGGCAGAGCCAGTCTTTACCAGTGAGCTGAAACGACTTTTTCCCATATACCTCAAAAGCGTACGAAATACTGGCCGAAATAACCACCACTAGAAGATTTCGCGAAGTCGATACCAGCCAAAGAAATCCTTTCACGGTCTTGTGGAAAACCGTTACTTTTTTGGGATCGTTGGGATATACCTCAATGTCTTTAGTTTTCTAAAAGCAAAATAGAATATTCCAACTTGAAACTGATTTTTGCTTCGCAACTGCAAACCTTTAAAATTAGAAGAGCAACGATGCAAATACATCCCATAGTGCAGTCGGGAATACTGGTATCTGTTATGTGTTGACAAATCTGACCCCATACTGTAAGAAAATTCTCCCCTGGATAATCTAAGCCCAGCAAATCTTTCACTTGCGTAGTGGCTATTATTATAGCTGCTGCCGACGTAAAACCTATTGCTACTGGACCGGAAATGAAGTCTATGAGGAATCCTAGAAGGATTTTGTTAAAGTGCTTTTGTTATATTTTGTTATATTTAATTTCGATTGTATAGCCATTTGGAGGAATTGTTTTTTTTTTTGTAAAATGAGACACCCGAAAAGTTGTACTTGGACTATCTATGGCATCGCCTACTTCACCTATTCAGTCGCAAAGCGCCGTCTTTGGTCTGTACGTTAGATTTTTTTAATTATTCCTTTTCAATTTGTTAATATTTTTGTTAAGTGATGCTATAGACTTTGTTTGCTTTAGACTTTGATACTCAGATGCATCCAGTAAAAAAGAAAACAGTTTCTTTCAATTTTCTACATTTTACGAAGAACATTGCTTGCTATATATAATATCAGTTTCGAAGAACACAATTTTCGAACCAACACAATTACAGTTAGTATAGGTATAGATAAACTGGATATTACCAAAAATGCTAGGAATTCGTTTCTGGTAATGGAGAATGAGTTAAGATTTACATGACATATTGACAACTCTATTTAGTTATGTAACAATTTACGTTTTGTGAGGTTGTGTGCAGTCCATGACTCTTAGAATTTGATGCGAAACGAATACGGTTCTTCAAAAACCATTGTGTCTGAGAAAATGAAACAAATTGTGTGGTTCCCTATTAGAGAAAGATGACTTTTTCATAGTCTAAAACTTTATAATAAAGCCATATGGATTTAAGATATGCACAACAGATAACTACCCTTGCAAACAACGGCACAATATGAAATCTGTTATGATAACGTACCGACCAAGTGGTTAAAAAGGTCTCACTAGCTTTAAATTTAATAAGGAGCTTTTGGTGGCTAAGTTTTATATTCAAATAACTGTTGCCTTATAAGCCTATTTGCTTATCTACTTAAAGTTGCCATAAAGTTGGGAAACTAAGCTTCAACTTCGGCGTTGTAGTTTTACATTGCAATAAAGTCCTTATTATTGTTATTATTATCTTGCGTTCTCAGCAAAAAGTGCCTAAATTAAATAATATTATATAAGAATAGCTTTGGTCTTCTTCTAGCCTAGATAACTTTCCCATTGCTTGACTGGTTTTGACCAGCTTTTGTCAAGTTATGCAGTTTACGCGGTATTTGGTTATTATTTAGTTGTAATATTAAATTAAAAACAAAATTTCATAAAATATATTTCTATGGCAACGCAATGTGATACTCCCAGCATCCAGAACACGACTTTCAATCTTTTTCAATTTTTTTGGAAATTTTTCGCTTCCTTACGGTCCCACCATATAGAACGGCTAAACAAAATCCAACAATACTGGCGTATCCAAAGATGACATTTTGCACCAGTGACTACAAATCCAATATCGGCCAAGAAATAGCGAAGTTGGAAAATACAATACAATTAATTAAAAATTGTAGGACCGGTAGAACAGAAAGATCATAACCACTGTCAAGCTTTAATATCGTGGCTAGTTGATATATCAGCGTCACATTTACAAAGTAAAGATTTATGTTACGGGCTACTGTAATACTATTTCCAAAACTTCTGGATTTCTCCTGGCTCGGTTGTTGTTTAGTCAAACTTACCAACGTTTCGCCAATCATCCTGTTGGCTTCTTCAGAACTTAACTGAAACTGGCTCGCATTTTACTCTAGACCTGCAGGTAAAGACCTGAGCCTAGTTGATATTTTTCGTCTGGTCTCTTCAGGTGATAAATCTGGTTTTGACTTTATATTTATTAAGATCTTTTAAAATGTGGTCAGTGATATTTTGAGTGTAAGGAAGGACAACAGTGGCAAGTGTGGAATTGCTTTCAGTTTCATTGCTATTGGAAGGTTGTGGTGAAGTGTATTTCGTGATGGAACCCTTAATATCTTTAATGTGAAAATTATTAAAGAGAAGAGCAAACGTAAGGTGTTTTAATTCTGGGTTCAGTGACTTGGGCTGATATAGTTTTAAGGCTCTGTAAACAAGAGAGTTGATATCTGATGACTAGGCCAGATAGCCATGTGTTAGGTAATGTTAGGTATGATTTTGTATTGATAAGAATATCTATTTAACAGATTTACCACTTGTAAAAAAATCTCTCAACATCTTCGATCCGTCAAAGACAAAATTCCATTTGAGATCCCAGAAATCTACAGAATTCCATGCATATGCGGCAAAGAATACATTGGAGAGATCGGACGAAAAATGTCAAAGAATGAAAGAGCCTTAAGAATAAGACAAATAAACTCAGCAGTCGCCGATCACAATCACGAAACCGGACATAAAATTTTATTCGACAAAACTAACATTTTTACATGCAATCTATTCTTCTACCAAAAAAAAAAGTGAGAATCTATAGAAATCTGTAAGCAACCATACAATCATAACGACTTAGGTCACCAATATGGGAATCCGTCATGTTTATGCCCCTCATTCAGTGTCAGTTAGCTCTGAAAAAGCCAACAGGGTTATTCCCGAAACGTTAGCAAGTTCGACTCAACATAAAGGAACGTAGGAGGAATCCAGAAGTTTTATGAATAGTAGGATAATATGATGTTTGAAAATATACAGAAATTAGTGCAAATATGTACTGCAGAAAGAGTTTTTTTTTTATCCAAATGTATCATCAACTCTCCTGGGTAGTAAATATAGGGACCCGTTAAATAACACTGAGAAGTGATTTGAAGTGAGCCTGCACTGGACAAAAAACATAGATATAAATGTTACCGAGGAATGAATTATTATACCTTACCCAAATTAAGAATACCCATTAATAGTTCCACACATCCACTCAAGAAGCACAGTAGTACTGCACCAGATGGGCCTAGCTCGTGGACATTTTCCCGAGTCAGCAATCCTTCAATCGCTGTCGGTCCCACAGGGGAATCCTTGCTGCTACCGAACACGGCATAGACAAATGGGGCTACAAATGAGGAGTAGAGTCCTAAAAAAATTCAATGTTGTCATTTGTTTTGCCAAATCGATCAAATTTTGTTACCTATTTGCGCTGGCAATCCGGCAACGCTTGAATAAGCAATGGCTTGCGGTATTATTGTCAAACCCACAGTCAAACCGGCAACGAAATCTGAGACTGCAGTTTCCAAGTCGTATTTGGGAAGATACGCGGTGATAGGGACTCTCCTTTTAAGCGTTTTTACGCTACACAACTTTTTTGTCTTTTCTGCCAATAAACGCTTCGTTTCCCTGAATTTTTCTTGTACGGAATTCCTCCGCAATTTATGCTTCGGTAAATTTAATATGACCCATCCGCCTGCAAAACGCGTGATATTTGCAAGGCAGCTCAATTTAGAGGACTACATGGTACGTTTCAGGAATATTCCTTGATTCGTTGAATGCAATAAAATTTGTTATGTGATTGGTCCAACGTTGCTTTGTATTGTTTTGCTTTTTCCTTATGAGTGTATTTATATTTTTAGTTTATATAATATGGAGGCACATATTTGAATAGTTCCCCAGAAACATACACTATTTAAATGGAAGAAAAAATAGTGTGATGTGGAGGGATGCAGTCAACTGATGAATAGCACTGACCTGACTGGCTTTTTTTAACTTAACTGACTGGCAAATGAATCTCAAATACTTCTTTTGATAATAACGTTAACGTAATCTTTGTTAATAATATCCTGGATGCGGATGACAGCGTGATAGCAGTCAGTGCAAGATCAAGGAAGCCAAAGACTCTTTCAAAAATTTAGCAACAATAAATTTTCTAGTTTAAAACATAAAACTAAACGTTTGCATCATTTAAATACGTGACAGACTTTTTTAAGAACCGTACCCGAATCAAGGAACAATGCTTAACGGCATTAGAAAGATTGTGCTACGACTTCGAAAGTTTCTGCTTAAGACCTTGGGTGTCAGCATCTGATTAGGTCTATCAGGTGAGAAGTGAAGAAGTTCTCTGAAGAGAAGACAGCTGGCCGAACCAGAACTGTGGGAGAATTGAAAGTAGAAATAGCAAACGAACCTCCAACATGATCGAAGGTTGGCAACTTTTCTTACAACAGGTAATAAGTAATAATTTAATAGCCCTATATTATCTATAAAATTGACGAAGCAGTGCTAGTGCGTTGAGTGTATTGAAGAGCCTCGAGAGCCATTTAAATTTTATTGCATTTAAATAATCAGGGAGACTTTCTGAAATGTTCTTTACGTACATTTTTTAGAATGGAATTTTTCGGGTAATTCCATATTGTTGGGCTTGTCCGGATGATCCTTATTGAAGGGATTTGTTATATAGTGTGAATTGGCATTTTCTCCATTCATGAATGAGGTCAGCGTTACATTGTTGTCGGCAGACAAATTTGCGTTATTTATTTTGTATTTGGTCATCGTTGCCGACGACTTCTGTAGATTTTTAAAATTAGGAGTCCTACTATTTATTTACTCAAAGATGGAATTATTCGGTTCCAGGTTCCTAGAATAATAGAGGTTCCGTTTATTTTCGATGCTAAGACAAAAATTCTCATTAAAGGCTTTGTTAATGATGTTTACAAAAATTGTTAAAGTGCTGCTATCACAGTAGATAGTTACTAGTGCGTCTAGATTAATAATAAGTGGTGTTATATCAAGTGCATTCTGTTTTTCCTAGTACTCTTGCTTTGCCTCATTTACAATATTATTATTAAAAAGTATTTTGCACTGAAACCAGACCAGATGGTATTAATTATGCGATGGGATTTCAGCAATTATTTTGTCTGTAGCATACGGCACGATTTTTTTGTAAGTTTTGACAATTTTTAACAACTAAGATTTTTCAAAAATTCTACCAAAAAATTCAAAAACTGGCAGGTAAATGATGGATTTTGCCATTATTAGTCTACGAGTGGAAGCAGGTAAAACACTAAGGCACCTTCTCTCTCGGTTTTATGACCGACTGTGTTATCGGAAGTCGTATCGACTATACATGTCCTTCAGAAGCTTGTATAACGACATTTTAAAAGCCAAATTGTTGATTAATGTTTCAGAAACAGTAATATTTAGAAAAAAACACACATCGTCACTGAGCGCTATTTAAAAAGTGTCTTTTCACCTATTCAGTAAACTGTGACACAATTAAGATACCAATGCAGAGATAAAATGTAATTTTTGCAATATCGCCCTGCAGATTCAAAACAACTGGGACAATTTTGTATCGCGACATCTTGCGTTTCATAAAAAAAGCTCAGTTTCGCAAAAATTTCTCTTGTTACTAATAACCGAGATACCCCGCAATTTTAAGTAAAATGGTACACACTGATCAGGGTGTTCGTGTGAAACTTTGAATGTATTCGATGTTATAGGTTTGACAGCAGAAGAAATTGTGAAGAAAGAGTGATTAGTAACTAATTTTAATGTTAAGTAATTTATTACGCTTGTTAGACATAAATCTACTTTATGGGTGTTATTCGGTCAGTTAAAATGGCTAGTTTTGGTTAGTTTTAGTAAGCAATTGGCGGGTAAACTAACTAAAACTAAATTTATTTAAAAAAACATTTTGACTTTGTCATATTACACGCTGTATATTTAAACTATATAAAAGATTCACTTACTGCATTTGTCCAAACGAATTCAGGAAGTTTTCCCAATCGGAATCGATTTAAGTCGACAACGATTTGAACAATACGTATAATAAATTACAATAATGGAAATCGTTCGTCAATGAAATAGTGATCATCGATGCACGAAAATGCTGCCGACTTGATGATCTGATACCGACTGAACGATCTAGGAAAACTTAACGGTGAATTTGCTAAAAAAACCTTTTTATAATTGATCTGTTAAATTAAGTGAATTTCGTTTTCCGTAACATTTCTTCGTTCACCTTGCAGTTCGATATACTTTTTCTCTTTTTTTTAGTGTTATCCGTTATTTTTTACCGGCGTGAAATTCTTACGATTGTTTGATATTTAGTATTTAATGTTAACGCTTAAAGTTAAGGTCTCGGAAATTCTATGGCGCACGTTGAATGCAATAATGGAGCAAAGGCTGCTTGAAAAACAGACAAACCTTCACCAGAATTAAGGAATCGGTGTTAGCAATTCAATAGTTCTTTCTTGGTTTTAGATAATCTTGATGGTATTTAACATAAAGCAAATCCAGTTTTGCGAAAGAGGTCATGACAAAAAATAAAATTAAATAATATTTACAGATACGTATTTATCAGAAGAACGTAATTTAGTATATGTTCATTACAATTTTTTTAAGACTTTGCAATGTAATAACAATTTTAAAATATAGGAGTAAAAATGTACATATATACGGAAAGTTTGGAACACGGTTCAAATTCTTAAAGTAAATTAGCTGTTAAGCAGAACTAATGAGAATATTTTAGAATCGTCCTTGCATTTCCTATTAACTGACGAATACCTCGATGCGGTTATTACTCGATTTGTTGTTTCTAATTATTTATTATTCAAATCGGAAATAGCACGAAATATACACAAGAAAATTCAAAGTAATGGAAATATGGTGATCGATTCAAAGTTTCAAATATAGAATACAAATAAAAGGTTTTGCTAATATAAAACTATCTTACCCGTCAGATTGGCTGAATGGAATGGAAAATAAAAAAGAACCGCTTACAACTTCTGCATTTTGTTATTGCATTTATCTTGTTCAATTCTGCAAATCGCCCAAATTAGGTAATTTTCTCTATTTGATGCACGCAAAATACAAACGTGCAGCTAATTGGGAAAACATGATTTTTCAGATTCGTGCTTCCTAAAGTGCTGAAAGACATACGTGTTAGTATGATGTGCAATTACCTTTAAAGACGGCACTTTGGTCATGAGTTTGTTTCATCGCTAGAAGGTATTTATTAAACAAATTTATAAATCTATTACATACAACAAAACCATCAGAACTGATAAACGTCAGAATACCGACAGTGTCTTCAATATCTACCGAAAGCATGTGGTTAAAGTAATTTTTTAAAGAGGCCAAAATAAAATATTTAACTTTATTTTGTGTTCATAGTTTTCGCAATCTTTAAGGTTTAATTCAGCTATGGTTTTATAGAAACTCATAAATCATATTATTAGCAGGAAACGCAGAAACACAAAAGAATAGAAAAAAATTAGCAATTTGAACCCTTAGAGGAATGTTAACGGTTCTTTCCAAAAACAAATTTATATTGAGTAATCGCAGAAATATATATCTCACGCACATTCTCTTTAATTTCGTATTCTATGAAAAGTTTTAAACAAAGTTCATCCAAATTTTCTACGCTTTTCCAAATAAGATAGCATATTATGCAATAAGTGTAATAGACGACACCTTAGTCACGAGCGGTGTCAGTATTTGCTAAATCCCCTTCTAAAACCTAATGTTGGAATAGCCCCGTATAGTTTCCTAAACCGCCTGAAATAGTTGAATTTTTCGATAAATTTAAGAAATGCAATACGTAGTGTTTTCTTTAAGGGTGTGGTCAAACGCGCTTTTTGCGTAAATCTAAACAATAAAAACAATAAAAAGGGAGAGCACCTTCGCTGATATCGAAATGTATAATTTCAAAGAAATCAGTTGTTCGCTGAGCAGATATTCGACTCTACTTGATTGTGAGAAACTCCGACACATTCAGTCGCTTGCGCCGGTATATAGAAATAACCGAGGGCCAAACACAAACCTACTGCTTCAGGTTGCCAAGCAACAGTGCTTTCAAACAAACCAATGTTAGTTACTATTCCCTTCAGTCCAATAATTGTTGCTTTAGACAGTAATAAAATAAGCACAAATGTCGTACAGAGAAGTGAGAAGTAAGTAATATTTTTAATGTATGTATTTTTAATGTAAATCAATGTCCATAGTCAGATTCGCTAGTATTATGTGGGTTCATGATAGTATATGAAACAAATAACAAAACAAACATATATGCTAGAAGAAAAAAATGTCAGTACCTAGGGTTGTGGTGAAAATATTATTAAATATTATTAAATTATACGTGTGCTGATAAAAAGTGGGACAATTACATCAAATGTTTTACATTACATTGCTAACACCATATTTTCGCGTTTTATCTAAAATCATTGGTGTAGTCTTTTTGTTTTCTTTATTTACGTTTCTTAAACATTTCCGTAAATATGTTTTAAATAATTTCATAAATTTTCTCAAATGAGTATCTAAAGCTTTCACTACTATTTGCTGAATACTGCAGGGGTAAGTTCCCTTTTCCATTTAAGTTTTGAAATACCAACCTGTTGATAATTGTACTATATAAATGTAGTATATGTCTGCTTCATTTATGTTCAGAATTTCATTTATAGCACATAATAATACTATACCTGCATGATAAACGTGCATTTCGCAAACAACCTACGGGTTGTCATGGTAACTCCTTCAAAATTGTCCTCTGTTTTTTAACAATAGCCATTTTCCTGTTTATCTCTCTTAATATCATAAAATAGTTTTTGTAGTAAAGCAACAAATTTCCACATATAATTCGTGTAAACGCAAATTTATTTTACTTTTAACAACAGATTTGCTCGAAATGCTACGAGCTTTGGAGTACCCGAACTTGATATCGATGGAGAGCTTTAGAAAAAACAACTTTGCGCTCATTGCCGACATTTTGGTGTGGCTTGCAAAACTGTTTGATCCCGATACCCACATACCTCTAGAAATATCCACCGAAGACGATAGAGTTAAATTTATTCGAAATGTTGCTCAATTTATGGTATGACACCCATTATCCAATCTCCCCTCTAGTTACCTACGTATTGACATTGTCATTGTTTACTTAGGCTCTGAAAGGCAGCGTAAAGCTGAATACGAAAAGATTATACCAAGCTGATGGTTATTCAGTTAAAGAACTTTTAAAAATAACCACTCTTCTGTACAATGCACTGAGCACCGATTTGGACGCTGAAGATGATGACGAAAATAACGATAGTTTCAGTTTCCGAGATTTTGACATTTCCGACAAGGTGACAAGAACATTTCAATTTTTGCCACCACTTCATAACAACTTTCTTCCGCAGGTGAGCGAATTGAAACTCTCCAGACAACTAGCTAGCGAGATTACAACGACTGGGGCAACATTGTTTGATTTGCTTGGAAAAGAAGTGAACCTAAGAGTAAGTAAGGAAATGTTCTGCAGTTAGTTATATATAATTTTCTTTGAGTGTAGAGTATTAGGGACTGCCTGATTTAGAGACGGACAGGACTAAAGTTTGTTTTCAACTTTTTTAAACACCTATGATAAGTACAGGCAAGATATATAAGTGGGATGCTTGCATAGATTATCATTTTCGGCATAATAATGATTAATTTATTATTGTATTGTATTTGTATTAAAGGACAGAACCTCAGGGATAAAATTATAATTATATTAAGAAAAACTTATCACATTAAATATTAATACATAATTACATTAAATACATAATTACATTTTTATTCTAAATATGAGCTACTTTTTATATAAAGGTTAGAGTTTTTATATAACCTATATCCTTTAATTTCTTGTAGGAATTTCCAAGTGCGTGCGATTCCATTACTTTGTCTAACTCGATGACTGACATTCTATAGTGGTTTTATCTTCTTCTAGTTTCTTTTTTCAGTTTATCTAAGGTAGAAAAAATTTCGCTGTGATGAACACAATATAGGAATATTTTCCTTCTCATTAAGTTTTGTTCAATATTAAATGAGATTGAAAATCACTGTTTTTCCTTCCTATTCAATTCTTTACTATTTCACAACAATATTTACGGTTTTAAAAACAGGTAAGTTTGTTATATAGCTTCTTGCCTAATAAATCATCTACTAATTAAAGTTTAATTTCACAAGCTTTTTTGCATCTAATGTCATTCTTGCAAAACATCCTCTTCCAAACGCACTGCTACTAATATATCAGCCGACATATTATACCTGATGGTCGACAATCCAAAAGTCTTTGGTCCACCCCTGCCTTGTCACTCAACAATAGGTCATCAAATCGTTAAAGGTTTATCGGGGAAGGTCCGTCGAAAGCAACACGATATACTTTGAGATCGCTATATTATGTTGCTTTTCCGGTATATTCTAGTCGGAACGGCAGAAAAGTATTGGCAGACAATTCGAAATATCAGAGGTGGAGGAAGGTATAAAAAAAGCTATAGAATCAGTATCCGCGGAAATATCCGAGACGGAGCAGCTGATTGAAAATTACACGGCGACGGAAGCGAGCATTGATTCAAAAATAGAGAGAAGAAAAATTGAATTGGACAGATTCGAAAAGAGACTGCAGACGCTTAAGAAAGTCAGGTATGATGTACGTTTTCAATGTAAGTGTTGTTCTATCTTGTAAGATACAATAGCTGAGCCTGAAATAGAAAATAGAGCTCACAGTACAATTTTATTATTTATTTAGGCCTGCATTTTTGGAAGAATTCACCACTTTGGAACACGAGCTCGAACATCTCTTCGTACAGTACTCCGTTCGTCGACGTTGTCTCAACTTGCTGGAAAAGCAGTTCGCGGACTCGGAAAGAATACAGCTGGAAAAGCAGCTGCAGACCATCAAGCCGTCTATTCAGACCGTTCCTTTAGAGAATCCAGACAGGATCGATTCGCTCGTCGACCTTGAAATCGACCAAGAACAAAGGCCCGGGGCAATTAACAGACAGGACAGGCCTAGACCAAGTACGGGAGGTATATTGGAAATTTGGTTATTTTTGACAATGACGCGACTACACCGGTAAAAAATATTTTTTAACTATCAAATTGCACATCAAGGGTTAATGCATATAAGACAATCGCCGGCGCATACAGACGCAGATTTATACTATTTACAAATCTTCTGAATTCCACCTGCATCGGTTGTTGATTAACTGAACTTGCTGACGTTTCGCCAATCATCCTGTTGGCTTCTTCAGAGCTTAACTGAAACTGACTGACTGCCAGCAGTTTCAACAATCATTTTGTTAGCATTTTCAGAGTTTAACTGAAACTGACTTACTGAAAATAATTTCAGTTAAGCTCTGAAGAAGCCAACAGAATAATTGGCGAAAGATTTGTAAATGGTACTACAGTAGCCCGTGGAAGTTTCTTCGAAAAATTATAAAGCAGATTTATGTTTTGTTGAAATGAATTATCGCTTGCTGTGTAAGCGCAAATAATTAAAAACAAAAATAAATTATATAAAATACAAAGCCTAGCCCAGATAGTAAAAAAAAACTTTAAATTTGACATCAAAAGCAAAATATATAAATCTTAGACGTCTTAGTTTTGACATTCTCTATTTTTTGTCCAATATTTCGTTTACTTTTTATTCTTTGTGCATTTATATTTTTTAAGTTATTTATTGCTGCCTATAGAACAAATTTTTTTGAGATGTTTTTTGAAACCACTTTATGATGTTAACATTATAAAACTCTGCCTTAAATTCCCATCTAGGAAATTATAAAAACGGGCCTGTAAAAATGTGTAAGATTTGTTTTTTGCACTCGCATGTTGGCCCTATCCTATTAATTAATTATAAATGACATTCACGAATGTTTCACTCTTGGTTGTTGATTTTTATTGACGAGCTGAGTTAATATTTATTATATACTCATTTGAACTTACGATTTTAACATTTTGTCCTTGCAATTTCGGATAAAATTAATCTTCATATCTGCGCAAATTAAAGCAGATTCAAAGATTTCACTATAAAATTCACCGCATCATCATTAATCGTCAATCAATCTTCGCCTGATTGACTTTTTGCACTGTTCAACATATTGTTTTATAAAAATACTATTGTTTATATCGACTTGAATTTCTTTTTTCCGCTTAAATAACTTAATAGTATTAATAATTTGGTTGCTATTTATAATAATTTTTTGATCGGTATTAGGTCGAAAATCGCAACGGACTCAGCAATCTTTCGGAAGCATGCGACCGCCCATCTCAGGGAGTCAATCGTCGTTGGACTTGAGTTCCGACACCGAGACTGACGATTTATTCGTAGACAAGGAGGAGCCCGAACTTATGCACTCAGACGAGGAATCGTTAGCTCTGGAGTTGTCCGGAATCGATCGAAGGGCGCCGACAGTCAGGAAGACCAGTAGCAGGATGCAGGAACAAAACAGCGACGATGATTTTTAGACGAAAAGGAAAATCACCCAAAGTATAATGGATTAAAAATTTTATTCGTTAATAAATAAATATACGCATAGAATATATAAATAAATATAAAACGTAAAGCATATCACATATCACCTATGTTGGCAGCCTAATAGCCGGTTACTAATATTATAATACATGAAACGCAAATGGGATTTGCGAACGTACTAGGGTAGTCATGGTGACGTCATAGCAAGTCAGTCAGGTCTTGGTAGTAAATAATCTGCAATAAATCCTCGGTCAGTCATTGGTCTTTATTCTCAGTCTAGTTATCAGAAATATATTAGTGATTTTGTCGGGTGAAAATGTCAAGTCAGATTTTGCGGATGAAGAAGAAGATATATTACTGGCGTGAGGAGAGTCCTGAGAACACGGTCTCAATCGTATGTTGTCACTGATAAGGCATAGTCATAGTTGCGACGCAACAATGCTTTTCTTTATGTCACTAAATACTAACGTTGTTAAAGGGAAAGCCTGGTTTTAATTTTGTATCATTTGTCTGTCAGTCGTTAGTCTGGACGTTTAAGTTGTGAGTTGGCCTTTTTCTGCGGGTCGAATCTACCTTTTTTTAAGGGGTTGGAGCTTAGATGTCGTCGTTGTCAGTCTTTTGTTGGGTAAGGTGTAGATTTCAGTCAGTCTCGTTTGGTCTAGTCGATGTTTTTCGATATGTAATGCTTCGCTTTCGTGCCGTCGGTTCTTTCATATTAAAGCAAATGGACGCTTTGACCTAACGTTGTTTCCAAAATATCCTTTAACATTTAATTACGTTCAAGTTAAGAGCCACGTTGTCGATTAGTTTGTTTTTTGGTCATCAGTTTCGGGAGTTCTTCTGAATATTGATTAGTTGAAGGCAGTTCGGGCACATCCACTAGATCCGGTGTTGGTTCTGTTGCATAGGAAAATTCCCAATCATCGCTAAAAGAAATATTATTCCTGTTAATAAAACATAAGCAGTACTAATATTTTTTTAATGCGAATCAATAGACCAAGAGGAAATAGGAAGGCATCAATAAAAATGGTAATTTCAAATCTTCTGATTTTTTTCTGCATCAGTTGATGGTGAATGAAACTTACTGAACTTTCGTCGTTTTCCTCAGAGTTTAACTGAAACTGGTTTGCGTTCTACGGTGTACCTGCTTATATATTGGGGCATTCCCAAACCAGTGAAGGGTCAAGACCTGATTCTCGGAATTTTCTTTTGGGTAGAAGAATTGATTACATGCAAGAATTTTATTTTGGTATGTTTGGCAACTGCTGATGAGATTATTTGTTATAGTCTTTAGGCTCTTACATACTTTTTTAGCCTAGTTGACCGTTTTTGTCCTGTCTCTCCAATGTGTTGCCGTATATGCATGGAACAGAGAGATTTTTGGACCAATGGAAAAAATTATTCTTAAGAACCTTTGATTTGTAATGTTAGGAAGGGCCACAGTGGCAAGAGTGAGGTTGTCTTCGCACTCATTGTATTTGGGAGGTTGTGGTGAGGTGTACTTTGTGAGGGAACGTTTAATATCTCTGATGTAAAATTATTAGAGAGCAGCTGTAAGGTGTTTTAATTCTGGGTCCAGTGATTCGGATTAAGGTAGCTTTACAACTCTGTAAACAAGGGAGTTGATATCTGATGACTTCTGGGCAGGATAGCGATGTGACAATGGTAGGTCTAATTTTCTATTAATAAGTATATTTAGGAATAGTTGTTATTATTAGTTTCTAATTTAATGATAATACACATATTCGGGTCTATAAAGTATAAATGGCTTAGAAAATCTCGGAGGGATTTTTAACCATTAGAAAAATTTAATAAAAGTATCATCAAAGTAGCGTCACCATAGTATTGGTATTACTTAGAAAATGTTCGATTCATCCACAACCGACGCAGAAGGAAGCCAGAATTTAAAAACAGTATTACACAGGTTACTGAAGTACATTTCAAGAATAATAAAAATGTTTCATCACGTAAGGGGTCCGTAAGGTTTTATCTTATTCTTTTATCCATTTCTGCAAATCATTAGCCCCATAAAGGATTTAATAATTTGTTATTAACAACTGACTGTTTGAGCTTTATGAAATATTCATAAAAATTGTTTAGTAATAAATATATTTTATGTATAAATTTTATGTATTAAATATTTTTTAGTTCTATTTCACAACTAGTCCATTATTTTTTTAATTGAGTGAAAGTTTTGGATGGGTGTCCATATAATCAGTTTTGCGTTTATAAAACTAAAGGTTACAGAATTTCTCATATCAAGTTTCACCAATTTCCAGGAAATAAATTGTTAATGAATATTGCTTGGACCAACATGACAGAACATCATCTTTTTTAGCGTCCCTCCTACATCACAAATGAATCCTTCTCTAGGTACATGCGCTAAACAAAATTTATAGGGTGTTAAATATACCTGTCTCCACTGGGAACGACATCCAAATCAACAATTCGTACTTTTCGAGGTGGCTTGTTGTTCCTTTCGATCATTCTCTCGGCAAAATCGCTCACACGAACGTGATGGTTATAATTCCTACCATCGGATACAGTATCGGCGTGGGCTGCTGAAATTTTCACGAATCTTTTGTCGTCAGTTGTGTCTCTGTTGCTAATAACTCGAGATTTAAAGTCAAGTTTGTCGTCAATGTCAAGTTTCCCGCCGAGAGGGCCGTCTTTCATGTTTGCAAAAAATTGTTCCTGAATGTCATCTACGTCAATTCGGTCTCTGTGGTAGGGGTCTTGTAAGTGGTGTGGTCTGTGACTGTCGATGTTGTACGTTACTGCGCCGTCATCGTCAATGTAATCGTCATTGTACAACGGTTTGTTTAAAGAAACGAAGGGGCGTTCATAAGTTGAGTCGTGGGATGTTTGTTGATTAAGGTTGTAGTTGTAATCGTCTAGAGGTTTTCGGTCGAAATAATTATTAGGTCTTTGCTGGTTTATTGTAACTATAGCACTCGTAACAGGTCTTGGTGTCGGCCCGTGGTAGCCATGCGTTTGAGAATATACGTGATAGTTAGAGTGTCCGTTGGGTCTTTCTGTAGTTAACGTTTGTGGTTTTCTTGTAGTGTTGCCCCCGGTTGTCAAGTAATAATTGTTCGGTCGCTTTTTTTGTTTCGTCGTCGTCTGGGGATGGTACTGAATATTAATGTTAATTTCGATGGGTCTGCTGTTGATTGTTGTCTGTTCAGGCACCACTCCGAACAAGTACGAAACTTCAGAATGCAGCGAATCTTGCACACGTATGCGATTGCTTTGAAACGCTGGCCGCTTGGGTACAGTATTTAGTTCAGCATATTTCGTTTGGGCAGATATCGGATCATGAGACGCACTCGATCTTTTAATCTTCTTAGTATTCGGTTGGTCGTTTTCAACGTTAGGAGCTTTTTCGGCCCAAACTCCTAAATTGAAGCTGCGCAGTTCCCTACTATTACAAGGTACGCGCCTATTCTTTACATTATCCGGAGATAGAAATACGAACTCTTGAATAGTCTCGATTTCGTTCATTGTTTGGCATAAAATCTGCGATAGGGAAACTTTCCTGATTTGCTGCAGCTGGGCGGGTGTGAAGGAGGACTCGAATCCTCCGTTTTCATACCAGAATCGATCTCCTCGTCTGAGGTTTAAAAATTGTTGAGCGATGATGCACGCGAAGGTAGGACCAACGACGGATCCTCTTAAAGGTCGTTCCGCCAAGCCGCCGGTAAATAAATCGACATCGTCGATGTGATCATACAATGACTTAAGCCTGCTAACAACTTCAACGTTCATGATTTTTTCCAAATCGGTCCAATTCCTTATTGGGTTTAATCCGCATGGCGCCCTCCAGGATGTATACGAAGGGATGCCGTGATCCCTTCCTCTTTGGATATTGATCGCGCCCAGATCCATGCCAAATGAGAAGGCGTCGGAAAATTGGAACAGGTGATTTGTGAGTTCGCTTGCCATAAATTCGTCTCTTTTTTGCGACGCCTGGTTACTTAAACCGAGAAGCAGTCTGTCCACGGCTCCAAAACTCCAGATGTTTTGCGCGTTATTTAATTCTTCGTGGAGGGATACGTCTTAAATGAAAACGATGAAGACATAGTAGAAAGTTGGTCCAAAAAGTATATCTCGGAATCGGTTTAGACAAATCCTTCATTTTTTAATAAAAACTAATGGAAGTAATATTTAACGAAGCAGTTAGAATCTCTCCAAGAGCGACAGGCTTTAAATTATTAAAGAAAATTTTTGTCGTATTGGATATTATTTAACGGTTCATTTCTATTTCTAAAATTTTTGGATTAACAGTGCTTATACATTTTCTTGTAAATTTTAAAAGCTATATGAGCCAAAGGGCAAGTAGCTTTTTAAAATACCAAACAAAATTTTACAAAAAATACGAAATTTATGAAAGCTTTTGCGAGGAAACTTAGATGTAGATGAAATTTTAATAAATTACATAATGTAACAAAATAAAACAACATGGTTCCGAACATTCAACAAGTGTTTTTAGTCTGCTTATTGTGCTGATTGCAACAATTGAAAGTAGTTCTGGTAAAGGAAAAAACGTATACTTAATGGCCAAAATAGGAATTTCCGACTGAAAATTAAGTTTTAATTAGCCAATTTTTTTTATATACTATGCCAAACTAGTTTTACTGGCCCTACCTAATTCATTGATCCTAATTACGTTATTACTAACTTACCAGAATTGATTACGATGGTTTTATAGCATCAAAACACTGAATTTAAACAACTGTGTAAATCATCCCGATGGTTTTTGTTACGCAAACCTATTTCTGACTTTGTGAGAAGAGTAGCCTATTTTGGAGTTTGTTTGCGAGGTCAGGATAAGTCTTAATCTTCACATTTTGATGTGTAAGACATGTGTTGGTTTGGAGAATACCGCGAAACCATCACGGAGACTGCTATTCTTGTCTCGTTAATCAATCAACCTAGATCTGTAAGAGGACCTATAGTATACAAGGAAGGAAAACCCGTTCCATTCTTCAGCAGTTTTCCTGAACTCACAGGAGATGTTAGAGAACCATTAACACCTGACAAAGTTCAAGGAAGTCAATCGGGAAACGACAGGAAATTTGAAACGGATTTCAAAACTTCGCCTCTGACCTGAGAGGACCAGGTGAAGAAGATCCGAAAGTCCTCTGACCCTGGTCCTCCTGAAAGACCCTGCAGAATTACTTGCATCGAGATTAAAAAGGGATAGAGATCTGCTGTTTTTCGGACGGGAAAATAAACTAGTATTCTGTAATAATAAAAGAGAACTATTGTTTATACTACAGACGATTGGTGCCATTTTATTGACTGAAAAAGTTTACCGAACGTGTTGCATACTATACCTTTTCTACGACCGTTAGTTTTTGGGTACATTTTTGCAAAACCGACATAACCGTCAGAACTGACAAACGTCAAAATTGAAGGCGTGGGAAATATCTCCGAAAACATCCGATTGCTCCCAAACCAGTGCGTGTAAAATCCCGGAAATGTCCGAAGTGGCTCAGTTCTGTGGGAAACGAAACTGAAGTGGTAAGTGAAGTGGCGCTTTCCGAACGCTAGATCGACGTGTAATTAGGCATTTTACAGACTCGAGAAGAAAAATTATGTTATTTATCATCTAATGTAATTCAAACTTCCAATCCAATTGATTCATAGTCGTAGCCAACTAGTTATTTATTATTAAGAAGCATGTTTAGTTAAAGGATTTTATAAAATTTAAATAAAATTAAGTGCTGTAACCGATTTCGAGATATTTATAGCCAGCACAATTCTGCCATTGAACTTACTGTTACTGAGAGGCATATGCTGGCTGTCAGTCCTGATAAACGAATTCTGAACCATGCTATGACCGAATCGAAAGGCCGCAGTAGCAAACGAATTCGCTACACCCGGATCAAATTTTGAATCGTATAACGTATAAAATCCCTTGTTCTTCAGCCTCAATTCAAACAAGTCTGTTACTTCGGGACCAACAACGAGGGGTAAGAACTCTCTGTACGTTATGTGTTGGATAGCAGAGTAAACAATTTTTCTTGTTTCCTGGAATGTTCTTTCGTCGCTCCAATGTTTGTTAAGCTTAGACAAAACCGTGGCTATTTTGTTATGGTATCGGACAAAAACTGTATGCATCGCTATGAGACCAGGTTGTTCGCCCAGTCTGGCATCACCAGCTTCCATGCAATCTTCGGTTATAGCACCCGCTCTGCACAATTCACTCTTTTCCGGATTTGGAGGGTTCAAAGGGCCGCGGAGATGGGAACGTCCATAAATGATTTTTCCTAGAAGAATCAATCCATTGGGCCGCTCAGAGGAAAACTTTTTTTTGCTTACTTGTATATTTGGATATAAGTTGTTACGTTAATAATATATTATGCACAAATGTGCTAAACAGCATTTGAGCTTATTTGGCACGACCAGCGGAGCGAGTGATTAATAAACGAGTGACAAAAATTTTACCAACGTGTTGCATACTCAACTTTTTCTATGTCCGTTAGTTTTTGGGTACATGTTTGCAAAACAAAACGAATACGCACGCTAGATGGGTGTATAATTGGACATTTAAAGGAGGGAGTGGTAAATAGTATATTATGCAACAAGTGCGGTAAACGGCATTTGACTCACGAGTTTATTTGACTCGACCAGAACGCAGTGGAGCGAGTGTTTAATAAATGAGTGATTTGAAAAGTTTACCGATCGTGTTGCATACTATACTTTTTCTACGACCGTTAGTTTGACAAACATCAAACGTCAAAATTTAAGGCGTGGAAAATATCTCCGAAAACATCCGATTGCTCCCAACCTATGCGGTAAAATCCCGGAAATGTCCGAAGTGAGTCGGATCCGTGGGAAACGAAACTGTTGTGGTAAAGTGACGCTTCCCGCACGCTAGATCGGTGTGTAATTAGGCATTTTACAGACGGGAGTAGAAAAATATTATTAGTTAAATGTAATTTCTTCGTTGGGAAAACTTTTACTGGGAAAAAGAATAAATATTTACTTATCCAAAATAACGTTTGTGTATCAAAAAAAAAAAAAATTATAATGTAAAATTATGACATTTCTGTTGCACTCAATTGTTCTTAAATGTCAATAACTGATAAATATGAAGCTTATGAGTCGCAGATATAGAAGAGTACAACATGTTTATGATCGCAACGGTTTTTTGGAAAAGAGTACATCTAGATCCCACCAAATTTTACTGTAGGAAAAAAACTTTTTAAAATCTAATTACATACACGTATGTACAGGTTTACGGGAATGCGAAAATTTTTATTGGAAATATTTTTCAAACATAGTTAAGTAATTTGTGTCATAGTAACATGTCCAAATAAGCAATTTAATTGAAAATTCATTCAAACGTTAATTTTTAATGATAAGAAGAAATAATATTACAAAATTTGATGGTTCCATTTTAGAAAAATATTTTTTTTCAGTTAAACTTTATCATCGTGCAATGATAGCTATGAAAATATCTCGAACCTGACAATTAAATATACAACTAAATTAAATTCAATGAAAATTCAAATGAATTTTGAATTCAAACTTTGAATTACGTTAACTTACCACCTCTAAAAGTTCTGATGAAATTTAAAGTTTCCAGGTCGTTTCCATAGATCATGGAAGCGTCTATGAAAGAGGTCACTTGATTGATTTGCTCTCTCCAACCCAAGTGGCAATTTATACCGATAGATGGAGCCGATCGTACGAATTCCATGCAACGAATACCGAACTGACTAAAAAACCAATCGTCGCGTGGTACTTCTATTGGTAGGCAAGACGGGTGCTAAAAATATAGAATGAGCATCGAAATGTCAAGCTGTAATATTAGCGTAGTACTGTAAAATTAGATGGAAGAAATCCGCGGCCCATCATATCGCAGCATCGGGGAATTGATCCGTTAAAGCTTCTAGATTTGACAACGGAGACGAGATCGTGATCAATGAACTGACCCCACTGCATAAACATTAGAGTCACGCTTTCTAGTTCTACATTTTTGTCTCTGTGTATCTTGGTGCTGATTTCGCGTGGTGATGGAAGTTGATGCCCGAGAATCGATCGTTTAATGCTTTGAATTCCTGTAGAACAAATTCTTCATTTTCGAGCCTCTATAAAGGGCGTTGTTTAATGGTGTATGAGTACAAAGGGGTATTTTAAGATAAAATATCCTAAGCTTTGAGGTACAGGGCGGTTAAAGTTTCAGGAAATATTCATTTTTTTTTCTCTAAGAAACTATTCTAGATCAAAAAAAATTAAACCCGTTCTCTGCATGAAGAGGCATTTTTATGTCTACAACACTTTTTATTCCTACCAATACGCCGGCGATTTGTACTGCATATTTTTGGAAAAAATGGTACTTTACTGACGTTTTTTCAGGTAAATATTTCCTCTGGATAGTGTAGTCCTTTCTGCATAAAAGCCATCAGTGTTTGCGGTTTTTTCCTGTAAGATTCACCGTGCTTCTGTACTTCTTAAGAAACTTTTTTTGGTTATATGAGTATCACATTCTAAAAGTACAAGCATTATTTTCGACAGAAATTTCACACCTTGTAAAGTTCTGTCCAAGAACAATTTCATTCAACAATCATGTAATTTTTTTTCTATCTCAATTGCAGTGAGAGATCAAATCTGTTACCTCCACAATCGGAGATAGGCCATAACAATGGCCGATAAGATCTCCCGATCCCAATAGTTTAGATTCATGTTTATGGGACCACCTTAAATGCCTAAAACTCTTCTTAACGCTTAAGAAGATTTGAGGCACTGAAGGTAAGTTGATGAATGTTCGTCTATGTCTATGCAATTCAATGCGAAGACCGGTAGATAAGGCGGCCATTTTAAATTGTAAATATTTTAATCAAGAATCATCCGCCCAGAAAAACAGAAGAAACGCAGAAATGTCTACAGTATGCAATGAAAATATTCACAAAACGTCGGTGGCGGACCGTTGTTTTTTTTTAAATATGCTATACGAAGGCGGAAGCTACTGGTACAAATAAGAAAAAGTATTGCCTTTCCATGAACCAGAATGCACCTACCAATTTCCACACTCATATCTAGAATTCGTTTCTTAGAGAATTTTGTGGAAAAGTTTACTTTAAAGTTAGTTCGTTTTTTTTGTTGAAATGAATTGAAGAATTATCTCGTTCAATATTGACAAACAATTAAGCACGACAAAGTGGAAGAATGCGCTACCGTCTTGATAAGCTGGAGGCAAAAATCGTTGGAGAGGTACCATCGCCGCACCTCTCCATGGTTGGTCAACATTGTTGCATATCCCATTTGGCGTCCTAAATCTTTTGGAAGCGAGGGGACATCTCGCGTGATCTCTGAAGGGACACTCGTCGGGACTTATCCTGGGTTGTATGTCATTTGGGAAGCTCGGAGATTTCGTGTGAACATTTTCTCGATATCTGAAATTCGTTTATTTTCTACTTTAGAGACATAAGAATACAGATTTCGGGCACGTTATAGCTGCTTTTATTCCAGTAGTTAAATTTCAAATGATAGAATATATTAAAAATTGTGCGATGACTGTTTGCTCAAAATGAAGCCAATGGTAGGAAACATTTGTCTTCTTAACATAAGCACAGATAAAATCACATACATGTAATTATTGACTCTGGTTACTCTGTACAGTAAAAACAAACTTGGTTTATCTGGTTAAGATAATTTTTAGTGTTATATTGATATTTTCAATTTAGAATAACACCAAATTTTGAAAATAACAGTGCAGTGCGACAGAAGACTGGTCGCAACTCATATCTATGATCATGATTAAATCGTTGGAATTCGATAGCATTCAGTTTTTATGAAAAATAAATATATGCCAGTTAATACTTAAGCCACGCTGCATATTATATTAATTAAAAATGTCTTGCTTAAATGTGACATAGGACGAACACACCCTTAATTACTAACTCCAGTAACACAGCCAGCCAAAAGAAATTTATAACGAAAGTGACTTTCCCTTTAAACGGCGGAGCCCAAAATTGCACATAATAAAAGCAAATGTAACCCACATTCAGCCGACAATTTACAATGCCATCTCGCAGCTTACTTTCTCCTCGCTTAAAATTTCTACGATATAGAGATAAGGAGAAAAACAAATTTGGAAAAAAACTCATTCGTCCCACTGACCCGATTGAAATAAGTGAAATTGCTGACCAATAAATAAAAGGAAATGATAATAATAAAGAGCAGAAAAGGTTAATTATAGTTTAATCGTTTTGTTATTGTTTTCCTTGAAAGCAATCTAAATAACGGAAATAAATGTTATTGGTGCATTCACGTCTAGTAAACCATCTTCGCCATTGAATATTAAATTAAACTGTGTCATCTCGGTAATGGTAGTTGAGCTTTAGATCTGATGTAGTAGTTTAATTTTAATTGAATTAAGATAAGCTTAAACACGGCCTTGAACAACACGAAGCTATGAAAATAAAAGGTCTGCAGAATTCTTTAAAAAAAGAATACTTAGAATTTAAACTAGCCCTGAATTCATTAGTAGAATTGATAATAGCCAACAGAAAAGCAAAGCAATGAAGCAAAAAATAACCAAATAAAGCAACAAATATGCAAACGCAAATCTGCAACAACATATAACGGCATTCATTTTATTGTCCCACAAAAATGAAAATTATTCCGTTTTGACAAGGTTTGTAAGAAAACTATCATTTTATATATTTTTACGTTACTTAACGTCACTTAATGTTAAAAATCGAATATAAAAATTATAAATATATTAAAAATTCCCATCAAATAATAATTTTTGATTGAAAAAATTTTCTCTTTTCATTAAAAAATCTGACTATTGATTTAAAATTTAAATATTTATTTAGGTATATGCAAAATTTGATACCAGCGATGTATTGAGTGACATGTTGTTTATATGCAGTACGTTTTACAATACACGCGATAACAATCGGTCCGAAATCCGTCATCCAAGAGATGTACGTCATTGACTTTTTCGGAATTTTTGTTTTAAACTTTGAATAAGTCACTGGGAGTACAATTCTTTTCACTCTTCAATTGTTTACAAGCGAAAAAGTAAAATTTACAAAACTGAAAATTGACAAGACTTATTTTTTGGTCCTTTTGATGCACAAATAAACTTTGTTATAAAAAATTAACCTTAAAGAATATATTGAAAATTACCATCAACAGTTTCATTGCAGCTTCATTTTTTAAATATCTTTTATACATTTTTTTTCTGTCGTTTGTTATTTGAAAAATCTTATATTAATAATTAATAAAAACAATTGGAATCAAGTAAAAGTATACGCAGGTTATTTTCTTTAAAGGAAATATACTGTGAGTCTCTGAATTGTTGCGTAAAAAAAGTTTAGCTCTAGATGTCAAAACCCAAAGAATTTGAAATTTTGTAATTATATTTTTAAATGCTGATATTTTAGAAAGTTGCCACTTAACTGGTATTCCCTTTTGAAATTAGAATACATCGGAGTTGTTGATTTTGAAATTAATTAAAAAAATGTTGAAAGGCTCCTTAAACCACCCCTTTTAAAAAGCAGTTTTGGATAAGGTAATGATAATATTTTTCTCTGTATGTTTAGTTTAGGCTCAAAGCTTTTATTTTATATTAGCATAATTATTCCAAATAAGAACACGTAAATATTTCTCGATACTGTTTTTGTTGCTTTCACTCTATTTTTAATTAAATGATTTCAATGTAGAATTCGCAATTGGACAAGACGGAAGAAGCAAAATAAAAAAACAAACTAACCTTTCCTAAACCAACCCGTCAAAAGACGTCTACGAAATGGAAATCGTGATTGTCACTCGACGCAGTTATTGTTTAAACTAAATCGATGAAAATTGAGATGGACGCTTAAAAGCTTCACGTTTCGCAGTCCCTCCTATAAGAATACTTTCCCACCAAAATGAGCTAAAGTAGGAAGAGATATCAACTGCAGCTTTCTTTCGAGACTTTTTCGAATTATCCGTGCAGAATGGATTCAATTCGTTTAATAGCTTCGGATTTTTGTTAACCTTTTTGTTGTTTACAGAACTTGCTGTGCAATATAAATTGATTGTCAAATTTAGTTTATTTTTCGGGAATAAGATAGTATAATGACGGTATTTAAGTGTAAAGTAAGAGGTTTGAATCGTTAAAAAAGAAATATTTTCGAGGTAATTTAGGAAATCGAGCTATAATTAGGATCCGATTTATTAGTAATAAATAGTGTGACGTTATAGGTTGCCGCGCAAAAACATTGCCTCTCAATCTCAGATCCCATTAGGTTAATTTTTGAAGGAACTAAAATTTTGAAATTAATTAAAATGTTGAAAATTTGTTGTTTGAATGTAATAAAATTGCTATAATTCTATTAGTTGGTGATTCTTCGTATTCTATTCATTGATAGTTATCTAATAATAATTACAATCACAAATTCTCAATACATACTTAAATTTTTAAAAGCTTTAAATACTAGTTTTAAAACCAAGGACTTTTGCAAAAAACTAAGATAATTACATACATATAAATTTTCTTTATATGTCGAAAGACAGGTTTTATAATATATCCAGTTTTCGCGATATCACTAAAACTTGCATTTTTAAGTATTCATTTCATTTTAGATTCAGATAGAAAAATTTAATAGTCACTATTATGCCATCGGCTGATAAAGCAGTCGATTGACGTCATAATTTTTACTATTTTTGAAAAAACGTTAATCTCTGATCGAATTACATAATTAGCATGTCCTTTTTAAAAGATGATAAGCTTCTATTTTGATAGATTGCAACTCTTTTTATTTATTTATTTATTATATAAAATGTCTTTAAAACGCTATGAGCGTAAATTAATAAACCAATTCACTGGGAGGTGGATCGAATTCATCGTCTGCTCTGTGCCTTTTTGACAAAAATAAATAAGATTTATAAGATAAGAGTTAGGAAAAAATAAAAAATGCGGGTTCCGTAAGGAAAAAAAATAAATTTGATGAATATCTTGATGACGGGCTGTTTTAGAAAAAAATGTATTAACAAAAATATATATTAAAAGTTTTCTACACGAAAACAAAAATTTCACCAAGAAAACAGTTATTGAACCTATTTACAAGTTTGCTGGATTTCTCCTGCGTCTGCTTTTTATAAATCAAACTTTCTGGGGTTTCGCCAATCATCCTCTTCTTCAGAACTTAACTGAATCTGGTTCGCAGGATGATTGGCGAAACTTCACCAAGTTTGAAACAACCGACACAGGAGCAATCCCGAAGATCTGTAAATAGTTTTATAGTACACTATTTGGGCACTCTGCATTTCTATCACTTAGAATAGTGAAAAAAGAGTGCAGAAAAACTGCATCATGAAATTAAGGATTGGACTATCAACACTCAGGATTGCAGAAGTGATTTTTTATATTCAATAATACCAATACAACAAGTTTCTTTGGAAAAACAGCGATAATAAATAAAAAAATATTAATGTTATCGAACCATTCGTAAAATTAAAACTTTTGAGAATCTCCTCGTAACTTAAAAATTTCACCATTTAAGAGGATGAGGTTTTCATACTTGACCCGTTTTGAACTATTGGACCCAACCCGTAAAGTGTTTTTTTTTTATATATAAAATTGAAACTGCCACAAACAAATATCAAAGCTATCTTGCAATTTTAGATACAGGGTGATTTCAAAACTGTTGCAAAAATAATGAAAACTAATCTGGATAGAGTCCTTCAGGTAGGACTCTTTTTTCTCTGTTTTTTTTCTGACATTCACAGATGGTGTACAAACTAAACTTGTGATTTCTTGATTGGAACACTCTGTATATATTATAAAATTTTATTGGGCCTTATAGGTGTGAATAAATAGTGCACGCACACAAGTTTACTCTGACAAGCAACTAATTTCTTGTAATAAATTGTGTAATTTATATATAACAAAACTTTAGTTTGTATATCAAAATTTGTGAATTTGAGAACAAAACTGACTACGCTACTGAATCCTACTTAAAAGGCCTTATGCAGTTTTTACATTTTCGATAGGCTACCGCTACAAAGGGTGTGTGAAAATTCAAAATTTCTAAAATCACTCTGTATCTAAAAATCCAAGATGGCTGTGACATTTGTGTTTGTGACACCCTTTATTTCAAGAAAAAGTAGTCTTGGTCAACTGGTCAAGAATAGGACGTACTGTAGATAGACATTTAATTTACGTTTGAGATCCAGCGAAGAGACTTCAAAGAGACTTTCCCAGGGTGATTGGCGAAACGTCAGGAATTTTGATTCATCAACAATCGATGAAAGGGAAATTCTGAAGATTTGTAAATGGCAAAGAGACTAGTTAATATGTTATTGATTTATTTGAAAAAAAAAAAATGATTTTAGGACAATTGCACTCTGTAGTTTTACGCACCGAAGGTTTTCTTCACTTTTGTGGCACCTACATGTAGTACTAAATAATTCTGTTACGGGTCGGAAGTCGATGAGGTAACGATTCGAATTTTTGATTGATACAATTTACAAATCTAAAGTATATAACCGACCGCAAGGATTTCGCTCGCCGGCAATATCGTCACAGCAAATCGAGATTGCGGAACAGGATTCTGTTCATCTAACCAATTCGTCACAAAAATTTGTAGATGTTAATATTTCCTCAGATAGAAAACCGCGAATTTTGTACTCGACCATATCGCTGATAGATTGTTTTAGCTCGGGTTAATAAAAAGCCGCAGGCATGACTCAATTAATAGCCCGATATTTATGTGACTATTCAAATCGATTTCCGCAAATCTAGATCAACGTTAATGTCGAAAAAAATTGGTAATTAAATTTTGAAATGATGCGAATCAAGAGACAAAAATACTGCTCGTTCGATTCACATTGAGGTTAGTCCCATAAAAGTAAGTCACTTGTAACAGTAGATTCGGATCAATGCGTGCCTTTAATTTCTAATTTAGGTTCTTGGAGTTTCATCCTACACTATGAAAAATGTATTTCACTTACGATTGAACAAGTCTTTGGGTCGCTTCCAACATTGCGTACCCCATGTTGGACAACGCGATGGCCTTTCTGTTCATAGGAGCTCCGAACTTTGCCACTCTTGTGGCCGGATGAGTTTCGTCCAAATACAACCCTGAACAGACCAAAAAAATTAAATAAATTGTATTTACTAATTACGATAACGTAGAGGGTATTTTTAATAAGATTTCATAGGGCTATTCCTCAAATATCTTCAAGAAAAGAGAAAACGTTTTTGAATTCTTCTTTTGTCAAACATTCTTTCTTTATTCAGTTTTTCTAAAAATTGATTTTTAAAATGTCGAGTTCCAAATCGATCTTAGTTTGGAATTTTATTGTGGGACCACACTCAGATCAAATTTGAATATCTCACGTTAAAGTACATTTTCTCAAAATTTATTTAGAAAAAACAGCGCGAATCTCTCGCGAACCGACGTACATATCAAAATATTTTTCTTTAAAATTTTTGAAAATCGAGCAGTCGGAAACTTGTTTAAAAAGACACTGTATTTGAAGAACATCTGATTTTCCGTTTAAAATTCGAACGTATTAGTAGTGCAAAGCAGTTGTCGCAATTCCTAACATTGGTTGAACTTGAAACTCATCTTTGGCACAGAATATGAAGAGCGACAGTGGTTGCATTTTGGCAGCCCTTCGTACAATAACAATCTTAGAGGATTTTATTGCTTTAACATATTTTGTTCTGCAACTTTTACGCCATCCTGAACGACCGAATAATTAAAGACATGAAGCATTAAAGCAAATGGTCTTTGGGAAACATTAATTGTACTATAGTAAATATTTCAAAAATGTTTCAAACTTTTTTTAACCACACTAGTTAACTTCAAAAACAGCAAGTGACAAGAAATAGGGCAACAAAGTATTCACATAGTTCATTTTTTTTTGTGCAAAACTTTCCAACCAATACGCAAACCAAAAGTTACTAAATAAAAACATTTGTTTTTCTTTCTACAACTACCTCTAGGGAAACTAACCAAAACAGTTAATTAATTAGTATAGTATATTAATATTTCCTTTTCACCAACAAAAAAAAAGTTTTCGACTAACTTCGTGGGGGAACGTAAGAAATAAACTCCGGTTCATATTTCTCACAATTGTATTTTCATATTGGTTTTCCTCACACTTCGGTTTGAAATTTGAAAGGAGTACAAAAATTTTATTGTCTCATTTTTAGCTTAAAAGAGCAGAATCAGAGAGTGAATGAGAAGGACAATATTTAGCGCAAAACTGAGAGCTATAATTGAGTACAAGCAACGCGGTTGTGTGGAGTATTAGTAACAAGTTAACTGAAAAAATGGAAATTACTTGTACCACTTCGCAAATGAATTGAATAAAATATTGGTTTTGACCATAGATCACACTTACCTTGCTTATACCATAAGGGTTCTTTAATCTGCACTAAATTACGCAACAGTTCCATTCCATCTTCAACGGCTTGATCAACTTCTTGTTGTTGCGGTCTAACGTCATATTTTTTAAATTTATTTTTCGATATGTTATTAGCGTTAAAATTATTAAGTAGTGTACGGTCCCCTAAATTTCTATTGTGTCTAGAAAATTCACCTAGGTTAACAACCTTAAGATTCGAGTTATTGGAACTTTCGTTTTCTTTACGGATTTGAGAATAAGTCGTTTGTCTATCATCGTTTGTTTGTGTGTTACGTTCGCCAAATGTTATTTCGTCTACGTTATTTAGGTCGTTTTGTATTGTTCGTCTTATAGTCGTGGTTTCGTTTGCGATTGGAAAAAGTGCCACCAGCGCCATCGTCACCCATGTTACGTTCGCGATTCTTCTGAAACAAGAAAAAAGAGTGTCACGCTAGCGGGCGTTTGTTTCCGAAACTTTCGGTTGGCAACGGGCTACCGTTTAACGCTCATTCTCTTCAAAATATGGCTAACGTATACCTCATCATGCACTTAGTTTAATTGCAAAATTCGCATGCACATCACAACACAACTTAACTATTCCGATATGCAAAAGTACTAAACAGGCATCGCGTACAAATGAGAAGAAGTGCTCAAATGTCTTGATGATGCTGCTAAAGCACAGTTATATATGCGTTAATTCCGATGGCCTAAAGGCATCCTGTTTTTTGCACGACCGTATAGTCGCAATTTTGTAGGTTTTTCTGATAGATGGAGTCTGGTGCTCAGACGAGGACCGTTAGTGTTGTTTAAAATTGGACTCCGTTCTATGGTAGTTAAATATTTGGTGTTTTTTCGACGTTATTTGGTAAAGTCGATTTAAACTGTAAACGCATCAGCGTGATAGAAAATTGAACAAAATTTGATACTACAAAAAGGATAATTAATGAAGAATCTTGTCTTTGCCTTGCTCATGCATATGGGGTAATCGTCGTTGTTGTTTAACGACTTTACCGGTATTATTCTTAATGATATTTTATACGATACGATAAAACGATATTTTCTTTAAATGTTTGTAAAAAATGATATATATATAATAACTTTATTTTGTAAAAAAGCCTAAATAAATTTATATAATTACAAATTTAAAACATTTAAGCCTTTTATAATGTTTTCAAAAAATGTTTACCAAAAAATTTGTATGTATTTTTTCAGGAGTATTTAAAGAAAAGTTTAGTTTTTTCAATACTTGAAAAAAGGAAGATATTCGATTTTCTTTTTAAATTTAGGTACAGAATACCAAAATACTGATTTCATTTTTCTTCCTAAATAATACACACAAAAATGGCATTATCGTGTCATACAGTGGATAATACTTGTTGTAATATGGAAATACTTAATATTTTGCAAATATGCTATAGGTGTAAATGGAGCTTTATGTGTCCAAAAAATAGGATTTGTCGAATATACAGGGTGTTTCAAAGCTTGTGCTCTGCTGGAAATTCGTCTTACAAAAACAAAGTTTATATAATATCCAAAAATGCTTAGTATTCCAGTTTAAAAAAAAGCTTTTTACGATATGTTAAATATTTCTTGGCCGATTTTATTGAACTAGATGAAAATTGTAAATTTTTGTCAATGGGATGTACGCCACTGACCGCTTGGCAATTTTTTTTTTAATTTTTCAAAGAAACTTCCACAGGCTACTGTGGTACAGATACTGTGTGTTACAAAACTTCTGGATTCCTCCTGCGTCGGTTTTTGCTGAGTCGAACTTCCTGACGTTTTGCCATTCATCCTGTTGGCTTCTTCAGAGCTTGGCTAAAACTGACGTCAGCAAGTTCGACTCAGCAAAAACCAACGCAGGAGAAATCCAGAAGTTTTGTAAAAAGTATTTTTTTTACTTTGAATAACCACTAGAGCTACAACTACAGTAAACATATTTCAACAATATTTAATTGTATTGATTATTAATTAATTAACTTTAATTAAAATACCACGTAAGAATTTTCGCTTTCCGCAGTTTTTTTAAATCCTCTATATATATTACTGCAAGTACATTGCAACACAATAATTCACCATTTGGAGAAAGTGTTTAATATTTAACACGACTATGAAATTTTAAGTAGATATTCTACAAACGCAAGATTGTCACCGTTAAAAACAGTCAACATACATCACAAACCCTTAGTTCAAGAAAGCATAACCGATTAAAGTTGATTTTACAAAGTACTTTTTAGCAAACGATTTTCCGCCCAAAAAACCTAAACTGGACCCCACTGGATATATTTAAAATAGAGTACTAAATTAAACCTTTCTTACTTGAAAGAACGTCCCTTATTTTCCACGAAATTGGCGTGAATGGTTAAATAAAGAAAAAGAAATTAAGTATCACGAATGAAATTATATAAATATTACAAGAAAATCGAAGAAATTATGTTTCACACTGTCCGCTTGAAATATGAATCGATTTAGAGAATTTAGAGAATTAGAGAATCTAAATCGATTGGTGCAGGAAAAAATTCGTTTCTTGCGAACGCGAGCCTACTAGTAAACAACCTAAAGTGAAATCCGGTCAGTTAGGAAAACTATCCTATCGATCGTTAATTTTACGTGAATGTCACTTTCTTTGCCATGGGTCAATGTCAAGGTTTCATTTTTTTTAACGTTTCCCGAATACGAGAAATGGTGAAAGGAGTCGCAATAACACATATATTTTAATGTTACGGGTCAATGGTGCTTAAGTAAAGTTAGTTCAGAAACTCAACGAAAGTCCACATCCATCATATCGCTTAATTGATTTGTTTTTGAGAACTCGTCGAACGACAACTTGAAGCGTTAATAATATTGTCAATGTGCACATTTCGTAAAAACTTTTGTATTGACATGTGGGGTGGGATTAAACAAAAAGATCCATCTCTACAAATCTTTTCCCAATATTTCGTTTTAATTGATTTTAATTTTCTGTGGATGAGTTAATTTTAAAATTCAAAATTGTGTACAGTATAAACAACATTTATACAGTGACAAACGAAGGAAAGCTTTTTTAATTTTTAATTACGTAGAGTAAATTAAAAGTTTTTTTTTGTAAATTTATTCCAATAATTTGATATTTGATATCCCCTAGGTATCTCTTACATGGTAAATGGTACGTTTTAAATAATTCTTGAAATTTGTTTTTTGTGTTATCTTAAATATGCTTTAACTGTCTTTACAATCAATCAAAATAAATCAAGTTTATTTTTAATAAAATTCATTTTATTGTGTCAAGAAATGTGTAGTCAAGATTTTTCTTAACTAATATTTCTTAAAAATTCTGAGCCATAGAAAAAATTACACAGTAAAACAAAATAATAAATACGTCATTAGATAAATTACTTTGAGGTTGAGGAAAATAGAATTTATTTTTTTTTGTATTGCTTATTCCAGTCTAAATTAGGAACTAAATTGTTTTGAAACAAAAATTATTTGTAAATCATTTATAATGATTTACAATAAATACCAATAGCATTAACTATTTGTTGTCATTCGTTAATAATGTTTTTAAAAATTATTTATGATATTATTGTTGAAAGTGCTATTTAGAGGGTGGGCCAATACTTCTAACAAAATAAAATCGCTTTTAATACGAACATTATACAATGGCTTCTCTGCAAACACGATTAGTAGAGCCCGCCAACATGGTAAACATCATCAATTCAAAATTGCAATGAAGTACAGGTAAGGTCTGTTCATAGATATAAGAAAATGACCAATTGCTTTTGAATGGAATTATCTAAGGTGGCGATTAACATACAATGCAACAAGATTATTATCTAAAGTTTCGGAATTTAAATTCAGGTAAAATTGTGGTCCGTAATAGAAAATAATTTTATACCTACCTGTGTTCAATATTCTTTGGTTTGGTATACAACTTAGTTTAAGTTTATAACTAATCATTCTTATTTCGTGTGTAATAGAGCGTGTGTTGAATCGTGTGCGAATTGTGCAAAATATGTGTGAGTCTAATGTATCTTAGGAGATGCTCCCGCCCAAATGTAGAAAACACTATTCTATTGAGACTAAAGAAGTTATAAACAATGTTTATTTGACTCTCATTGAACGTGGTGCCAGCAAGCAAGCATCTTTAGAAGAAACGGCCATATTGACGAAAATTCCAACATCAACTGTATGAAAAAAAAAAGAAGCGATGCTGACATTTTCTCGAGTGTAGATGAAAGTGATCAAGAGTAAGTAAAATTTACGAGTTATACGAGGAACAAAGCATGCCTACATTAGATATCTTAATTAGGAAACTTGAAAAAGATGAAACCGATGTTAAATGTGACAGAACTACCTATATAGAAGTGTATTCAACACATGGGTTTTAGATTTTAAAAAATTGACAAAAGGCAAGTTTTAATGGAATCTTTTAGAATTCGGAAAAGGTGACTGGAATATCTAGAAAAAATTAGGATTTACAAAGACCAATTATGTACTTGGATGAAATCCTTATGATTCCCCGGAAAAGGGTTGGGTTGACTCAACTGATAAGTGTAAAACAAACGCGCCATCAAAAAGAGGTAAAAGAATAACCATTTTGCATGCTGGCTCTAAAGATGGTTGGATTCCAAATGGACTTTCTCGTTGTGTGAAAAATATTAAAGATTCTTCTCTGGATTACCTTGAAGACACCACCGCTGATTTATTTGAAAGTTGGTTTAAAAACAAACTAGTTCCAAACATGTTTCCTAATAGCATAATTGTAATGGACAATGCAAGTTATCACAGTAGACAGTTGTCCAAAACCCCTTCCTCATGTGACACAAAAGCAACAATCCAAAACTACATGTATAATAACTACATTTATTTTTTCACGAAGATTATACCAAAAAATTGAGGTTCTACAAAGCTTGAACCTACAAAAGGAATACGTCTGTGATTATTATGCAAAAAATCTAGAGCATACAGTTTTAGGGTTTCCACCTTACCACTGTATATTTAATCCCACTGAACATGTTTGGCACCAACTGAAGTCTGCCATTCGTCTTAACAGTGTTTTTCCCCGTGTCAACTTCAATGTCCTCAAACTTATAGAAACCGAAGTTTTTAACATCCCTCCATAAAGTTGAGCAAATTCTGTTAAACATATAGAAAAAGCAGAACAATCGTATATCCATATTGCAAATAATATAGAACAAATAATAATTAGAACGGACGATGATAGCGATAGTGATACTGATATATTATGTGAATAATTTTAAGTAATTTAAGTGGGAAATAAAAATAATTTGCAATTTTATTTTGGATTTAAAAATAAATACATACATAAATAAATAAATATTGTTTAGTATCTTTCCTAACAAAACCCCAAATAATTAAATTCTAAGCAAAGTACGGACCTGTTCGGCCATATTTCATTCTTACAGCTTTCCTTAATTCGTATCAGTTTGTCACTTTCTTATATCTATTAACAGATTTTACCTACTGATCATTAGATCGCACTATACTGTTTGTTATGTTCGTTTGGGGTGTTTTAAAATTGCAATTTTGTAACTGCCATTTTTATCGTCGACTTTTCAATTATATCAAGAATTGGCGAATTTCAAAAGTTATTCATAATTTAACTAATAACTTTTCACCCCTGACGTAATCGTCATTTTTTTTTAATCCCTTTGAATAATAAATATCAAAAGCAATAGACTTAAAAGAAAATACATGAAGAAAAACAAATTATAAAAGAGTCTATTGCTTTACTTAAAAAAAATGCGTTTCATAGAAAAAGTTACACAAACGAAAAGCACAAAATCAGCATAAACTTTCAATATTTCTAAAAAAAAAATCAAAAAGTGCAGAAACTAATATTGGATTGTCGCCAACAGCACTAACTTTTTAGTGGTATTTACGGTTGTCCCGGTCCTGGTAACAGCAATAACTTGCAGAGTCGCGTCTAATTATCTGCGTATGGGCGCATCGTAATGTGAACGGCATACTGCGAAAAGAAAGTCTCGCCGTTCTATCATCTTAAATGGCTAGTGAAAGCATAAACTTAAGGCCACGAGGAAATCTAATTTTTATTCTGCCAGATGATGTTTGAATGCTCCAAAATTAAATATAAATTGAACCTTTATTGATGTAACAAATTCGTTCTCAAAGTCCATTCAAACACACTTCATTAAAAAAAAAATAGATTGATCACTTTTAGTGAGTTATGTTACTGAAAGTTCATATTTTTTATATTTTAAAAATGTGTCGGTTGATAACATATCATATATATAAAGAGATATTCGGATTTTACCCAAAATTATCTTAATCTGTAGGTCTACGACTCTATCAGTTTGCTGCAGTTTAATACATGGAATTAATCAACCACTTTTTTCATGTAGTAGTAGAGTAGCTCATTAATTTTTATAGAAATATCTCCAAAGGTGTTTGTTCCATTGAAAAATTTTGTTTGTTTATTATTGTGTTTTTTGATCAAAAGTTAGTCAACAGTTTTTGTGAAGTTATTGCTCTTTATCTTTTATTTATTTTTATTTTAAATATTAGATTTTACGTATCTTTGGCTATAAACTATATTTTCAAAACCAATATCGGGAACAATGATATTTGTCCTCCGATAGCCTTTTTTAAATTTATGTTATTAATTAGAATCAATAATGTTTCCCCTTTCTTTCGAGTTGGGTGTTATTCAGGTAAAGTATTGTTTCGCATCCGATATCCCCATCTTATAGGGAATGAGGAGTTTACTAAATTCCAAAATAATATGATTTTTAAGTTCTAATAAGTAGTTTTTAGGTTTAAAAAACCTTTAGTAGCTTAAACGATTAGATTGCTTCATCGTACGTACGGAGTACTTTGCACAACGAATCAAGAATATAAGTTTGAATAAAAAGTAACCAACTACAACAAAAAAAGATGTTTCTCACTCTATTTACGTAGTGGTTTTATGTAGAAAAAAACAAATTTTATTTCGGATTCAAGTTCTAATCATTTTGTTAAGGCCGTACGGCACATTTGGAAAAGGAACTGTGATGAGACTGATGTACTTGAATCGGTATTAGTCAATATTTACATTTATAATATTTTTAATTTTACTCACCCTATATCCTTTTGTTTTTCTCTTTAGCCATCCGTTCTTCTTCTTTGAGTCTGTTAATGGCGTGTACAGATCCGAAGAGCACCTTCGCGGTTATTTGAATGTGTCGTTGCTTGTTTCCTGATTTTCCTGACCTGTCGCTGATGTCGTTGCTGGATACCGAGTAAGTGTTGTTGTTGGCGTCACGCAATGTGATCGGTTTGCAACTATGGGGCATTTTTTCTAAGTCGATCGCAAATTATTCTTTACTAAATGTTTTGGAAAACAATAAACTGAAATTACTAATTAATTTTCTTTCGAGAAACTATAAAACTGTTGCCTTAGATTGACTTGTCGCTTAACATTTTCAGCAATAAATTTGGTTTCGATTTAAACCAACAACCTCAATATCGGAAAACTCAGTTGACCCCACTAGATTATGTCAAAAAATGGCGACACCGAAAGCAGAAATTTTGTTGTAATATCCTAGAGTTTTATTTTAGGAATTAAAACATTTACTCAATATTAAACGAGTTAATTTACTCGCGAAAAGAACAACTAAGTCTTCCTTTTTTTTTTAAATAAATTAAATACCAGCCCATTAATATAAACTGTGAGACACTTGTTATTTGATTGACTGCAATTTCTATACAATTGGCTATCAGCTTTACAGCATGTATCGGGTAAATCATTAATTGGTGGTAGGAAGTCGACGAAAATGATTTTTAAGTTCCTAAAGCCACCGCTATGAGTGATGGAAATGCATTTTTTTGTTTGAGAGTTTTTATTGAAAGAGCAAAAACAATGGTAGAAAGGGAGGTTTTACGTTTACTGGTATGAGTGTATATAACTACGAATTTAGCAAAATAGTCCCCGAAATAAAACACATTTATGTGAAATTCACGTTGGACGTTGTTTAGCAAGATCATTATTTCTTATTATTTAAGAATTCCCAAAACAAAGTAAAGTATGTCGAACAATATTATAAGGAAATGCAGGAATAAATTAATTTTCTCAACATAATGAGTATTAGTATTAGTTTTAGCCACACAAATGTTTTGTTTTGAATTTTTTAGTTACTGCGCTCTAAGTGGAAATTGTCTAAAGCAATCTGAAATCTCTATAATTCGGTGTTTTTATTCTGCACTATTTTACTTTATGGTTGTTTGAAGGCCTATCAAAATTATTTACATATACCTGGAGGAACTGGAACTTTGAGTACTATAAAGTTTTTTATGGGGAGACAGAAACGTTAGAATGTTTTTAAAATAATATTTCGGGCTATCTTCTGTACCTTATTATCTGTGAACCGTTAAAATAAATCGGTAGCAATAAAGTATGGTAAGAAAAACGGAAGAAAACGCAAAATTGGGTTCTATGTTCAAATATGGAATAATAGTAGTCGTAGTAAACGATAAACATTTTTCACTGCACATTTTCTCGGTAGGCGCTGAAAGATGTTAGGGAGATATCTAATACAGGCAGATAGACAATCAGCTGAGGAATTTTCGGATTGTATAACAAACCAAACAATTAACGCCACAAGAAACAATTTTGCCAAGACACTTTGCAAATTACCATAGAATTAAATTTGCGTAACGGCCATTTACTTTATCAACCGAGTGTTGCATAATTTTGCATGAGTTTCGTGTTCGGATTTCGCGTTTTAGGGCATTTCTTTTTACGCGATAAATTCCTGCGAACATTACGCAACCCTGGCTCAATGCCCGGTAAATTTTACCCATCATCAATTCCGCACTACTTCGCAGACCATACTGACTCCACTCTTTTGTCGGAATTTGGTAGTTCTATTTATAGTTTCAAGATTTTAGAGGCCAGAATAACAAGGAATCCGTTAAATGAGTGTGGTACTTTCACCTCCTAAAGTTTTGACCGTTTGTAGATGCTGATAAGTTTTTTTGCACACAAATCAATCAAATTGAGAACAATCCTATGTCTCAATTTCCGCAAAGAATGTTATTAAAGTACCGTCATACACCGTGATTGGCGGACCCAGAATATTGCAGAAGAAAGAACTCCTTGTAAAAGTTATGTTTTTAAAACATAATACGTAGCATAAAAATTGTATGGTGTCATTTTTTAATCATACTCATGTATTTTGATTTCATTTTCTTCAGATCAATAAATTTTGAGGTGTTTGTCTTCAAAAGTAATAATTCAAAACGATCCAATTATTGACCATTTAACATAGATTTGATTTTAGCAAAATTGACAAATCGTGCGAGCTGAACCAGTATTCTGATTGTAGCTAATTGAGAATAAAAAGTAAATATATAAGCATTAAACACATCACAAATAAATTATTTATAATACATATATATTATTTTATAAGACAAAAAATTTCAACAAAAGAAATATACAATATAAACAAAATATATTGAAAAATAAATCGTAAATTTTAGACTAATTATTCCAGCACTAACTTTAAGGGTTGATATCAGAAATAAATAATTATTTTTTGTGTAAATTATTTTTATTTTCACAGGAATGGTAGTTTTACTGATAATTTGTGCTTATTATACTAGTACTATAGTATATCCTATATGCAAACAAAAAATGTGTACTTGATATTTTTTCCCTTTTTGTCCCAATGTGCAGTGTTTTAAAAGGTTATCTGTAGGTGCTTCGTTCCAAAAACACATTATGTGGAAGAGTTTCTAATATATCGACAAATTTTAATTTATAACTTCAGTTTGAAGGTCTGCAATAATATAAGACATTAAAACATTCTTAAGGCTCCTCCCATTTCGTTAGTTGCGTCACAGACATCTGGGGTGTGTTTATTGCTCTGCCTGCTTTATTTGAATTTATTATATAGAACCTAAAATGACATAACCTTTCCATTTTTGCAGCCTTGAAAAGAGGGGAGTTGTATTTTTGAGTACTACTATCTTATAACAAACTGTTTCTTATTATTAAATTTATTGTTGTTATTATTTTATTAAATTTTATTATTTTATATTTTTATGTATTAAATCCTGTCTTGATGTAAAAACCTTAGTTTCCTATGGGTTACAATTCTGTAAAGTTTGGTCTAATTAATAGCTGTTTATATTTTTTTATTTAAATAATTAAATTTTGGAAAAATAGGTTTCCAATGAATTTTAATGTTTCGACCTCATACAGGGTTTTTCAAAAAATAAACCTGTTACACAACTAAAAAACAAAAAAAAAAGGAAAAAGCTCCATAAATGTTTGTGCGAAAATTCTTACATAGTAGATTATGTGCTTGCCGATTTTGTTAGTTTAGTATATTTTGTAAAAACTTAATACATGTAAATAACATGTAATAAATGTTCATAAAAATATGTTTTGTCACTTTTTATAGTTTTTATTTTTTTATCGAAAGTCAAGAGTCCAAAAAGTTTGAAAACCACCAGGGTAAATAAAGAAAATTGCCAAAAGCGTACAATACTATTAGTTAAGACACCTCTCGGGACTCCACAAAATTTTAATCTAGTTGGCACAATGAGCCCTCTATCATTATAAATAATTTTATCAGATTTCAAAAGAACGGGCAAAAATATTTAACATATTATATCTTGAAAACTAAGTGTTTCCGACATATGTGCTACACCCTGCACATTTAGTTTAACTAAGATTGCTGGTAAATAAATTTTACTCCAGCTGTATTGTATGGTTTGGGATTTATGTGAAAAATTCAGCACAAATAGATACTTTTCAGCACTTTTCAAAAGTTTGATGTAGTATAATATCTAGGTTAGTTCTGATTTGGGTGCTAATTTTCTTAATTTAAAACTTGAATCAAACTGATTGTCATTTAAAGCAAATACGCTTCTACCCGTCAATCTTGTTGAGGAATTGATAGCAAAAACTTAATTTGTAATTCACTAACCGCTCCATCTGACGGCACACCGGTCAGTTATAAATTTATATTTCAATCGACAACCTACAAAACAAATTAATTCTAAATGGCCAATGTGATTTTTTATCGTTATTTACCACTACGTTTAGCGACCGTTCCCATTCTTAAAATCGGCATTAATTTGCACGACATTCCCTGTACTTACTTTACATTCCTGATTCCCGCTTCGTGACGAAACAACAAAAAGCAAACCGCCGTATCCTGTTGCACCAATTCTTAAGTCGTCAAACGTATGCAACAAGAGAGCAGGTTATATGTTTGGCACATCGACACACTGACTGAGTAAACTCAGTTCGTTTGCGTCAGTCGGTACTGTGTCAAGAGGTCCACTCTCTCCGCGGTATTCTTCATGTTAACTTCTGGCGTTCTAAGAGAGAACGATTGTGCGAAGACCTAATCAGCGTGCGGTGCTTCTAACAATTTATCCGGGAAACTGCGGAACTATGTGTACTGACGAACAAAAAATTCTTTCGATTGCCTTGTGTTTACATATTTTTTTTTTAAATATGACATTATTTGTTGATTATAATTTACGCTTTTGCAGAAAAACTCCAAAATCAGTATTTAGTACCTGTTTGCACAAGACCCTCAAATTTAAGGACGACAATTAGTATCATTAGAATCAACATCTTACTCAATATGTCAACTAATAAATTATGTTTGGAGTCCATCATACTGAGTGTGCATTTTTTGCTTCACATATTTGACAAACAGGGTATGCCCAGCAGGAAGTTTATTATACTTCTTTGATGCGTTTTCAACCAGATTATTCAGTCCTGTTTCAGATAAAGACACGGTGTTGTCGAAACAATTATCATGAAAAAATATATAATTTCTTGAAAATCTGAACTTTTAGTTCTTATTTATTTTGATAAATGGATTTTCATCAAGTAAAAGCCACCTCAGTACAATCCTATTTTAGATCTCGAATAGATCTGATAAATGTTATGAAAGTCCTTCTTTCGTGTAGCTGACTAAACAAATAAGATCTGAGTGTCTCATATAACTTTTTGTGCATAACCTTGAAGCTTCAGGATTCAAGCTTCAAGATTTTGCGTATCTGCTAAACACGCAGCTAAACATAGAGAGTTGCTCTGTTTTCCCATCATAGTATACAGTACCTTTACAACTTATTGAATTGAAATGAAACTTGTACCTCACATAGGGGATAGGATACTAAAATGCATCAGAAAGAAAGCAATATAGAGATCATATTCGGATAAGGTTAAGATTTCAGCTGCATGTAGACCAATATTTTGTTATTAACCTCAGCGTATATATTGTTTTTCTGCTCCCTTCTGTAAAATATCTAATTATCCACCAATCTAGCTTGCGGGAAGCGTCACTTTACGTCGTCAGTTTCGTTTCCCATGAATCCGAGCCACTTCGGACATTTCCGGGATTTTACCGACCGAAAATGTACCCAAAAACTAACGGTCGTAGAAAAAGTATAGTATGCAACACGTTCTGTAAACTTTTGAACTCACACGTTTATTAAAAACTTGCTCCGCTGCGCTCCGCTCGTGTCAAATAAACTCGTGAGTCAAATGCCGTTTACCGCACTTATTGCATAACATACTTATTATTATTGTATTATCCCTTTGCACCAGAAAGTCAGCACAATTTAGAATTTACTTTAGTTTTATCCCGGAACTATTGAAATTCGTATCAACAATTTGAGACCACATTAAACTTAGCCAAATTTTAAATTAATTTTATTTTGTTGGATGTAGATTTAGATCAAACAGTGTTTGCTAAATTAATTAATCAAATTCGATAATAAGGAGGCAATGCCACACTTCAACCCTCAATCTTTAGAACTGTGGAAAAATGGACAATAGAAATATGTTTTGCAACTTTAGGAATACATACAATGCCTTGTCTGTGGTCCTATACCTATAGTGCATATAACCGTTTAAATACGATTAAAAATATTATTCCACGTTTCAAGTCTATATATTTCGTGATTAATTTTATTTAAATTTCAAAATCTATATATTGCTCTGGGCAATAAATGAAATTTATCATAATAATATTTAAAAAAAATATATTCCATATTAAAGCAAAACGGAAAAGCGTTCCAGTGTGGAATTCGTACAAAACAATCTACCGAATTTCATTTCTAATGCATGAAATTAAATTTAAAAAAAATCTAGGATACCACCAATGTTCAATCAAAAAACATGATCGACCTACTAACTTTTTAAGATGCGACATTTCTAATTTCTCGCAATTACTAATTCTATTAAAATGGCGATAGAAAAACAAAATTATTTGGGGATTGTTTACTTAGTTTAAATAGATACTCCTAAATTAAACTAAATATTATTTAGAGCTTGGAGACTCTTTTGTGTCTTTCACTCTGATTCGTAGCTTAATTAGTAAAAATAAATATTTTATTTTATTTATCTATTTTTCTTATTTCTCGAACTCACACATAAAAAATGTTAGCATTCTTATAAGTGGACTAGGTAAGCCATAATTTGCAGTTCTAAAGGTCTGAGTTCTAAAACAAATCCACAGATCTGATTCCATTCTAGAACTTTAAATTGAACTTTATTAATAGATAGCTTGAAATATCTACAGCCTTCGTGTTACGTGAGTAGTGAGGAGTTACCAGCCTAAACGCAATCGTATCACATGCAAGCAGACTATGCCTAGTAATAAAATACAATATACAGTTGGAGACAATTCCTAAAGCTGGAAACAAAACCTAAGCTCGTGCTGTGAGAACAATTTTAAGATTAGTAAAAGACGGTTTGGCATAGTCCAAAGTTATTGACTTCACTTACATTTCGTTTTCTGCACTTTTCACAATACTTGGAGGTTTTATTGAGAATGTGATTTATAGATATTTAAATCTAACCTATTTAGATTTGATCAAAGAAAAATGGCATTCATACTATATACCACAGTCTGATTTTGAGTGTAATAAATGTATTAAGTTCATTAGCAAGTACCAGGTGCAGTCAAACTTAACTAATTGATTTATATCATAAACAAACTATCCAGTTTAATTCAAACCCTTTATTATTAATTTATTATGAAATAATAAACGTGTTTAATGTGTCGGCATCCTTTTATGACCTAGGAAGAATGAGTTGTTGAAACATATATAAGTTTGAACCATTTTTGTCGGCAAATGAGTGAAGAGAAGTGAAATAGGGGTGTTCACAAATGTCTCAATTCGCAACTTTGGCATTTTCAGCGGGATATGACAGTGACGGATTTTAATCAGAACCTATAGTGATCAAAATTCTCAGCGAACACAGCACTAAGATAAAATGGTTTAAATTTTCCATACAATAATGTCGAAGGAAACTCCCGCCAGAGGAAATTCCCGTAGTAAGCATCTCTGTATTGTGAGTCTTTGCTTTGGCAAATTAAGATTTAAAGACTAATTGTGTTAGTAATGTCGCTAATGTTTTACTTCATGTTCCAAAACTAACTTCTTTCAGGAGAGGAATCAACAACTTCAAAGCGAGGAGTTTTGTCAAATCAAAGGAGTCGCAGCGAAACTAGAAGCGCACTAACTCCTAGTAGGACACAGAATTTAAATAATCAACCGGCTTTCAAAAGAGCACATACTTTTGGTCCAGATCAGAAACAACTGTTAAGTCGTGATGGAGATTTACGTGTAAAAGGGTAATATTTAGTTAGCTACATAGCAATAGCACTGAGCTGTAGGGTTAAAGCTTAAAAGATTCGAAATCATCTTGATGATCTATAAGTATATTACTAGGGGAAAACAAGTATCCTTACCACCAGAATGTGTCTGCGGTCCAAATTTGTATGGGGCAGTGCTGGGTCCGACAGCTGACGAGCCAATTTTGCTCGGTTTGTCCACATTTGCAAAGTTGTGCGATAGCTGTCCCGAAAGGGCCGATGAAAGAATTGAAAACGAAATTTTTGGTCCTGGTTTGTCGTCAAGAAGTTTGGAAAAACGGTCCAGGTAGATACTTAGTCAGTCTCGACAACTTTGCATTTTTAATAATAATAGATTCGATCTAAAATCTGGAGATGGAGAATCTGATATGGAAGTTCATGGTAGCAGCAGAACAAAATCACAACCTAGCAGGCGCGTTCAAACATGTCGTGTTTGTTTCGTAGAGTTTAAACATTTTTAATTTTAGACTTCATGAACCGGATATCAGTTTGAGCAAATCAAAGATGCCGCACCAGGCTAGCAACGGGTTGCTGAAACTTCTTGAGTAATTACGATTCTCATGTTTGTATAATTGTAGATTTCGCGATGCGCTTGAAGATGAAGAAGTGCTTGATCAGTTCGGACAAAGTTCTGCCGATTACGGGATACCAGAGAGGTACATGCGGTTTTTAATATCGTCGCTCGTAACGGGGTTATTTTTAGCGCAGATCTTGGCTTGGTGAACGACGAAGCAAGATCTGTAAGCACGGGTTCTTCCACGGACAGGTCGTTAACTAAATAATAATTACGAATTCTATAACGCTACTATCTTAGGATCCCTATGAAACAAAGCGGCGAAAGCCAAACTCCGCAATTACATCTGGAAACGAGGGAATTTCAAACGGAACAATCCGAAGAAATTAAAGCCAAAATACAGGAAAATTTAATGTTGGACGAACAGTCATACGAGCACCACACCCCTGCACAGCACCCCTCGAGTCAAGTTGTATCCTCGGCCGTTAAAACGTCTCACGGTACACGGCAGCAACTCTCTCATAACTCACATTCCACTAGAATGACCGAAATTAGTTCGAAGAAAAATATTCATGAGGCAGAACAGGGTTCTTCAGCACAGCGAGACGCAACTGCATCTCATAGTAGTACTCACGATCCTTCTGCGGGGTCTGCACGCCATCGCAAAGAAACTCATGGTCCTTACAAGTTACGGTCTCAATCAGGAGTTATCGTTGCGGAAAGTGAAGAAGAAAAGGAGATTCACTCAAAGGATTCTAAATCTATATTAAAGAAGGGCAGTACCACCGAGATCTGTACATGTTGCGGTTGCGCGGATAGTGATTCTTCGCGTTTCAAGGATTCCTCCACCTCGTGTACATGTCTTCCATGCCCAAGCAATCAGGATCTGGTGGCCAAGAAGTGCAAATGCAAAAGAAAATCGAAAAGCAGTTCTTCATCCAACAGTTCAAAGATTAAAATTAAAGCATGTTGCGATTGTTCCACCAGTACCGCCATATCAACTACATCTTCACTTGATTCCGGGTTAGATGCTTTAGTAGAAGACAGGGGTGACGCTGTGGAATACGACGTTAGATATGCGATAACTAAAATAACTAGATTTCATTGCTATACGACCTTCGAGGTAATGAAAGCCACAAGAAAGAGACCGAAAGTGATGCCGAAAAGCCTGGAGGGAGTGTTTGTGTTAAGAAACAAAAGCAAAGAGTAAATAAATGTATTAAAGGGATTTGAATTTTTTTGAAGAAGGGCCCGATTAACAACTCTATTGAGAGCATTTTGTAAGCAAACAGAAGTGTAATAAGTTATGGTTATATGCGCCCTTTTCTTCAGGGTTCTAGTGCTACCATACTGATCAGAATTATGGCTTTTGTTCAAAATTCGAGTAAAACCTTGACATAGTATGATTTGGTTGGTAAAAATCAAACTACAATAATTATGTAGTTGCAAACTGATGAAAAGTAACTCAAACATCTGCTGGAGAAGAGATTTTTTGCTATTTTCATTATTTATTGTTATTTAAAATTTATTATTGTCATTGGTTTATTAAATTTGAATTAAGATTGGCAGTTCCAGTTAATGCAGTAAAATTTCATTTTCAACATTCTTTTTAGTGAGTACCTCGCCGTAAATGCGATCTCAACTGTAATGGTAATGATAATGCAGCCAGTATCGATTTTGTAAAGCATTTGTTATTAATAATGAGAAGTGTAACAATTAATAATATTAATGACCGATAAGTATAATAACAATTGTTGTGCCTTTCAAATATGCACTCATGCTATGTTAAAAGTGATCTCAAATAAATATAAGAATTTGGGCCCGTAATACCGATATTCGATTAAATATCTTGTGCAACCTGTATGATTAACAAAAACTGGAAATAAGAAAATTGTTGCTCCTGATGTGCACTACATCACTCACTAAATTGTTCCATTTTTTACGTTTTTTCATTCGACGCTAATCCTAAGTAATTTTTATGCAGGTTTTTTTGCTTATAACCTAAAAAATCAAAATAAAAGTTATGTTCGAACTTTCCCATATTTCCTAGTACAAATAAAACCGAAACTCAAAATGATTTTCACCCCTCTGCTAAGATTTAGAATTTTTGGATCTGACGGTTCAAAAGTTATCGTTTTAAAACTCGTTCCACAGTGAACAGACAGACAAAAAAAGAATTTTCGATTACGATCATCTGTTACCGAGATATGAAATTTTTGTACGAGAGTACATACTTTCGAAAAATTCGATTTTTTACAAGTAACAAGATTTTGTGAAATCATTTCAGTGCTGACCCTATTTTAGAACGGAAATTCTCGTGTTACGTACGGTTGCATTCATGTATTTATCAAAAAATTAAGATAATTGCTTGCTTGTTTTTTTATTTAGAATTTAGAATAGTGATTTATAATTTTTCCCTTTTCCAAGAAATAAAAAATGTTCATGAAATTTTGATAATTAGATAGATACGTGTTCCGGTTATCCCATTTTGGGCACTTTTATAGGGTATCTCGGCTATTTTTTAAGATAGTAAGTCGCGGTTTACGCGACACTGTTCTACTTTTTTGTGAAATTGAAGATGTCGCCAACAAAATCATAATCTCCTCTTGGTTTTTGAGAAACAGGATGAAATTTAAAGAAACTATCGATTTGGGTTGCCATTTAAGTTAATGAAAAGTTTAAAACACGTACTTATAGGGGATTTTTTACCGTAGAATCCAGTGGCGTAGCTTGTTTTTCACTTCCTATAAGCATTCTTAGTTATGAAGCAAATATATATGTTTTCAAATGGAATGGAATGGAATTTAAACCGAAAATTTATTTTTGTTTCATATCTTATTTGTATTATTCTATTAAAAACAATATCAAAGTAAACAATTATTTAAATGGGTTTTATACGTAATGAACTATTATTTGTAATAATTTTCAACTTATATACCTAAATCTGTTGTTCAAATTGAAGACCATTTTTTCGAATGCATAACTCGCACATTTTTCTTATTTTTTTAATGGCATTTAAAACAATTATTGGGCCATTCGTAAAGTTTCGAAAGTTAAATCAATTGCTCCTCGAAGTTCTGCTACAGACTGGTATCTAGGTTTATATATTATATTTTGCATATATCCGCATATTCATTGTCCCAAAATAAAACACAATGCTACAACCCCATAGCGTCCTTATTTCCAGAACTTGAAATTAACATTCGTCGGACCATATTACAAGTCTTCCCAAAGAATCATTGATTCATATTTGTTGCAAATACAACTGGCAAAACTGCATCCGACGCTCGACATAGCCAGGATGCAAATGTTAAAACTTTTGGTATACCTACTTGTTCTATGTGTTGCAAGATGATAACGGCGTTGGTTCTATGCAATCTAATATATTTGTTTCTCTTTGCTCCTTATTCTAGTTCAAATAATTTTCAGGACGTGGTTGAATAAAGGGTTATTATTATTATTATTAATTATTTTTGGACGAGTAAATATATCTGGAAATGGTTGTTGTTGATATTTAGTATAAATAAAACACACTTCTATAATATAAAAATTATACTGACTATATTCCTTTAAAAATCGTATCTCTGGAAATATAATTCCGAAACTTCTTGAGCATTTACATTGGATTGCATAACACATACCAAAACACCATATTTTTCGGAATTTTCATTCACTGCCATTAATATAGAAAATTAACTAAAATGAAATAAACACAGAAAGAACAAATGGGTAGGTAATAAAAATATATTTAAAAACTGACAGCCTTGTAAGTTTTTGAGACATTTGCTTTTTTGTTTTTAATAGATGAGTCATAGCCAACTATATACTTAACATTATAATAACCTAATATTTACCATATTAATCCTGTTTTTCATAATTAAGTAACGGGTCTATTGTATAGTTATAACTGCTTAAATGTATCTTATTTTTTGTTGATTTGGTTTAATTTGGACCTCTAATAGGCGGTTGTGTCAAAATTTAACAGGAGCGATAGTCACAAATACTATTCAATAAGATCAACTCAAAAAGAAGTTTTACGACATTGTATAAGTAAAAATATAGAGTTATATTATAAGTATAATGCAGTTGAAATATTGAAGAATACAAGAACGTAGTTTTATTTTTAAATTCTTGCGAATTTTCTGGTAAAATGAAAGCGATAACGCAAATTTACTAAAAGTTTATTATCTCAGTACAATATTACACTGAATAAAATAATCCACTTTAAAAGTCAATTGGGAATATTAAGCAATAGGAAAATGTAACATTTAAAGCGTTTTTTAGTTCAACAGACATCTTTCACGTCCCAAATATGTCAAAATCGGGGAAATGTAGTCTTAATAACTTCAAGAATTGTCGATATTTTTTCGTCTTAAGTAACTTGTATGGTGTTTCCTACCTAGCTACTTTAAACATTTTGTTTATTACCTAGGATTATATAAGTTTTATAAGTGTAGTAACAGTTTAAGTATATCAACTAAAAGATAAGATTAAATGTTGCTTTTATAGTCTAGTAGAACAAGTATATTGATTTAATGCAAGAAAAGCCCCAGGGGCAACTTTAACTGTATCTGTTAACACTTAATTCGTAAGACTTATCCTACGAGAGGGTATAAACATAACCCGAAAGATTTGTTGTAGGCGTCAAAAGTTTAGGTTGTGTCCACACCCGATGCGATTACTTATTATAGCCTAAGTTCATATTAAGCGAAGAAGCTGTGAAAATTTGTCTTAATTAAGTCAATAGTCGTTTCCGTGACAGTTATCTATCTCTCTTAACATTTTGTTTATCAGTGGTTTTAGTATATATCGTTTATATAGGGATAACCGGAGTAAAACTGCCGTCTTCCTCCAGATATCGAATAACAAAGTCGCTTTTAAAAGGGGAACTTTCCCGAGTATTTTTTTACGAATATTTGATTATATACTGCCACCAAAAGTATGTGGAAACCCTAACAAATTGAGACCAAAACTTGCTGCGCATCGTTTCGGAAATTGTATTTTAGCAGATAAAAGCGGCAAAAAGTACAATTGACGAAAGCTTTCGCTACATGTGTTTGGTCTCAGTTTTCGCGTAAAATCATAATGGGTTTACAAACATCGTCCCATGGGTCCTTGTTATTATCGGCTGCGTGATAAGTGCCTGTTAAAAAAAAAACGCTACAAATAACTGACTAGAGGTACTCTAAAAATTAAAATCGCGTTACTCGTAAATGAATATCTTCAACTTAATAGTAGAACACGATATTTCCTAACCTACCGAAATAAAAATGACTTGACAACACACTACTAACGCTAAGTAACAATCACAAACGGTTTCTTTGCATCGTATAAATAATTAGACTATAATAAATACGAGGAGGACTGTTTATCGTTTAAGTACTTATTCGAAATTGTAATGTTTATCCTGGAACTGATATTTCCTGTGCCCTTTTCATGCCCATATTGTAAAGTAGTGATTTTCTGAGTCCATCAACAAAAAATGTTTCAAACAATAGTTTTTACGTTCAATTTTAAATTAGGCTTAGATGTGGCTAACCATTTATTAAATGAAAACCTGGCACAGCCCTTCCAAAATTTGCTACCTTTTAAATTGCTAATTTAATTATAAAGAAAAACGTTTTCCTTAGAAATTTTTGATGTAATTGCTATTTCCGTTTCAATGCGTCTCAGTGGTAGAATGTTCATATAATTAGAACTGCAAATCTCTTTAAATCAACCTTATTTTGATATACAATCTCGCCATGTAAACTTTTATTGACAAATATGTCTATCATTTTGATATGATTTTGAAAGTACTGCTGCTGATGCTGTGTATAAACTTCTGCCTGATTGGTTCAAAGTTCCATGTAATATGTGGTCGTATGGTTTTTAAATGCGCTGTTGTCAGTTCCGTGAAAAATACAACAATATCTACTTGTCTATTAACAATCGTCCACCATCTACTTACAAATTGACATTAACATAAACGCATGATTGTTATGTAACTCTTTCGACGTACAAACTATATACGAGTATTTCCAACTACATAACAATTTTATCAACAATTTCGGTGTAGTTCTGCTAGCGCTACGACGGGAAGAACTTCAGTTTAGTAACCGATGGGGAATTGAAATTTGAATATCTCGAACGTAAACAGTGTGGTTGCACTTTTCAACATCAGATTTTTAACCAAAGGAAACATCACCAAAAAAAGCGGTAAAACGATAATTATAATACTGATGAGAAGCGGCGGGAAATTCTACATGATGACGCACTTGCCCTTCTCTGCCCACGGGTTGTTCTTCTTGTCCGGCGCGTGGATTAAGGGATCATTCTTCTCGTTTTCTTCCACGTATTCTCTCATTCTGAAAAGAACAGGAGGCAATTAAAATTCAGGTCGCGTTTAAAACTTTGCGAGAAGTGTTCCGTTTGGCGTACATTTATTTCCTTTGAATTTTCCTTCATAAAGAAAGCTATAATTACAACGATATAAAAGGTGATTCACGTTTAATGTCTTATTAGAATTTCTGGAGAATTAAATACTGCTTTTTGTTCAAATGCGGCGTTGCCAATTCAACTCTCAACGGCGAAATTGGAAATTCTAATTCTGTGCAACTTTTATTCACAGATTCCTATGCCTATTTCCCTCCCAGATTTCGGAAAAAAATAATTTTATTTTGTTTTTTGAAAACACAATGCATTTTTAAAGCTTAATAAATTTTTTCTACTCCCGTCTGCAAAATACCTAATTACACACCGATCTAGCGTGCGGGAAGCGTAACTTTTCCACGTCAGTTTCGTTTCCCACGGATCCGAGCCGCTTCGTACATTTCCGGGATTTTACTGCACGGGTTTGGGAGCAATCGGATGTTTTCGGAGATGTTTCCCACGATTTTCATTTTGACGCTCGTTAATTGTGATGGTCATGTCAGTGAATGTATTCTTGCTGTTTTGCGAAAATGTACCCAAAGACTAACGATCGTAGAAAAAGTATAGTATGCAACACGTTCGCAAATTTCTAACTCGATCGTTTATTAAACACTCGCTCCGGTCGTGTCAAATAAACTAGTGAGTCAAATGCCGTTTACCGCACTTGTTGCATAATATACTATTTGCGTCAGTGCAAAATATTACAAAGGTTAGGCAATACATTTATTTGAATGATCAATACGCGACTTTGATGGTAATTCATACCGGGGGTTCCAAAATTTCTGCAGAAATCATAAATATATAATCGTTATTTTAGTTGTTGTAGATGCAACTGTAATTCTTAATGCACCTAACATTTTTTATATTGTAATACTTGCTTAAATGTATTTATATATTATGTTGATGTTTTTAAGAATAAGTCGCAGAATTTAATGACAATTTTTGTAGGGATTTTTTTTTAATTTTGATTATTTTCTTAGTTACGTATTTTTATTATATTACTTATATTACATATCAATGTTTTATATTATTTTATACATCTAGTTGTAGTTGTAGTAAAAATCTCTCTATTTTCTCTGTTTTTTCGAACACAATAATGACAAATTATTGAGCAATTTTTATATATTTTTAAAAGGTAAAATGATGGTGATGGAGTTTCTCCACAGAATATTACCGTATTTTGTTCACCTTACTCTGCTAAAATTTTCATTAAAAAAAATCTAAAATCCAAAATAGGGTGATTGCCAGAAAGCATTGAGTTTATTGCAAGCTTATGCAAAGATAGGTGAGACCTAGACAAAGGCGTCCAAAATGCTAAAGCGGTTTAACAGCTGGAAAATGATTATTAGGCCTCAAAAATATTAATTTGAGTTTCAGTGACAGAAATCATGAAAGTTTAATTATCCTCCTTTAGTTAAATTGATAGATGTATTTACGACTGCAAATAAACCTCTGTTGCAGGGGTGGGGTCTGTTATTTCACTTGAAAATGAAAATGGAAATGAGATTTCCCTATCTTACTGGAAAGTTATTTTAAGGTAATATGAAACGAAAAAGAGTCGACAAACATCTGCGAAGAAGCGTTCAATTTTCAACTTGAAATTTTGGGATATATCACCGAAATACTTTTCAGTAAGCAGAGATAGAAACAGCAAATACTGCAAACTTTGGAAGTTCGTGAGGAGCTTCCATTTGGTACATTAGATTTAATTTTTGATATTTTTATTTATATTAATTCAGTTAGTTCGTTTTGCTTTCTTTTGTTGTGGTATTTGTTTCTGAATATTGAAACAAAAAAGATGTTAATCGTTAAATCGATTGGTTTTCATAAACGTACTTATAAAGAGTGATTAAAGCTTAACAAAAAAAGATTGCGGTCACACTTATCCACGATGAAATTCCACTTGAAAAAATAAAATGCCATTACTGTCCTTAAAGTGTTATTATATATATATATATATATATATATATATATATATATATATATATATATATATATATATATATATATATATATATATATATATATATATATATATATATATATATATATATATATATATATATATATATATATATATATATATATATATATATATATATATATATGTCTAATTTTATTTCACCCATTGAAGGAGGGGCAGAGATACACTTTTACAATTTAAAGAAATACAAAATCAAACCTTGGTCTAGTTACTCGGCAAAGAAAGTTTAATGTTTTTCTTATTATACCTATATGTAATAAAAATATTGGCAGTCATATAAGAAACATCAAATTTAAACAGAAACTGTATGAAAAACGCAATATTTTTTTTTCTTGTATATTTAATTAGCACAGTTCAGCTCAATTTGTATCTCCCCGAATTTTTTGAGCTCGCTGCCAGATATTTTCATAGTCATAGACTATAATTGGGGCGTAAGTCTCCCTTTAACGCAAATAAGGCTGTTTGTTTTATGTATCTAAAAAAAATAAATCCAATACTTATACGCCTTGTTCTGCAGTGCTACAGGGGTTAACGATAATTTTAGTATTTACAAATATGGTCACTCTCTAATAATAATAATAATAATAATAATAACAATAATAATAATACTAATAATAATAATAATAATAACAATAATAATAATAATAATAATTTAAGTATAAATAAATGTAAGCATATGAGGTATGAAATCTCGAATTAAATATGCATTTAGTATTATTTCACTTAAAATTGTCATTCATCCAGCACGTTTTACGCATAGTCAGTACATTGTACAGTTCGGTTTTGGGTTTGGTTTGGGAAACTGCATAGCATTTCAGTCAGAGAAAGCAATATTAAAAGTTTATTATAATTTAATTCGGACTAAATTAAAATATGCTAGGATTATTTGATCTCCTTTCTATGCAAAATACATTCAGATGGTAGACATTTTTTGTAGTATATTATATAACAAGTGCGGTAAACGGCATTTGACTCACGATTTTATTGGACACGAGCGGAGCGCAGCGGAGCGAGTGTTTAATAAACGATCGAGTTATAAGTTTGCGAACGTGTTGCATACTATACTTTTTCTACATCTCCGAAAACATCCAATTGCTCCCAAACCCGTGCAGTAAAATCCCGGAAATGTCCGAAGGGGATCGGATTCGTGGGAAACGAAACTGACGTGGTAAAGTGACGCTTCTCACACGCTAGATCGGTGTGTAATTAGGTATATTACAGACGAGAGTAGAAAAAAATGTTTATCTTACTAACATTATACTAAAAAGAAGCATTATGACAACTTATGTGTTTACACATGAAGTACAACTTAATGTCTGTATAATAGAATAATTATAAATAGCATACTTCATCTTTATAACATTTTTAATAAGTTGCTCTTTGACGACATAACCATAAACCTAGTGAGTATAAATATATGGTCTGTTCATAAATATAAGAAAGTGACCAATCGCTTTTGAACGGATTATCCAACATATAACATACAATGCAACAAGATCATTATTATTATTTAAAGTAATTATTAATTAATTAATCATTAAATATTAATTATTAATTGTATGTTAATGACCACCCTTGGATAATCCGTTCAAAAGCAATCAGTGGGGCGATCAGTATTAAGTGTCCAAGGACCAATTCATTACAAAAAGTTCAATAACGGAGTGCCATATTTTGCCAATCAAAAAATATATTTGTAAATAATTTAAAAAGACAATATTCACTCCAAATTTTTTGAAGAACAACCAGTATATAGGTCCCGAAAAACCCATAACCTCCTATCCAGGTAAAAGTCAACATTCGGGTGCAAAATCATCGACGTTTTCCCAGGTCAACTTCCCCCAAAACGATTTGGCCCCACGCCAGAAACTGCATCGCAGCGCTTGAAAAGCATAACGCTGCCCCTGAGCTGGTGAGATTTTATGACTCGTCTGTTAATAAAAACGGTGGTCCATTTTCAGTGTACGACATACGTTTACCGTTTTAACGAACTTTTAGTTGGCCGCCCACGTAAACATTTGTAAACATGTTTTTACATTTAATTGCGATAATATTCTTGACACTCAACGCCAGACATTTGTTATGTAATCGGTACGAACGTCCTAGCTAAAGATAACTACAATCCATAAAATTCTTCAAAATTCAATTAGAACTTTTATCTCATCTCTGGCAGATACAGCGACATACAAAGCCCAAATATCCTACAATCAATATTTTTAATCCAACGTGCTGATTATTTTGTTGAAATCTGAAGGAGGTAAAAACAGTGCTCTGAGCTTTGTGCTCTTTGAGAGTTAATCGTTTGCTGCAGGGGATTTTCTGAAATAATTTTAATCCCTTACTCTTCGTTGAACTAAATGGTTGTGATATATTTTGATTATTATTATTATTATTATTTTATTATGTTGAATACTTACCAATAATTTCATGGTGGTGTTAATTAGTAAACATTTTTTAAATGCGTAAATTCATGTGTTTCATACGGTTGTATTAATTTATATATAACCAGAAGAAAAGAACAATAGAAAGGAAGTAAAGTTAAGCATTTTTACCTATTCCATATTACATGAATATGATTTTGTTTTACATCCGGTTATTTCATACCTAAAATATAGAAACATGATCATATAAACAATTTCCATGTATGTCTATTGTAACAAAAATTGCTTATTTTACTGTATGATTTAAATATAAAAATTAATTTATCATTTTGATATTTTTTTATTGATATTTTTAATTTCAAGAAATAAAAAATTTTCGTTATATGCACATATTTAGGTAAGTAACTGCTGAAAAAATATACTGCTTATTATTTTCGAACGTTAGAAAATGTATATATTGGTATATATGCACTTTGCACAAGGTTTTTCAGGAAGTTAAATTATTCTAAATTTTAATTCATATAAATATTTAAAGCAAATATTGTTTGATCAAACAGAATGTGCAGTAAGAATAAATCGGTAAGCACAATTAGAATGGGGTCGCCCATTTCTAAAAATAAACCAACAAAAATGCTGTTACCATTTCGGTTTAGGTTATTAAAATTTTATTTAGTACAAATGTTTGAAAAATACATGTTTGATCACCAAATAATAATGTATATATAAATTCAGTAAGAATATATCGGTAAATACAATGAGAATACCATTTCCCATTCCTTATTATTAGATGTCTTTTTCTATTACAAAATTTGATCCATTTTTCTATCACGCCATTGCCATTCCAGTTCAGATTAAGTTCGCTGGGTAGAAAGTAAAAAGTAAAAGTAAAAATAACTGTTATTCATTAATAAGAATATTTTTTATGAAAATCGATTACTGAAAAATCACGATTTAAGTCATTTACGTACGTGCCAAAAGTTCTATTAAGTAATTGATTAGTTAAATTACTATATTAATTTATTTTTGTAGTGTCATTAAATGGTATTTAATGGTAGTTCTTTGCTTTCTATCCCGAAAAGATAACAATATTTTTTAAAAAGCTGTCAACTTGGTGTATATCTCTAAAAATCTGTAATTATATCGTTCCTTGATTTACTTTCAAATTGATCGACAAATGTTTTGAATATGTTAAAATTTATCAATTTAAAAAAAATACTCCCTTGCAAATTACCCCAGGAAATTTTTCTAAATTTTTGCGTTATTTATCAGTTCGAAAAAAGAGTTGTTGGATATTTCTTAGAATTATCGCTTTTAGTAAAACGCAATTCGTGTTTAAATTTATCGCGAGACAACTGAAATTAATGACAAAACCAAAAGCAATGTTTCTGCCGATATACAAGTTGTTAAAAATTTGCGCGGATATTGCGCTGGCGATTAGTTTCTAAGACACGGGGTGTCATATATTAAAAAAAGAAAACGGCCTTTTTACATTGTTAAAAATTTTTGGCTCGATGTTGTTGAAGTTTGGCAACGTCCCTTATAATCATAAAGGGCTTGGTAAAATTGTTCTTTAAGTAGATGAAAATTGTGAATTGTGCAATTTTTGTTATTTATCTTTAATTTATCTAGTAAAATTACAGCTTTTTTGGAAAACATTTGTATATGTGGACATCTATTTCCTGGACCCTTTGATAAACTTAGTTCTAGAAAATTAATACTAAAAAAATATAAATATTTGACACTCTCCCTATCATGGAAATTATAAATTTGAGGATTTTTTTTCTATCATGAATCTCCAGCCGATCGTTACTTCAATTTTTATAACGTCAGCAAAAATACAAAATGTTCATTTATTTTGTGGTCAATTAATTTGAATATTAATTTAAACATATTTCTTTTTTCGTAATCTACCTACTGCCCCTAGCCCTTTCCTTTCCCGCTGTTTATTTTGAATTATATGTTAACTTAGTCAGCCCATACTACAAATATAAAGGTTTAAACAGTTTCTAGGAAATTTCCGGATAACGGACTTTTATAAAACCCTTTTGCAATAAATCTATTATTATTATTACTATGTATTGCTTTGCTAGGGTGAAACTACTTCTTTATTGCGCTATGTTGTCTTTCATTCAATTCAATTCTATCGAGTAAGTAACAAATTGAAAATATAAAACAATAAATTTCATTAAAAATATCGAAAAAAAAATTATTACAACTGCTAGTGCGGGTTTTCCAAATATCGATTTTAAACAACATCGGCTTCGTTTCACCACGATACAGCCGAATATACTTTTTCTTTACACCAAAAACCGCAAAAAATACGCCGTTTAGCGCTCACGAGCTAAGTTAATTAGACGCTACTTATTCAATTTTTTTTAAGATCGACTTTGGATTCGCATTGATTGTAGCGTCGGACGCGGCGCCTAAATTTACCACCATTAGCAATTTCTCGAGCGTCGCCGATCGATGAAAATTATAAAAAAGTAAATCCGCCAATTTGACGCAAAAATATTAGCGATCAGCGGGAGCGATTCGTCTGGCGTGGCATGCAACACAACAAACATTTATTTTCGCTGCACGTGTATCGAAACCGGCGGAGATTCGTCCACGACAAATAAAATCCACAACAAAATACTTACGCGGCGATGGATTTCGACAGTGGCCAGCGTTCCATTGACGCCTGATACTTCATGTTTTCTATCTGTTTCTTTAACGCATCTTTGTCCATGGTTGCTAGCGTACTGGCGTCCATCGGGACGGGCGCGGCCAAGCTGTGGCGTCGCTAAATACGCAAGCGTCGTTTTCTGATGCTCGACGACGTCGACAGATGGCAGCACCGGGATTGATTGCAGCGGATTGTTCGAACAAAGCGTAGTCTACGAGTATATAATAAACATATATTCCAGGTAAAATTCGCGGGCTTTGCAATCCTTGCCCAAATTATATACATTTTAGATAACAGTTCGTGAAAATTTTGAAAAATAAGTGCAAACGTTTAAATCAATAGTTCGATATGGACAATAAATAGATTAGCTTTAAATGACTTTGGTTATTCATTCTCTATTTAATAATTGACTTTGAAAATTTTAATCCTGATTAATAGATGATTAAGCATTAATTATTACTTTTATTATAATTAATACCTTTATTGCGATAACCAGGCAGTTGCAAAATATACATGCTTGCAGATGGTTTTTTAACTGCAAATTAAAAATGTAGGGAAATAAAGTTTAATAACAATAAAAAAATACAAGAGCGATAGAGAGGGCTGAGTATTCTTAATTAAAAGTTGCAGGTACGACTGACTGATCGATATTAAAATTGTTATTTATATTTTGAAAGAAAGAAGCCATGCCAAAGTTGTCATGTGCGAAATATGATTCCGATCTTGGACTCCATGAATTGGCCTTGAAGAGGAATTTTGAATTTTTGGGATACGATTTGGTCCCAAGACATCTAAACAAATCATATAACGCTAAAAAATTAAATTTGATGAAACTAACGTATTACAAAGTAGCTTACGGGTATCTCGTGGCAGGTAATGCCTATGGCTATGGCTTTCAGACCATAGTGCTGCCTTTACGTATTCCCTAAAGCGTAGTTTTGAATCAAGGATTAATATCAAACTTTTGCAGTAATTCGAGTACGAAAGGACATTTTCACATAGCATAATTAGAATATTGTTTTTAACTCGGGAAATTATACCAGCATTTCTTAATGATAACATAGATTTGCTGTTTCTTCGAATTTAAAATAAATGTTTTATTTTTTTTTAATTTTTACAACACGGTTCTTGCATCCAGAGAAAATTCATATTTCTGCAATAATTTATTATGTTAATTAAGAATACACTAACAAAAATATAAATTATTAACAAAGTAACGATTATTTTTCTGCTTGAAGTACACTGACGGAGCAAAAAACACAAATGAGGAAGTTAAAGCTTTCAAATGTGTGTTTTGAGAAAATATACTACATTACTCAAGTCATATGTTACCTAAATAGTGACAATTGAATGGTTTTGATGCTATGGGGTGTAAGTGATAACATGATTTTGTTAAGAAAAACAAGATATTTTTGCAGAATGTATTTGTATCAAATTCTTTTTCATTTTGTCCATTTCATATATTTGCTTCCAAAAAGTGTATCAAAACTTATTTTCGTATTTTAACCAAAAAAAGACACATCTTGTTACACTCAGCATATAAGTTCAAGTAGAAATAAAACATGTCATCAATTTAAAAAACGTTTCGTATAAGCCCGATTAAACATATAAGAAATTTAGTATCGTCGATTTAAGAAGAATTAAATATGACATAAGATAAGAATGTAGGTAATTCTTTTACTTTGGATATGTCAAGCAACCTCAACCAAATTATCTTTATTCTATCTCTTACAAAACATTTAATTTAATTATTTCGATCATCTTCTGTTTTCAGTATAATCTAAAACATAAGGAAAATATTTAATAAACGTTCATTTTATTATAGCGATGGCAACACACAAATATTTGTTCGTTGTCATTTCCTCCCAGTGCAGCCGGAAGAATGAATAAAAGGAAAACTTGAGATGGAACGATTTAAGAATTATGAGAGTAGAAATAGTAGAGTATGAAATTTTTTACAAGATATCTTTTCCACGATAATGTTTTAATGTCTTTTTCCAATATTTATATATTGGAAAAAGACTAGCAAGCAACAAACCAGAAAAAGTAACAAATAATAAAAAAGGAGATTTTGATAGCTTATGAACGACAATTTGACATCAAAAAGTCTCCATAAATTCTTCATGTCTTTAAATGTCATCGGAATGTATATCTAAATATCTTATTATTGATAATTAGTTTGTTAATTGATGTCCCATAGACTACTTTATGTTTGACAGTGCAGTAATGAGACAAGCCAGTTATTATTATTATTATTATTTATTATAAAATTATATTAGAGATAGAATATTGTTCACAATTTAGATACTATTAAAAACCCATTCAAAAACTCGTTCATGGTTTAATTATTAAAATGTTTTTAAACTCGATCTTCTCGAAACTTGAATTTGGCACTTGTCTAACTGTTGCTCATAGGCGCCGATATAACAAAACTAATTTATATTTATGATACTGATAAGAATGTAACTATTAACTTTGCTTACCGCTTTAAAAATTCCTATAAATTTAAGTTTACGTTCCCAACTACTTGCAATTCACTTCTCTGTACTATTCAACAACACCAATTGCGGTAAAACTAAGTCCAAGCTTATTTAAAACTATATAGGACAGTTCTGAAGTCTTTGCGGGAAGGTATTATTGATAAGAAATTCGTGTCGCAAGCATAAATCGGGAAATCGTTAACTGGTCTAGTCGAACAGTTTTTGGAAGCATCAACCTCCAATAATATAGGTTATTATATTTATTAAGTATTCTTAGGCCGAAAAAAAAATGTTCTTGCCAAAGTAGCATTCTAAATTTAAAAAGGGACTAAAGTTGAGAACGGGACTAAATCCACATGATGAGTGAGTTGGTGACGTCTTCCCTTTAAAGCACTTATGTGTATTATTTTACTGATTAAATTTGGATTCTTAATATTTATCAGTTTTATCTCTATAGCCGTCTGTATGAATTCGAATGTTGTTTAAAATAAATGTATGCTCAGGATTATTCTTATCAGCGGCAGTGTCAATGCAGAGAAGACGAACCAAAGCAGGGAGAAAGGTAAAATTACTAATTCATAGAAACGAATTCTATTTTAAGGACGTCCTTTATTTAATGTTTGAATAATTGATAGCTTGAAGGCGATTTGTTATCTATTTTCCGATTCTGTCAATTAAAATGGCAATTATTTTGGAATAGTTTATTATTAATCTAAATTGTTTTCTGCGACCAATTAACAACACTAATCTAAAACAAATAACGAAATGTGTATAACCAGCGGATCTATTTTAAAATGTACTTTGAAATGCGCGTGGTGTGGAGTGGGCGTTCGCAGTAATAATTATAAGTAAATGCGAGCAAAATGTCGGAGTCAGTCAACTTGTTCCTAAAATAGGTATTTGAGGGTGCGTTGAAGTACGAGTATAATTCTATTCGTTATTATTGCGGAGACGAAGACAAAGTTTCAAGGAAGTTGAACGCCGAGTCCAACTTAAAATAACAAAAAACGCAATAATATGGTGAGACCCGCGCATAAAAAGTGAAAGATTATTTGAGTGTAAAGCCTTGCAAATACTGCTTAAGGTTTATAAGGCTTCAATTTAATGGAAATAGATATTGGATACTGTAAAACTTAACTACCAGTAAATTCGACGTAATTAACTTTGCACTCATGTAAAGTTATGTTATTCGATTTATGTTTACGATTTGTAGAACTCTAAGAAGTAGTACCACAATTTCACTTTAAGATGTCAGCTTGGTTGCCCCACTCTCGTTTCCGGTACTTTGGCCATTTGTTTGACACCAATCTGGATTTATTTGCGCTGTGTTATAAAAAAAAAAAAGAAAAAATGTAGTATGCCATGTTAAACTTCTTCAGTTACTCGTTTGTTAAACACTCGCTCCGCTGCGTTTCGCTCGTGCCAAATAAAGTTCGCCGCTAAAATGATACCTATCAAACTCGTTGCGAATTTTGCACAAAACTTCTTATCCACCGAGGAAGTATAAGACTGACTCGTGTTTTGTTGTTAATGGTATGTTGTGCTGCATTTCTCAATGATAAGCGATAATGTTAACACATTGCAATCTGTTTAAAAAAAGCGCCTGGCGCATTCGCCAAACCTATAGTTCGCCGTTCAGAGTGTCTTTCTAATGTTCCAATGATTGAAAAAGTTGAAAATTCTGCAAAGCTAGCTCGTTCGAAGGGACAAACTTTACAGAAAAAAAAATTAGTCGATTATGAAAATTGAAATCAAAGCACAAACTTGCTCGTAAATATCTGATTATTTCTTAATAAAGCACGATTTATGAACGAAAAATCCCAGAACAGAAACACAATTCTTGTGTCTATTGAAATAAGGATGCTGCCGTTATATTTTTTCAATCAAATCAAGACGTAAGGTAACGTCTACAAGGGGAAGTCAGAATTTTATGTAAAACATGTCAATATAAGTACCTCTAATTATTTATTTAAATAGTTAGTAATTTGCCACTACTGCTGATAAAACACTTAAAGACCGAATTGTTACTTAAATTAGTAAACCATAGCAATAAAACCGTTGGTGATTTTACACAAAGTTTTTACAGTGTAACGGTTTTCATAACGTAATACACATGTGCAGTTATTTATAGTGAAAGTCTCTTAAGTGAAAGTGCATGGATAGTGTTCGAAAACTATAAAGGGTAAACCTACTAACGCGACAAAACTTTTTAAACCGACATCCATAGGCGTGTGATGTCTTGATTAAGATGTTACTGAGTAAACTGTTACTTATGTGGACGATGTTTTACGATCATGTTTTAGAAGCTTTGATTTAAAATCGTGGTTAGTTCTTAGTGCTATTTCCTAAATTATTTCATGTTGGCATTGATTTTAATTTTTATTTTCTTGCACCTTACTCGGTAGTTTGGTAGCTTGTAAATATTCGCAGCCCGCACGGCATGCGTAAATCGACTTCTTGCATACTTTTACTTTAGTCCCGTGACTAAAGTACCGGAAATGTTCGAAGTGGCTCGCGACCTTGGGTAACGAAACTTAAGCCTTTAAGTGGACGCTTCCTCAGTGCAAATTGGATATTTTAGAGTAGCGAGTAGAAAAATTAAATTAGTAGAGGGTCTCCTTAAATGACATTTGTATGTCAGGTATCGTATACTATTGACAACTCCAAATATTGAATGGGTTCGGTTCTCGTTAAATCCAGGTTTCGATCCGATCTCAGCGATTGTGCAAAGGAACAGAAAGTAAACAAAGTTATGCAAAACCTCTGCCAGTACCGCTACTGACATTCATTCATTGCATTAAATTAACAGGTTTCGTGGGCACCTGTTACCTCAGTTTCTTTGTAGGACTAGAGATACACATTTTGACCTGGTTTTGGGAGTGCACCAGATTGGAAGGGATCGTGGGTTACATTAAATTATCCTGTTTCAGGTATTTATTAAATAAATCTATGATAACCAGTAATAGTTGAAATGTCCCGAGTTCTGTGAAATGTGAAATTTAATTTGCTTTTTTTTTTAGATAAGTAAGTTTTTGTTTTATTCTTTATGATTATCCAAGGTCTGGATGTTTAAAAAAAATGCAATTGAATTTTTTGACGATTTTCAATCCATCGATTAAACTGCATCTTAGGAATTTCATTTTGGTAATTTTCACCCAGAAATTTTAATAACTATGAAGGTTACGCCTGTGAGAAGCAGATGCTGTTGATTTCACAAAGAAACTGTTTTAAATCCGTTTGAAATCTTCTAAAAGGAATTTATAACTATTAACAAAAAATAAATACCAGGTAAATTATAAATTATTGGAATATGATTAACCTTTAAAGCCGAAATTTCAGAAGGCAGCAACTTCCACTTCAAAATTTGGAGGTGAACTGGTATAACAATTAATATCGACAATTAATTTGAACAAGTATTACCAGCCCAAATTTAAACACAAATATGGCGTGAAAGTAGCCTTGGGAAAAACATTGATCTGGACATATTTTCGTTCAATATTTAACGGGAAGTTTACACAGAGTCCATTTCCTGTCCAAGTGCAATATCACGTTTTGACAAAGAACTGCCATCGGATGAGTCACCGAGTAAATAACAAAACAAAAGGAAAAAGTAATGGATGCATTTTACCTTCAATTATCAACAACTTCGCATATTTATCGACCATGTATTTATTATTAACAATTCTTTTCAGGATACACCTATTTTTGGAAATTAATTTCCATAAAAAAGATTGATCTCTTTATTAAAGATGTACCTAATTTTACATATGGGTCGGATATTTTTTATTTTGTATAACTTGCAGCCGAATTTTCAGTTGCGGTAAAATAAACTTTTCCTACTGCAAAGAAGAATGTGGTTTTATAAAGAGTTTGTCAAATTCTTATATAACATTTTTTTCTATTTCCTACTATAAAATTCTAATTGAGCATGCGTAAAGTGTTCGTTGCCTACGGTCGCGAGCCCCTTCGACCCTTTGATATTTTCGGTAGATTTTAACTATGGAATTTTAAATTTTGCTAATTCTGATGGTAACTTTACAAGCCACTATTGGTAGTATGCAACACATTTATAAATTTCTTTTCAATGCAATGCAATGCAATTTGTGATATTTAAAATGGTAAACTTAAGCTCTAATAATTTTCTTTGGTAGAAACTCGGATAATTATGTTTTTAGAGAAACAATTCAAAATAATAATAGCCAAATGGGATTTTTGTCAACTCAAAATACCTCTGGGTCTAATGGTTTGTGATTTATTATTCCAAACAGGCTTTGTGCAGTGAAGCATGGAGCCCTCCAAAAACATTTCCTATCATTCGGGGAAATCTCTGCCAACCTGGAAGTGTTTTTAACATTCTCTGAGTGCACTCGAAATGTTAATGGCGTCGCTACGTTATCGCTAATCGTAATGTTCTTTTACGTTTAGTTCAACAACGGGATTTAGTAAGGTACCAAACATAAGCATTTCTCTAACTTAGACACATCTTAGTGTGTCTATTTATAATCCTCAGGCAATATAATGTTTTAATATTACGGCAGTGGGTACGTTTTGTAGTCAATTAGTGAGGCATTCTATCCCGTTTATAGCAAATATTAATAAGTTTTAAGTTAATTTGTTTCTTGTGAATTGTATAAAATAACTAAATAATTTAAAAACAATAGGGGAAAAATAATCTATAATAAAATCATACTACAATAAAATTAAATGAAATGGTTTTATTATGCACTTAATTGCTCTTTAAGTTGAAAACAAAACTATCGCATATCCATAAAGAATATGCAAGTTTTCACCTTTTCTGCAATATAGGTAAAAAATATTTGATCAACTTTTATCCATTATTAGATATTATATGGCAATTGAATTATTTTTATTTATTGATATTGCGAATCTAGTGTTGAAAATAAACTTTTCTACTCCCGTCCGTAAAATGCCGAATTACACACCGATCTAGCTTGCGGGAAGCGTCACTTTACCAAGTCAGTTTCGTTTCCCACGGATCCGACTCACTTCGGACATTTCCGGGATTTTACTGCACGGGTTTGGGAGCAATCGGATGTTTTCGGAGATTTTACCGCATGGTTCAAATTTTGGCGTTTGTCAATTCTGACAGTCATGTCAGTGAATGTATTCGTGTTGTTTGGCGAAAATGTACCCAAAAACTAACGGACGTAGAAAAAGTATAGTGTGCAACACGTGCGCCAAACTTTTTAAGTCACTCGTTTATTAAACACTCGCTCCGCTACTCTCCGCTAGTGTCAAATAAACTCGTGAGTTAGATGCCGTTTACCGCATTTGTTGCATAATATACTATTTTCTACTTCCTTCTGTAAAATACCTAATTATATACCGATCTAGCGTACGAGAAGCGTCACTTTACCACGTCAGTTCCGTTTCCCTCGGATCCGAGCCACTTCGAACATTTCGACGATTTTACCGCACGGATTTGGGAGTAATCGGATATTTTTGGATATATTTCCTTGAATTTTAACGTTTGTCAATTCTAACGGTCATGTCAGTGAATGTATTCGTATTGTTTTGCGAAAATGTACCCCAAAAACTAACGGTCGTAGAAAAAGTATAGTATGCAACACGTTCGGTAAACTTTTTAAGACAATCTCTTATTAAACACTCGCTCCGCTCCGCTCGTGAGTCAAATGCCGTTTACCGCACCTGTCGCATAATATACTATTTCCGAATAAGGTTTTACCAGTATGAAAATACAAAAATTTCATATAGAATTTTGTAAATTTTTATGATCGCACTGTATAAATAACAATGAATAAAATAAAAGTTACTTACTTTGTTTTAAAACAAAAATTGAAACTTGATGAAGATTGGAAAATATAGACTTTTTTTGGGTAGTCCCGATTTAAAATCCGGTAGTTTTAAACAAATCCCTAATAACATTTCTCGAACATCATCAGATCTCACAAACGTCAGACAATCGAGCCATACAGTGTGTTTTTTAATAACATACGTCGTACTTAAAAAACACTAAAATTTCCGAATAAACCTTTGGACATAATTTGACATTTTGACATTTGACAGACGTCAAATTGAAATGGATAACATTGTATATATAAAAAATAAAAATAAAAAAATTAATAAATTAATAAAAATAAGGTGAAAATTATAAATTTTAGGGTAACTTCAACTGCGCAAGTAATTTAAAAAATTAAATTTCGCAATTCATATTATAAGCGGTTTTATAGGCTATAGTCATTGTGCTCGTATAGAAAACGTCAGCTATGTAAAATCTTGAAACCCAAAATTTATATTTGTTGTTCTTGGGGTTCGTCGCGTATGCGACTGTTGATTTCACCGGCGCAATACCTGTTAAAAACTACCACCGCTGTCAGTAAACATTTGTACATGCCCGATTTTACCTCAAATCGAAGAAAAAGAAAAGTAACTCGGTAGCAGTCCTTCATACCCAACGAGGACAAATTGCCGACCGGCTACACAAATCAAACAAAGACGGAGTATTAACTTTCGAATTTACTGTGCTATATGTTTCTTTGAGACAGAGACGTGCGTATTCGAGCTTTTCGTGCGAGAAAAGACACTCGAGCTGTAGGTAGGGGCCTTAGCATGCAAAAATTATACGCTACGCGGCTTCAGTGCAGTAGTACGATATAGACAAGTGGATGCCGTGAATGAAAGTTTATAGTACGCGCTGAGATATATACGACCCGCGGTTTATTGGTTTTTAGGTCGAATGTGATTGTGCATTGATTGGATTGTACTATTTGTGCACTGACAGATCTATTCCTGAACGCTTTTAGATCAATTGGATAAAATGGTAAGCCGCCTGTTTTACATTATTTTTATTTTTCGTTGATGTCGGTGGCTAATTAATTTTAAAAAATGTCTGTTAAATCTAATTTGTTTCATTACCTATTTAATTGGGCCTAATTTTGTTTTAACTGGATTCTTAGTGCAAAATTGGTGTTAATAGTTGTAAAATTGCAAAAAACCGGAGAATTAGCTGGCTTTTTTTTATCATATCTTCTAATGAAATCATTAAGTCATTATTTAATTGTCAATTTGCTGATCACCCCATTACCATATAAAAACTTTGATCAGACGAATTTATGTATTTTCCATGTTAAACATTTCAAACTGTAATATTTTTCTCATGAAATGAAATGATGAAAGCATCTGTAGTATTTTATTTTATTTTTTTAAAATAAAGATAACAGTTGCTTCTTTTTTTCATATTTTTTTAATTTTACGCACATCGCAACTTAGAAAAGAATTAATTTCGTTTGGGGACTCACCAATCAAAATTCGGTGGTAACAATACTTTGTGATTTAAAAAAAAATCCCAATTGCATGTAATTTTGATGTTTCTGATTTAAAGAACATTATTCAACTTCATGATAAATGTCGGCGAACTAATTCACAGATTGATTTCTCAAGAATGTACCTATAAGATAAAAAGTTTGTTAATTTTTCAAAGAAACTTATACAGGCTACTGTAATACTTTCTATAAAACTTCTGGATTCCTCCTGCCCCGGTTTTTGTTGAGTCGAACTAGCTAACGTTTCGCCAATCATCCTGTTGACTTCTTCAGAGTTTGACTGAAACCGAAGAAGGAACAGGATGATTGGCGACACGTTAGCTAGTTCGACTTAACAAAAAACGACGCAGGAGGAACCCAGAAGTTTTATAAAAAGTAAGATAAAAGGTTAAAATCGCTTCATTTTGGAGATTCAGGGTGTCACATTGTATCTTTATTTTTTACATAGAAACACCATTGGAGAGTAAACCCACTTAATTTAATTAAAATAATTAATTAAAATAATTTCATTTTTTTAAAAAGCATCGATTAATTCAAGTCAAAATATTTCGAAAACGGTGACTACTAGCGTATCCCATAAAGAAGACGTTTTCCGTGTTGAGGATTTTTTTTTAACAATAATTTAATAGATAGTCATAGCAAAAGTCATATGCCTTCATAAATAAGGTGTAGGTAGCGCCTACAACCAAATTTAAATTTTTCATGACAAAGAATCCCCAAGTACGCATTTGTGTTCAGAAATCGGCAATATTTAGGAAATTGTGCAGAAAAATACAAAAACAAAACATATATGGGAAATCGTCGTATGTTTTTTGCAGAAATTTTTACTCAAAGCCCATGTTTCTTAGTAATGTGTTTGGATTAATTTTATATATATATATATATATATATATATATATATATATATATATATATATATATATATATATATATATATATATATATATATATATATATATATATATATATATAAGAGTATATAGGAATGTGAAACTTGAGCTGTTCGCAACAGAAACGTTGCTCTATGTCAGTTATTTCCACCATGTTCGCTTTAAATTATTTTCGAAAAAATTTCCAAAACGACGATACCACTTTGGCATTTTTTGCATGCTAAAATATAAATCATTTTCTAATTCGTTAATTTTTGATTCTTTATTTTTGTAATTTTTTTTGATGCAGTGGTAGATATTCAAAGTTGAAATTCTTTTTTAAACTTGATGATGTCGCTAATACCAGTTTCAACACAAAAGGGTCCCAATTACAAAACAAATCGGATCATTTTTAGCATTGTTAGCATTTAAATTGATGTAGCATTTAATAAAAATGATAGTCTGTCAAACGGTAGCGTCAAACGTATACGAGATAATAAATGTTTCATTATTCATAAACTTCGCTATAAATAGATTTGCATGAGACCTTTTCTGTAGTCTTATTATTGCGTCGTGAATTTTTCGATTTAATTTGATAGCTTCTATTTTTTGTAATTATCGGGTTGCATGTTCTGTTGCACTCGAATGAAAGTTTTTCGGAATTGCTACAACGTAAATTGCTCATTTTGGTTATATTGGTTAACAGTTTGCATATTTGCTGCTCCTTGATAAAACCGGCCATAAATAAATAAAGGAAAATAATACATCAATTATTTATATGTTACTTTTACTTTGCATTCATCCAACTCTCATACTTTTCTTGAAATTTCTCCTCATGTGAAGAATATATTATTCGGATTTGTGTCAGCCGTGTGCGGTAAACAACATAACCATTATTAACTAAAAATGTGCTGACAAAGTTAGCGAAGTAAGCAAAGAGAAAAATTACGATATTAAATTAAAACCCATGTAAATACAACAAACGTTTAGTTCGCCTAATTCTGTTTAATATGTACATATTAGCGTGTTATAGTCTTGATAGGCTGAGATATATGTTTTATTTAGCTGTATCATTATATACAGTTATGAAACCGGTGTTGCGTTGTGTTATAAGCTTTCGTTGCAAAACTTCATATTTGAACGACTATAAATATTGTAAATTTAGGCTTGGCAAAGTAACTGTCATGTAATCGGTAAATAGCAAACTTCGCAGTGCAAAATTTTCGCCGTAAGTTCAGATCTAGCGTACCATGTTGACAATATATGATTTGGCGTTCATAAATTTCTTCTCGGATTGAAGCACAAAATTACCCACGGAGTGTTAACTACAATAAAAGCTTTCTAGTGCACGAAACCTATAAAATAGGATGAACATAAAAATTCCTATGATGTGTGGTGATGGATACAAATTACTTTTAACAGAATTCACTGGTGATGAATCAAGGATGTATATTAGAAACTACGTACACGTAGTGAAACCATTTCATAACTTTATATTTTACATAAACGTTTATTGCGTATTTCTGCGGCATGTAATTTAATTTGTATGTTTTATATTATTGCAGCTAGTAAGCCAGCTGTGTAGTAAATTACAAGTCAAAGTAACTCATCAGTGCCATTTTTAAACCAAAACTAAACTAAACAAAAATTTTCCAAAAGAGTTTTTTGTTTACAAGATTTATTCCTAAGTTACCTTTTGAAATTAATTTCAAAATGGTGTATTCTCGCCTCAATTATGGCTAAGACTTTCTAGAAAGGAAAAAATTTCGTATTCATATTGTGTTAGTGGATTGTAATATACAAAAATTTTATTTATGCTTGCCGTGGCTAGCGTGTTAATGAATTTTCTTTACAAAAATCTCTAACAAAGGAATAAACAAAAATGTTTACAAAGTTAGAACGTACAATTAGAAGTCCAATGATCACACGCTCTATATTTTTATCGTCCCATTGTTCAAGTAGGATTTACTAAGAGTTTTTAAGACTTGGATACTCAGGTGATTTATTTAAGGGATCTTTACTTATTTATTTACATATTCAAGCAAGGCGATTAAACAGACTGCTTGGAGCAGACCAATTATAGAACAACACGAATTAGGAAAAATTTCAAGCATAAAAAAATAATGCTTAAAAAGTTTTCAAAGTAAAAGCAATCTCAGTGAAGTGCTATAGAAATTAATTTCCTTGTAAGTTTTGTAAATCACTTCAATTAGTATTAAGTACTACTACTGCTTCTAGCTAACCTTCTTCTTTTAGAAGAGCAGTTCTGTCAAAATTAGATTTGTGGTATAATTCATACAATTATCAATACTTTTTTTATTAATAAATTATATAATATTACTATCATATTTGGCAATATTAATATACAGGGTTTTACGCCCGATGTAATTTAGAATCGTCTTTCAATTTTTGCGGTTAAGGTAAGTGACAAGTGTACTTCTTTTTTAAAATATTTTCAAGTTCAGGTCACTTCAGGTTCAACGGCAAGTTGCTGTGGACTTATTATTTCAAAGGGAACAGCCCGTATATTATTAATTTACATAAAAGAGGCGCATTTGGAGCTTACCTTTGCCCAAAAATTTGAAAGGCGTTTCTTAATTATAAATTTTCAGTGAAAGGGTTGGGTGAAAAATCCTGCATAATCTTATGGTATTGTATAAAAGAAATCACTGAAAGTTAGTCTATTTCGAAGGGTATAAGAACTAGCGTTAAAAAAAATATACGAGTAGTTCATACAAAACTGGATCGATTTACTATCTTATAAACAAAGAAAATATCTGTCTCCTGGATTTCATTGATTGCAAGCGATAATAGTGTAAATTCTTGTTATAAGAGTGATAGAAATTAAATTAATGAATTTTATTTTATTCGATCCTGGTGAAATATAAGGTAATTAAAGTATCTAGGTTCTTAAAGTCCTCAGTAGTTCTGTAATTAAAGTATCTAGGCTTTTAAAGCCCTCATTAGTTCTCAAAATAAATTCAAAATTACGCAATGCTTTCCCAATGCTAGGCTATATATAGGACTCGAACAACAGTCTAAGACATTTTAAATGTATATTGTTTAATTTTAAAATCATAATTGTACGTATTGAGTTGAGGTTGAGTTTAGAAAAAACTATGTAGTGACATGTTAATTATGTTGACTATGTTTTAATTATATTTTGAAAAAAAAAGTACCCATTATTGTTTTGTTGAATATATACAGAACTACAAAAATCTAAGTTTATGTTTTGGCAGCCTCCAGCATTGCTTAAGCATTACCTTGAGTGCCTCAAATAAGAGTTTTATAGGAATGAATTATTTATATTTTTGGCCAAGACCCAAATTTACATCGATCATAAAACAAGCTCGCCCTTGGCAATCTATGATTAATTTTTTAAGTAAATCTTACGTCCACATTTTATCATTTATTGGTAAAAATTTTCACATTCAGGCGATGCACAATTAGAAACTTGTGTCGTTTTTGTAAAAAAAAAATTACTCAGTAGCGTTAATTTTTTTCCTGATTAACTGCTGTAAACTCTGTTATGTTTTTGTGCAAGGTTTGTTTATTTATAGTGGGTAATGAAATAGATTATTTGTTTTTGTTTTCATTAATACTCTCGCATTGACAGGAGTTAGGCAATA